GACAAAACGTGCGTCTATCACTGGGGCACGTGTTAACCTACGCGGCCCACCCTTCAAGCCTCTTCACAGCGACAGCGACAGTAGCTCATTAGAAAAATGTTAACACACCTGGCACCTGGCCCACCCGTACTATGAAGTTCAAATGAAATGCGAACAGCGGAGCGCGTGGCCGTCGGTACATGCTGCGCCTCCTGGTGGCCTCTTGAAACTGATAAAACTGCGGATTGGAGAGTAGGGCGCTCCGAAGGTCTGCATCCACCTCCGATATGTTTAAACCTTGCACAGAACAACCCAAGCTTTGACGCTGCGCCGGTGGTGCACTGGGAGTTCCTTCAGAGATACTTTGGTTGGCTCAGCAGAAGCCATGAAAGGAAGCTCGTAGCTGTCTGGGCCAACTTGCATTTGTACATAGCTGAATTTCACTAGCTGTACAGAGGGATCGTGACGCTCGACTGGCCACCCCAGGCAGCAGACATGAACGTTATAGAAAACGTCTGGCCGGGGGTTGCTATGAAGAAAGCCCTCTCCCACTGGCTTCTGCAGAGAGGATCGGTGGACGTCTTGTGGTCGAGGCAGAGTGGGAGCGGCTGCGAGCTTTGAACTTGGTATCCCGCCTGATGGAAGGTCTACCTCGTCAAATGCTGCGTTGTAGACGCTGAAGGCATCTTCACAAAGTATTCATTGGTTCCTCACCAAGACGAGCTAGTGAAACACAACAACGAAAGCAAGCCTGCCCAGACAGGGCGTCAGCCTCGGGCAGCGCCTTTGCGCTGCCCGAGGCGTCAGCCTTTGCCGGTTGCAGCATTCGTGCTCCCTTGTTGTTCAATATTTCTGTCTGCACAAATGCTCCCTGGCAATAAACATGTAGTTTCTCATCCACGCTGTTTCACTATTTAGCAGGAGCCATGCACTCTAAATACTTCACGAGGATGTCGGCATGGTTCTGATAACTGACATCAATCAAGCTCCACAGGTTTTCCGTGCACGAACGAACCGGTTTAACTTCTATTTCACACTTCTGACACACTGGGTGATAATTTAATGAGTGATTTAATGGCTGCCTACAAAATGTCAATGACGAAGTTATTGAATTTCTTTAAAATATTTGGTGAATACGGGAGCCGACAGACCTGCATTTTGGCAATCCCAGATCCACACACGAGACGCAAGAACTAAACGGGACACAAGGCGAGGGCTGGGAGCTGATACATACAAGTTTTCCAGGTAATTGACTTCCCTTAGGCGTCAGCAGCCGTCCTGGTTCCTGTTATTCTGTTTCGAAATTCGCACAGTTTCTGCTATACAGTTCACAACAAAACAACAATGCATATTAAGGAAAACCAAAATCTGTACAAGTAAGGTGGGAGCATGACGCTACAATAATGTTCCACGGACGCACGCACAAGCACCCTGCTCCTGCTGCGAGCAGCGTGCGCTTGCGGCGCGCTCTTTCTTCTTTTCTTGAAATCAGGGAAGGGAGAGGCAAATTCAGAAGACCGTACGATGAGGAGCGCGCAACGTTGGCGAAGTGGCTGTATCGGTGGCTTTCCTGCACGTCACTCAAATTTTGCTTTTCACGTGATCGGATCTTGACAAATAGCAGCGCGGTGGCACGAGGAAAACAGATGCGCAACTCTGGTTCCCGTAGGAAGCCTATGCAGAAACTATGACGGCCTTGCGCTCTGCTGTTCAGGTTTCCTTTGAACCCGAGAGTACACTGCGGTGGCCTCGCTCACGGCACGGACCAAGGTCAACTGATTGCTGCCAGCCAACGATAGGACGCTGGCGGCGATATTTCTTCTAAGTTCTTGTGCCGGCAACATATCCACTCTCCTCTAGGGATGTCGCAAGCCACCCTAGGTTTGAGTTCGAAAGGTTTCGATATTTTCGAACCGAACTGAGGTCCGAATTTGAAAGATTTTGATATTTTCTAACCGTATACCGAGGTTCGAAATCGAAAGGGTCGCAACTTTCGAACACCACGAAGTTTCGAATTAGAAAAGTTCGAAGCTTTCACGGTTTCTAAAAGTTTGGGTTCGAATATTTCAAATACTTTTTTTACTTGAGGTTCGAGAAATTCAAAAACTTCGAATTTTCGGGGATCTAAAGTTTGAGAAATTCAAACGTTTAGAATTTTTATAGACAAAGTTAGAAAAATTTGAAGATTTCAAATTTTTTTTGTACATAACGTTAAAAAAGTTAAAAGGTTTCGATTCTCTTTTTGGGCTAAATTTTAAAAGTTCCTTTCAAGTCTAAATTCGCAAAATTAGATGTCCGGTTTTCATGTTCCTCCACAGTTTCAGTTTCAAATAACGTTTCCACACCTCACCAATTTTCACAAAATCAGGTTTAGAAAAGTTCCGGTGTGATATTCAGACTGCGCGAAGTTGGTCAGGCAATTAAATGAGACGACGAGTGTCTCGGATATGCTTGAATATTTGCCAGTGCAGAGTGACCATAGATCAGTAATTGTGACCACCAGCCCAGGGGGTCTTTAACGTGCATCACACAGCAGTGATCACATGAATGCACTGCTTTACGATACTCATCCAGTTCGAAACGGCCAGGGGCGGGCAGGGGATTGAGGCTCAGAAAAGCCTTGAAGCAATCTGGCAAACTGCCTCCCCACCCCCTTGCACGCTGGTAGTAATCCGATCAAACGCTGCTCGAGTGACGCTAGCATATAACTGTGCCATTGGTAAAAGAACTAAACATAGCAAAAAATGCAATGGTGAAAAGCTGTAGAGAAAAAAAAAACTATCAAAAACCCGCCGGAAATGTTGTATTCTTGCATATTCAGAGGCTCAGAACTTCGAAACAAGTTTCTCCTCCTAAAATGTACACAGGTTAAAAGAAACACGTCCCAGGAACGTACCGTAAAATACCGGGAAAGCGTCCACTCAAAATTGAGAGATTATCGCAGAAAAATGGGGGATGGGCGCTTGTCCAGTCATCAATTTTACAAATAAATGTACTGAGCATATTTTCTCAGATCTTACAAATGTGGGCATGGGTGCTTAGTGAGGCATGGGCGGAGGCGCAATATTCTATGGAAAAGCGAGAAAAAAAAAAAAAAAACAATTAAAAATGGCTTTTGTTTTTTAACGACGAGCTGAACTTGAACAATATCTGAAATCTTTCTCCATGAGTTAATTTATTCCTCAACAATAAAAAACATTATATTGTATTCTGAAGATGGCAATGATATGTACTGTCTGTGATGTTAATTTAAATGCAATACCTAAAACAAATTAGGCAAAAAAAATGACCAAGTTTAGGGCATAATTGCCTGTAGATACATGCTTGGGCATTTCTTTGAAACTCATCCTGAATAGCAATAATCATATCTTAAGATGACACTTACCTAGGCTATACATTAATCATTCTTAAAAAGTTTAACATCTCTATCATAAATAGCTTCGGCTATTGCGCGCTTCAAATATGGCACAAAGGCAATCGTCAAAAATCCGTCGTCCTTCCTCGCTCCTTCAGGAATTAATTTTTTTAAAACTAAGCATACCAGAACATTGAAATAAACGGCATTGTCTTTCGCAAGGAATGCAACACCACATATAAAAATTCGAAAAAAAAATTATGAATGTACCTCACTGATTGAATCCAAATAAAACCGCTTGCCGGTTTTTCGAGGTTTGACAAACTACAACTGCTTACCCAAAAATCTGAAGTTCGTCGAACTTTTGACTTTTTAGGAATCGAAAGTTCGCATATTTTCGAATTCTCTAGCTAAATAAGTTTGAAAATCATCAAATATTTTAGTCTATCAGGTTCGAAAGTTAACAAGCATCGCATTTTGCAGCGTAATAAGTTTGAATGTTCAAAAAGAATCAAATTTTTTAGCGTAATAAGTTCGAAGAACATTGCATTTCAGAAAGAGTAAAGTACAAAATTTCGAAAAGCGTCAAACTTCTCAGTTTAACAAGTTAGAAAATTCGACTTCTGTCAAATTTTCGATATAGCAATTTCGAAAAATCGAAACCTTTCGAACCACTTGAATCAATCATCGAAACTTCATTTGAAAAAAGTTTGCGGCCTCCCTACTCCTTTCAGAAATCCACACGTCTATGTTCATGAAGGTCAACATGCGTCTGCAAGCGTCAACACGAGTCTGCACCACCTCCTTGGTCTGCACGCCCACAGACGTCCTCTCCGTGCTGTGCCATTGCTACCCTTTTAGACTGGTCGTAACTAAAGACCCTCTATCCTGGGAAAAGTGGCGCCATTCATTGTTGTGGAAATGCTTGAGACATGTGCGGTGCCGTGCGCAAGTTCTGGGAAGAACATGGCATCTGAAATCTAGCTCAGTGCTGCGCTGTGCCGCCATGATCTTCCCAAGGACTGCACCTTGCACGTGCCTCGTGCATCAATGCACCTTGCACTACTTTTGAAACATGAAGGGGCTTTAGTCGTAACGGCAGGTGGACAAACCTACTGCCGCGGCAGTATTTCGCTTACCAAGCCATAGTAAGTTACAGGTTAAGAAGGTAGCGGCAAATGCCCCTCAAAGGGAATCGTATATGGCCTCCGCCACCTCCGCATCCAATAGCGTCCCATCGTTTCCGTCAAGTCACAGCCAACGCGCGAGGAGGGTCTTGCCTTTTTGTACATATATGCTTTATTGACTTTGACTTAGCATTGTGGAAGCCACGAGAGGGAGATTAGAGTTTTCCCCCTCCGATGGAAACAAATACGACTTTCGGGGATTAGGTTCCCCCTCCCATGCATACAACGGCTGCTTTCAGGGGCTCGGTTCCCCCTCCGATGATTACAAAGGTCGCTTTCTTAAAAAGTGGGATCGAAGACAAGTTGGAATCCATTGAAGCGGAACAGGGAGCGTTTCCAGTGAACTCTTCTTTCGACTGCGGAAGGATTTGAAACGGGCGCATCACGCTTGTGGGAGGAGCTTCTCCTACCTTCTTGACTTGTAACGTTCAAAACTAGAAAAAAAAAAAAAAAAAGAGGAAAAAACGGTGCACACTTACAGTGTTTCTTGGCATTGGCAAAGAAAGTCTGAAAGGACGTACAGTAGTCTTTCTCATCCTGAAATAAAAATGTGTTAATACCCCTTGGTGTTTATGTTCAAATCTTTCCGTCGGTTTACTCACGCCAGCCTTTGAGATGTGGTGCCCGTTCGCGTGGGAATAAAGTTATAAACCTCCTTGTCCGACATTTCGTCTAACTTGTCTGTTGCCACAAAACTGACTAAATCACAACCACTAAAAAGAGAGCAAAACAATATTAATTTGAATCACACGCAGACCAATGTCGCCCCAACAGCCGAATGTCCGCTCGCGCGTTCGCGCGTTTGTTTGCGTAGCCTATTTACGTTTTACGCCCCTCACCAAATTCAGAACGCAGCCAACGCAGCAACAAATTGAGAATATCTGAAGTTAGTTAAATAAAAACACTTTTAATTTATTATTTAGTATTATTTTATGCTTTACACTTTTAAAAGTAAGGGTTACAATTTTTTTGTGTTAAGTCAGTTTTTCTTTTACGCAATTTTGTACATCTGCGGTCCTCTACACACAAGATGGCGAGCGAGAATTTGCGGGTTCCCCTGTCCAGGGGAGAAGTTACGGGATTAGTTTTTCGTCTCACGATATTTGGAGCCCTCACTTACTTCGGAATTAAATGGATGGTAAACGCAATAGACCCTACCCGCAAGCAGAAAGTAGAAGCCAAGAAAAGGGTACGAGACGACAATTTTCACCACCTTGCTCAACATGGCTCAACGCACTCTGAAGGACGATTCATTCATAACGTGATTTCTAAATAAAATCAGAAGAAGCCACTGCCCCAGCGATCCGCCCGCTTTGAGCAGTACCAAGTTATTGTAAAAAAAAGAAAAGTAATGAAGTCTACACCGTGGGACAAATTGAGTAGCTGGTCTGATAGAAGATATGTGTAGGTGAAAACTTCCTCAATTGCATATCGTTTTGTTTTTCAGGCGGATAGGATACTCAAAAGGATAGGCGTAACGAATGTCAATGTAAGTAGTGGCTTTCCTAAAGAATTCAACGTAAGGAAAGGAAACTAAACCAGGCGTTCGTGGCCTTCTAGCTCACCGAGTACGAGCTGTCGATAGCGGCCCAGTTGATCGACCCGAGGGACATCAACATCTGCTGGGACAGCATCGCGGGCCTCGAAGAAATTACGCAGGAACTTCGAGAAACAGTCATCTTGCCGATACAGAAGCGGGACCTCTTCACAGGCTCCCAACTGATCCAGCCACCGAAAGGTATAAACTCGCCCATGCTAAGAAAAAAAAAAAAAAAAAAAGTTGCCGAAGGGCATTTCTGAGGGTTTTGTGAATATACCTCTCAAGCCGGTCAAAGTCGCCTGATTTCACGGTGTCATGTGACGACGTCACAAAGAACCTATGGTGCCTATAGGGAGCTTGCACAAGACCATGATGCAATGTTGCTTCTGGCTCGAAATCTTTAACGAAATTCATGTTGGGGACATTCGTCTGCTTTAGTCCTATGTCCGCTGTGTCTATGCACAGAAGCAATGTTTTCCAGGTCGCTCGAGTTCTCCGCGTCGTGATCGACAAAACCAGCAAAAGTAGTCGAAAACATAAAGGAGCATCGACTGGTACTTAATTCTTATATATGCTGGTTTCGAACTTTTGATGAGCCGGTGCTTGAGAAATCTGCTCTTCAGCAGGCAAAGCGGTCTGAAAGGCACCAGTGGGCGGCTCTAAAGAGAAAAAGAAACAGAGTAAGATGGGGTTTAAGCATCCCAAATATGTCCCCTATTGTACTTCCTGGGTTCTGCGACGACTGAATTTTGTGCTTGCTTCCGCGTTTTACTAACACTAGAGACAATGCCAATGGAAAATTGCATATGTGCGTGTAAATAGGGAAGATGGCAAAAAGTATCACTGCTGGGCCGCCAACAGCTTATTGGCGTTGGATTTCATAGTTTTCGAACACTCTGCTTAGTAGTGTGTCTTGAATTGACGTCAGGGTCAAGAGATAAGTGCTATGCATTTAGGGCACTTTTGAGATGGCATCACCGTCACATGAAACTGTGACGTCCGCGGATACGAAAAGCCCGAGCGCTGGCCTAATAAATGCTACGCATGTAAAAAACAATGAGTATTCAGAAAATCACCTCACCATTTCCGACGCTCGAGTGTTAGGAAAGAGTCTAAAAAATTTGCTTTGTATAACAGGCGTCCTACTCCATGGACCACCTGGTTGTGGCAAAACCATGATTGCAAAGGCGACGGCACGTGAAGCGGGTGAGTTAGGCCTTCCAAATAAAAAATGCTTGCATCGTTCACACTGCACCAGAACCCGAGCAGCTTCTTTTTGCTGTGTTTCAGGAGCTCGCTTTATCAACCTGGAAGTTGCTGCCCTTACGGACAAGTGGTATGGGGAGTCTCAAAAGCTGGCTGCCGCAGTGTTCACGCTGGTTTGTACCGTTTCTGCGTTCAATCGAGATTAATGGAATGAGATATTGCCACAGATGATTTGCGTCCCTTGAAGTGGGAGAGCTCCAAGAAAACAGTTTTGCAATGGTCCGTTGCTGTCTCTGTGCTATGTTAGTGTTGACAGGAGAACAAGGAGCAATCTCTTTGATCCATGCACAGAAATTGTGAGCATTCCAGTGTCCACAGTGCACACTTTCATTAAGCTCCCTCCGGTATATTCCGTACGCCATTGGATACTTCCCAAGAGAGTATACATGCAATCCGTTTCACCCTGAAAGAAATATGCGTCTGATATATAGCTTTGACTGAGCACCTCTCACCAATATATTAAAAAAAAAAATGGAACTCGTGGGCCATGTTGATTGTTCTTGGGGAGATAGCACCCAGGATATTGAGCTGCTGCTGTATGCTCTGCTTAAATCTAAAGTGTAAAACTTTGTGACAAATAAATATTTATCCGTAGTTACTTGGACGGTAAACACTCATCCTCTGAATTCGGTTCGAGAAGCGTTAAAAGTGCCATTTCGGCCAGACAGTCGACGTGCGAGGGGACCGTTTTGTGCTCATCGCCTGCACCGAGCGTCTATTTTAAAAGAGTAAAGCTATACGCACTCCGGAGTGCACTTCGGACGGAAATGGCTATACGCACTCCTCCGAGAGATCATGCCGCTCGGGCATGATCTCTCGGAGGTCAGCCCCCCGCCTGCGTTCACGCCGCTTCGCGGCGACAGTATCGGCTGCTAATCACAAAACGAAACCAGTACACGCCGCTTCGCGGCGTCCAGCCGGCAATTCAAGCCCCGCTGTCCCCGATCGCACCTCCGGAAAGGGAGTCCCATACCATTTAGTTCTGCGAAGTTTTTCGACAACATTCTTTTTATTTTTTTTTTACTGTTCATCGCAAAAAAAAAATTCGTAAATATCGCCGAATGCCTCAACAAAACAAAATGTTTAAGAAAAAAAAAAAAAAAAGGCCCATCGCGGATTGAATTCGCGTCGTCTTGCGTATGAAGCGGACTCCTTGACCCCTATGCCATGCCACCGCTTAGAAAGCTGGTTGTGACCACTCGTTTTATACGAGAAAAGCGGAGTCCGTATAGCCATTTCCGTCCGAAGTGCACTCCGGAGTGCGTATAGCTTTACTCATTTTAAAAACTGTAAATAGCCCTAAAAAAGCGAAACACCATGCTAACAAAACATTTATAGTTTGCCAAAGATATAACGAATAGCATCAGTGTGTGCGGTTCCGTGCACAGTGTTGGTGGAAGACTGGTGGAAATTATCTAGGGGGAGTTGAATGACGTACAACTAACTGCCACAGCTGGGGGTAGGTGGGACAGAGAAAAATTGGGACTCCCTTCCGCGTGACTCCAGCCCAAAGTCTCCACCCTGTCTTCCAGTGGGCCCAGCGCCGGGGTAACGCCTACTAGGTTTGACCAGAGGAAAATCGGCAAAGTTTTTAGTTTTTTTGCCTGATTCCCTAAAGGTTATCCTGGTGATATCCGACACCACCTGGTGATAGTTACCAAATTGCGGAGGGTAAACAAATTGGCAAAGGAAAGAAATCATACTTTTGGTTCTTAACTTTTAGGCTAGGTGGCACAAGCTACCGCCCAATATAAAGGGTGCAGCCGTTAGCATTCATTCATTTAAGTGGGCACTCCCAAATGTGTAATTGCCACCAAACATGTATGTCAACGACTGTCAAAAGGTTAAGCGACTGAATGGCAGACATATGCCACAAACCAAACTTTAAAAAAAAAGAAAACAAAAGTAGTTGGCTCAATATTTTTGTTGTGTGTCTCACTTTGAATGAGGAGTGACTCCCAAATGTGCTTCTATTTTGTTACGTTGTGACATATAGTAGTCTCAATACTCCAAATGAGTCTCGCGACCTAAATCTTTCGCAATAAGATTTTTTTTTCTTTGTTTCAGTGAAAGTGTTTTTTTGTGGCAGGTATATTCTATTTAAGCACTAAACAAAAACTTTTTTTTTTTTTCATTGTCTTGAGAGTTTTAAATTGACAGCAACAGTAAAATCCTCGTGACTAGCTTTTCCGGGCGCGGTCGGCCAACTCTCTCTGACGAAAGAACAGTAAAAAAACGCCTGCCGGGGGGGGTTGGGTTGTGTCACTTTTGTGGTTGCAGGCGGTGAAAATCCAGCCGTGCATAGTGTTCATCGACGAGATTGACTCGTTCCTGCGTTCCCGGGACAGTCAGGACCACGAGGCGACGGCCATGATGAAGGCCCAGTTCATGTGCCTGTGGGACGGCCTCATCACGGACCCCAGCTGCCAGGTGGTGGTCATGGGGGCCACCAACAGGCCACACGACGTGGACAAGGCCATCCTCAGGCGCATGCCCGCCATGTTCCACGTGGGACTGCCCGTAAGAGATGCTGCTGTCTGGATTCCTCCCTCCCCGCCACGGAGAACCCTTGGAGAACCTTCTTTTAAAAACTACCAGAAAAAAAAAATATATATATATAGATGTATTTTGCGAAGAGGGTTGATTTTGAAATTTGCCATATTTACGTCCACCAACATCTAGAGAGTATTCCCAGAAGGTTTCGTTGATTTACACTGCATACAGAGTGTGTCCCAAAACTTCCTGGAATGAATTTTTGTAGTCGGCGATGCTGCCGGTCACGGCAGGGCAGGGCTTCGGGCGAAGAAGTTAGTAGGGTATCTAAGCTTTGAAACGAGACTGGTCTCAGTTGCCTGCGGGTAGTTGTTGAGGCAGGTCACGCTTTGTGCAGAAATATCTACTGCACCCTTGCCAAGAAAAAAAAAATAGACCAGTTTTTGGAGCAGCGTTATGCAATCAAGTTTTCTGTGAAACTGGGTACAAACGGGGCGGAGACGCTCAAAATTCTTCGGAAAGCCTACGGTGACGACACGATGAAACAAAGCCAAACTTTCGTGTGGCACAAGAGATTCTGGGAAGGTCAGGAGTCCGTCAACGATGACAACCGCTCGGGACGCCTGTCGACATCACAAACGGACGACTCTGTGCAAAATGTGCGTCAAGTTTTGGGCAAGGACCGGGATTAAGTGTTGGACGATTGCAGAGGAGTGTGGAATACCCAAAACAATATTTTATTGTATTTTAACAGAGGGTCTTCAAATGAGGAAAGTTTGCACGAAAATGGTGCCAAAAGTCCTGACGAGTGAGATGGAGGAAGTGTGTTTGTTGAAGTGCCAGGAATTGCATGAACGCTACAAAACGGACCCAGAATTTCTGGACGGAGTGATCACAGGGGACAAGATGTGGATTTTTGAGTATGATTCTGAATCAATGCAGCGGAGCAGCAAGGATGAACAAATTGCGAATCAAGGCAATGCTCACTGTATTTTTTGACAGAAAAGGTGTGGTTCACATTGAATTTGTGCTACAGGGACAAACAGTCCACAAGGACCTTTACTGTGAAGTGCTTAAACGGTTGTGCAACAGGGTTCGACGCGTTCGAAAAGAAGTTCACAACAATCGGATCTTGCACCATGACAACACGTCAAGCCACATTGCGCTCATCGTCTCCGATTTGCTGGCCAAAATGGGTGCGGCAACGCCGCCCCAGGTCCCGTACAGCCCCTATCTGGCACACCTGGAGTCCTTTTTGTTCCCAAGAATCAAAAGAACCCTGAAAGGAACTCGGCATGGGACGCTGTAGACGGTAAAAGCAGCTGCGACGACCTCACTGATGGAGGTTCCCATTGACGGCTTCCAGGGCACCTTCAATGATTGGGTGAAGCTTTTGCAAGGGTGCATCGAAGCAGGGGCAGAATACTTTGAAAAGTTCTGAAAAGATTGTAAACTAATATTGAATATATGATTTGTAACAAAGAGATTCCGGGAAGTTTTGGGGCAGACCCTTAGTTATTTTTTTGTTGTTATTATTTTCGCTCCACCAATGCTAAAAAAAAAGTAGAAATAGGTGCACTTTGAACTCATTCTTCTCTGTTCCACTTTTTGGCATAAATTTCATTTTAGGAAAACTCGTTTGTAGGGTGACCACCTTCCTGCTAGTGAAATGCAGGACATGCGTGGCAGGGGTGGGGAGAGAAGGGGGCGGGGGGGGGGGGGGGTAGAGGAAATCATGAACACGCACACCATTAACTGAGGCTCTGTATACACATTTAATATCCTGTGCTGTTTATGCACGTGCAAATTGTATTGCAGCAATTAGGCAGGTGTATAGTCTTCGGGCTTGGGAACAAATTCCTAACCCCAAAGACATTTCTAGCAAACAGTTTGGGGGAAAGGGTGGAAATCCCACTCCCGAATTCCCCCCTACACACACACACACACACCACACCACACCACACCACACCACACCACACCACATATATCCAACCACTTCCGACACCCCTGGATGAAAACAGTCACTAGTCAGTGGTGTCTTCGTTCTTTTCTTACTTTTGTGTTTCATCTAAACCGTTTTGCTGTCCACATCAAGACCAGAGAAGATGAATGTCCTTTAACGAATATTTATGAACTTCCTGTGTTGTCGCACTTTCTGAAGTTTTTCGGTGTGTCGCTGCCCATAGCTGCAGTGAATGTTTTACATTGCAGCTGCGAGAGTGAATATTAAAAATGCGGGACAGGCAGAAACAAACATTTTGTTCTATTGCGCTCCTATTCTCACATTCCATTATGTGCTTTTCAACGTAATTTTGTGGCCTGAAACATCAATGCTAGGAAATGATTGGTAGAGTAGTCCTAATGTTGCAACAGAAAGCATTCTTGTAACAGCATTCTATGAATTTGTGACTCTTCAAGTACTAGTATTTTGCAGGTGTGGCACAAGAGAGTCAAGGTAGTAGTTTTGTTTACTGTGGTTATTAATGCAAATAATGAAAGCAAACTTTAATTTTCCAGAACCTGCAGCAACGTGCTGGGATTGTACAACTTATCCTGAAGACTGAAGCGGTAAGCTACCGATACTTCAACATTAGTAAAATTTTAATCCTAGCCTATCTGCCTTACCAAAACATTTTAAAGGGGCGGTGCAATGATTTTAACACTGAACGAATGTGCAGCTTGTATTTTTTATATTGTTTACTTTGGCATAAGTAAGAGAAAAAGTGCCACCATACCCCAAAATACCTCTATTTCGCTGCGTAATCGCAAAATAAAAAACACTTTTTTTCCCAACCTGGGGCCACATGGTGGCCGCAAATGGAACCTGTGGTGTGACGCCATTCGGAGTGGTTTTTGTAAGTGATAGTGTTAGGCAATTGTAAGCTTGATTTAAGGTTAAGTTTAAAAAATCTTGTTGTTTAGGCATGCAGAAACGCTTCAAAAGCCTAATGTTGCCGCTAAAAGGGTATGAATTATTTGTGGCGCCATCTACCGCAAGTCAACAAAACCTGCCGTCGCCATCATCCGTCGACGCCCGAGGCGCCTACGGCGGCTACACGAGCAACCCGGACGTTTTGTCTTTCCCTCGCTCGACGGAGTGCGTTGGTCGTGGTCCGTAGTATCATGGTATCGTTATTGTTCCTGGTGTCTCGACCTCGAGTTCGACTGCCCGCTGCGTCGACTGCCCGCCGCACAAGTCCAACTGACTTACTATACGCAAGCATCTTGCGCTCGACGTCGCTCAGGCCGTCCGCCCATGCCGCCATGTTGGTCGGGAATCGGCGGGAGAGCGGGAGAGCTGCGAGCCTGACGAGCCGGCGAGCGCTGGGGAAACGGAAGCCAGAAGAACCCAACCGGAAACCAACGCCACTCCGAATGACGTCACAGGCGAAGCTGGTGCCGCTTCAATGTTGAGTTGAGGGGTGCTAGAGATACCAATTTCTTTTATTTTTTTTTTTAATGAAAACTAGGGCAAGCAGGAAAGAATAGTTTTCGGTCCTTCGTTTCATATGTGGCTGGGATCGATTCCCGCAATTAATTAGCCAAAGTCCGCAAATTGTTGCACCGCCCCTTTAAGATTGGTACATGCTCGTGTAAAAGCTACACTTTTTGTTTTCTTTAGAATTTGCGCATGAATTTTTGGCCGTAGTTCTTAAGGATGAACAAAGGAAGTTTTTTTATATTGTTTAAAGACCTAGCATACTGGGTTGTTGGCATACCCGTTTTTGCTGTGCACCTTTTTTTTGTTTAGAATAATACATCTAAAAAGTTTTTTCGCGTTACAATTGGATACGAAATCGGGAGCATGTCGAAATCGCTATATTTCAGTATAAAAACTGGGTGCATGTTAGAATCGAGTAAGTATGGTACTCCTCTCGTAGCCACCATTAACAATCTTATTTTAAGCACATCTATTTAGGGGGCACATTCATTGCTTCGTCCTTTGAGGATGTAGATGCAATGTCTCGGTTCTAATCATTCAGTTTCCCATGATACGGGCTGCCACATTAGTAGCATGACTCACTGATGCATGTGCCTGCATGCACTAGTAGTCGTGCTCGATTACACTTTCTGGGATGAAAGAGGGAGAAAGAAAGTCTTGTGGTCCATGGAGTGAAATACAAAGGCTTCTCTCCCCTGTTCGCTCTTCTCCCTTCTGCTCCTCCTTGAAAGAGGTAAAACAGGGACGAGAGCTTTGCGGAGCATTTCACAAACAACCAAACATATTGAAATGCAGAGGGTGTGTGCACACTGCGAGATGAAAGAAAGTGTTTTTTTTTTGTTTTTTTTTTGCGACAGAATTTAAGGATGTGGCAAAGATATGCTCTGGACAGTATATCTGGCATGTTTGGATCTGCCTAATGGACACACTGATGCAATTAACCAGATCTTATTATTTATTTGGTATTAATTTTTTTGCATAGCTTTTCGTTGTAAGGAAAGTGGCAAAAGAAAGCAGGATAGGGGACATTGAGAATTAAGTTAAGTACTAGAAAATCGTATTGAGTAAATAATGAACAAAGCATTAGTTGAGTAGTATTAGGCCTGCCTATAAGGAAAAACTAAATGACATGCCATGTGCATGTGACTTTTACATTACCCTCGTGCAATCTTGTTCCTACTTTACTCCGTTTTACCTTAGGATGGACCACAGCTGACGCTGCGAGCTGTGGTGTCGGACTGGCTTCAATGGCTCGTAGCAGTCTCTGCAGTCTGTTGTAAGGTGAAATGGAGCATAATAACGAGTCTAATACGTATGTCGAGCATTTATCACTAGCTTGCCTCGGACTAGCAATGAATGCGAGCTCATTCATGGCCAATTTCAACACTGACGTCTGTTTCCAGGAGAGTTTACGTTATGTAGTGGTTTTACGAGCCAGAAATATTCTTTGCTCGTTGACTCTTGTAACTGGTTGTTTTGTTGTTAATCCGTGTAGGCAAACAAGAGCGATTACCTCTGTTTGCGTTACCCAAGACATTGGGTGGTGCATGACAGCTCCCCATTGTGCGATGTTTCCTCAGCTCTCCGAGGACGTGAACCTTACCAGTATAGCCCGCCAGACGGAGGGTTTCTCCGGCAGTGACCTGAGAGAGCTGTGCCGCAACGCTGCGCTCTACCGCGTGCGAGACCTCCTGAGGGACGAGAAGGCACGGGAGGGGTGAGGCCTTCTCTTTTTAACCCTGTTGCTGGGTTGCACAACGGGCACTAGCTCGAATGCCATACCTGCTGCTCTTGCTGTTTACTCCCCCGCTTTAGTGTCAAACTCCAGACTATGCTCATTCCACCAAACGGATACTAGGTCCGATGACAGCCTTCTAACTATGTCTCAGAAAAACTGGAAAAGGTGACGGTCGTGTCTCAATGCTGACTGGGTTGTGCTGTGTACGATTTTGCATCTTGCATGTGTGTGCTTAAGGCGTAGCTTTAGTGCTCTTTCTGCCAGGTAAGACTCTTTAAGGTGCACTAAAGACGTTTCGGAGATTGTCTGTTCTTGGTGATAACTTATCTTACGCGCCCAAAGCATCCTAGAAATTGAAAAATTATGCTTGTGCGACGTCTCTTTCCCTACTGAAAATGTGATAGAAGTTTGTGCCACGCCCCTTTCTGAGCGGAAAAATCTGGAGCGCAGAATCTAGCAAAGACGACGGCGGCGCCTCTGCTGCCGGCGCCTCAAGTTCCGAATGGCTGACACATGCCCATTGTCACGTTGCCGGGGCCTCTGCTGGATTCTGTGCTTCAGATTTTTCTGCTCAGGAAGGGGCATGGCACAAACTTGAATCACATTTTTGGTATTGAAATGGATGTTGCACCAGCATAATTTTTCGATTTCTGGGATGCTAAGATCCCGTAGAATGAGTTATCACCAAGAACAGACAATCTTAGAAACATATTTGGTGCACCTTTAAGAGCCAGTGAATAAGCTAAGCTGAGCAGATCCCAGGGATCTTGGGTTCAATCCTCATTCCTGCTCTTTTCGATCTGGATGATCATCGTACCAGTGTGCAGTCTTGTATCTCTACTGCATGATGCACATTAAAGACCCCAGGCTGGCGGTTATACTGCACTGGCTAAATTTCTCATCTACAAAGAGGCAAGTCGCACGTGCAGGCACATGCCCACACACCAAGTTTTTTTTTTCTTTTGGGGGGGGGGGGGGGGGGGGGGCTAAGCTGATGAGTAAGTTATTTTTGGCTATTTAGCTGCGTAGGATCAATTTTTCTAGTTAAGTCAACATCTATTAAGTGTACAGGATCCGACTAAGAAAATGGAACCCCGTTTTTCAGCCCTCATAAGCCAACTGGTATGCATCGCGGGAAGCTGAAACTCCGTGTAAATGTGATGCCTAGCGGTGGTGGTATAATGCGAAAGTTCGAGAACATGACATTACCCAGATCAAAAGATAAAGGAGAATCACGAAATTTCTCTGGATGCTGATGTCCACCATGTCCTAATATTCCCCAGACTAAAAAATGGCATTGTGGAGACCGTGGCACTTATTTCAGTGAAGAAATCTTGTCAGCAAGAATAAAAACACTATTGTCTTTCTTGCTGGCGATTTTCGCTTGTTCGGACAGAGGTTTTGGGATTTTTTCCGTCTACTAAAGGAGACTCTGAGCTCCTGTCTCAGTAGAGTCAGTCTATCTAGTTTTATATTAGACAAGATTGACGCCAGAAAAAAAGAAAATCTCTTTGGCTACCATGTACCACTAGCCATCAATTTTTTGCAATAAGATTAGGGTGTTTACATTGATGCATACTACACACTTGCTGAACTTGACATATGACGTTGATGCATGATGGAAGGACTGAGAACCCCAGCGGCAACCTTCTCTTAGGAGACCCTAGAGAAGCTTGTGCCATGTCTTTATAATTACTAGGCATGAGCTAATAGAGGATTTTGGGTTTGAAATGTATTCAAAGTGAAAAGTGGTTTTGGCCGAATATTATCAAATAGAATACCGAATGGTTTTTCTAAGCCTTTCACTACTGCCCTGCGCTTAAAGGGGCACTGACACCCCAAAGGTTGTATATATTTTTATTGTCTAAATTGTTTATTGTTTATTAAATATTGTTTATTGTCACGCAAAAAAAAACCGCATCGCAAAAAAACATTTTTTCGCGCGCGCGCGCCTTTTTTTATTTTTGGCGTTTGATTCTCCCGCCTTCGCCTCCTCGCTTCTTTTGATTCGTGATGTCAAGAATCATGAAATTTAGAAGCTTTGTAGGCGACATCTTTATAACATTTAACAACGGCAATCCTAAAACATGTTTTTTAACGCAATTGCGAACGCACTACGGCCCTTCTTTTGAAATACCAAAAATCAGGAGTTCATTGTGGTGCCGTCTCCGTTGTATCCTCCAACGGAAAACAGGCGACACCGCTCAAAACCGGTCCGCCGGAACGCCGGCGCTCGCTCCTTTCCTGCTCGCTTTGGGTCGCCATGGCAACAGCAGGGAGTGGTGAAAGAAAGCGGACTCTCAGGACTCCGCAATATTTGACGTCAAGGCACCGGCGCCGATCGCGCGGGAACTTCGAATTCGGCATTTGGAAATTGTTTTTTGACTTCACAAATACTGAATTCCCAAATTTCAAATTTTGAGGGTAATGTCCCGGCATCGTTTTCAATCGTTTCGGAAAATAAAAAAAAAAAATTTTGATGTGTCAGTGCCTTTTTAAACAAAAAACCAGCGAAACTCGTGAGGGTTGTTCCCAAGCTTCCACTAGTCCATTTCTAAGCTAATATTAATCTAACTCTATTTATCAACTGTGGCCTTAAAAAGTCCTATGCCACACCCACATTGGGATGGCAAGTAAACGACACATTTTACATAAAATTAAACCTATAGAGATGCCCAGCTATACCTAATTGTGGGGATTTGCAAATATTCTAGCTGCATAAACGTTAATATATTTTCTTCAATCACGAAGGATTAATGCGGGTTGTCAAGGCATTTCTTCCTAACATATACTCATGCATAATAGCCAGTTTACTTTTAAAAATTTTACTGCAATGTAAATATTGTTATGAAGGTGTTTGGAATGCAGCAAATGTCAGACATGTCCTTTCGATGAGATGGAAAGAGTTTGATATAAAAGTCAGGCCATGCATTGGTCAAGCATGCCACTGCCCCAGCATCGTTGTCTTCGTCACAATATCAACATTTACAAAGGTTCTATTCTTGTTTAAGAACACCAGGCCCGCGTATGTGCCGTCCCGCTTTGGAAGTGTGCTTTTCTCCTGAGCACGCGGCTACGATATTTGTACGTTTCGAAGTGTTGATTACGGTGTGTTAGTCCCGTTGCACATGCTTCTTACCAAGCACTGTGGAGAAGCAAGAGCCGTGTAGGCGAACTCCGCGAGTGTTGCTTCTCCGCAGTTCACCGGTGCTCACCAAGGCTAACCTGCCGGGATCAACACTTAAAAAAATACGGGTATCGCAGTTCATCTTAAAGCAAACATCGAAAAGCATATTATTCGAAACTACTATGCAAAAATTTGAATATTCGCACAGTCCTAAAAATGACCTGAGTCTGTGCGGTGACTATGTGGAGAAGTATCTAGAATATGTATCCAAATTTTGAGTATATTAAAACTTTTTTCGGCACTCATTTATTTCACCTAATTAATTGGAGGTTGAAGAGAAAAAAAAAACAACTTGTATTTGAGCATTTTTCGAGCCTCTTTTTAACGTAAGTTCCCTCGGGTTGCAGTCAGCAGAAGGAAGGGTCCGACGACGAGGACATCTTCCACGACGCACTGCGGCCCATCTCAATGGACGACTTCACCAATGCCCTGTCCAAGATGAAGAGCTCCAAAGTGCTCGCTCACCATCGGCTTCCGATGCCGCTTGATCTGGACTAACACCAGCTGCTACACGAGGCAAACTGTGACCCTCGCACAACTGTGATCGCAGCAGTGTGCTGCCAAGACTGTGAACATTAGGCTCCGAGTGACCGAAGAACCGGACTTCCAGCCTTTGGCTGCTTTCAGAATGGTTCAAATGCAATGCCATGGGCCTTACCACGCAATTCGTTTCTGCCTTTGTTGATCTTGAGGAGATATAGATTAGCCGTTACGTTTTCCAATTTACTGCCCGCGAGAATGGGACGCATTTTTATCACCCCTGGTCAATCTTGTTTTGCTGTGCAGTTGTAAGCGAGGAAATTGAGGCTGGCGATGGCAAACGTGTCCGTGCGAACCTCTTCGTAATTCTCGAGAGGTGCCATCATAGTTTCGGTTGTATATATATTGCTTGTTTTTCGTTACCAGGCGCCATCGTAGAGCAACTGTTTGTAAGCCAAGTGTAGATATAAGAAATTAAATATGCACGTAATAAGCTTGAAAAAGCTTGTTTTTATGCTTTAAAATGGTCACTTTGAATACTGTTCGAGCTATTTATGCTCCAGATTAAATTGTGTCTTGTATCCAGACAAGGTAGCAGTCTGGTGTCAAGATCACATTTCATACAACCTCTTAAATCGGGACTGGATTGTGCAGCTTTTGAACATGACACGAATATACAAAATGTGTTCATCCCTTTCCTTACGAGTATTTGTGTATTACGCTTAACAGAGGCTACCGACGGGATATACAAGGGGTATTCACAGGTTGCCATTTTGTTGGGCGTTGTTCGTGGCGCATGCTCAAAACGATGCTCGAGGACATCTGTTTCTGGCATTTCAGGAGAATTTCGTGCACAGCTTTGATCGGTGCTCAAGGACCGCGAGCGCACGGGTGCCCATAGCTCTGTCTTCACTGCCTGCGGGGTATGCACAAGAATGCACACTGAACATCCATTCCACACAGTCACAACCATTGTTCTCGGATGACGAGAAATGGGAGCTAGTTTCAGGCATGCGCTGTGAACAACATCCAACAGTATGGTGTCCCGTGAATATCCCCTAGAGGATGTCAGGTCAAGGGAGATCATATATTTAAGTTTGCAATGGGCTTTTTTGCACACTGAAAAATGAAACTTCCAGTATTAGACAAAGCAAAGCCGGCTTACCACACGTAGCGGCCCATTTGAAATTGGAAGTATGACAAGGTACGAGAAAAATAACCTACCTAATGTTACATGAATCTTTCAATGTGCACCTCTATCACATAGATAGCAAATAAGCGGAAACAGACAACTAACAAGGGCCGAACCAAAATTGCACTCATATGCAAGGTCTGGAGCGTGCATTAAATGTCATGCTCCAGGCTTCTTGTACCAAAGCTATTTCATGTTGCATGGCCAGCTTTCCAGCACAGATATTATGTGCTGCATTCAGCGGTACCTTGGTTTCTCATTTCCAATGTTGCAACCAGGGTGTAAGATAGACAGGTGGGGAAACGAGAGCCAAATGAGCGACCGCATTGTGTCCCCCTCGGGTTTCTCTTTCTGTGGCGCCATCCATGTGGGGCACCGCGAACTCTCACTCCGGGTGGGCGACCGTTGGCGACCAGCTAAACTGACGGAGATGGTTTCTCGTGGATTTTCAATGGAAGACTGTCGTGCTCTCGATTTATTTTGCGCACTCTCCCATAAAGTTCCACGCAAATTCGATTCAGATTTTTTCCTCTCGCCGCAGCGCCATCTGTCGCAAGTCGAGGGAACCCGCAAGCAGACGAGTACACAATCCGGTCACGGCGCTGCGGTAGGTTTCTATGGGCAGTTTCCCCACCTGTCTATCTTACACCCTGGTTGCAGCCTTGTAGTACAAGGCAGAGTAAAAAAGTAAGCAAAATTTAGTTATAAAAAACAAAAAAATCCCTCGACAGACTGCTGCGTTTCAAATATAGTTTGGCCCTTTATTTATGTAAGCTGTGCAAGCTGGCCCAGCATTCCGATGGAAAATGTCACCTGACCACGGCACTTTTGAACTGGTCGTCCCCTTGAGAAGCGCGCACAAGGGAGCAGCAGCGCTCCAAAATCCGTTTTTTGGGTAGAGGGCGAAAAGCCTCTGGATATTTGTTGCAGGAGGTTGAAGCAGTATGGAGGCGCCTGTATGTCACTTCGACAGGCATACAAGTGGCACAAAAAATTTAAAGGCGTAGAGTCAAGTCCGACTGATGCACCTCACTCCAGCTGGGCTCACATTTTGACGACGACGCACACAATATTGGAAGTTGAGTGGCTTGTACACATAAATGGCTGTGTCCGTATCAACGGAATAGCTGAAGAATTGGATATTACTATTAGTCGTGGCACGGTGCACCACATGATTCATGATATTCTGCAGTATGATAAGTGTCTGCCAGGTGGGTTCCAAGACAACTTTTACCAGACAGTAAGGGGTGCACCATGGATGTGTGCAAGATGCTACTTTGACACTATGAAGCTGAGAGCAATGATATTCTTCAACACATTGTCGCTGGGGATGAATGTTGAATCCACCATGCCCAGCCAGAAACCAAGCAAGCAAAAAAAAAAAAAAGAAAGGCACTTTTTGTTATTAAATACCAAAGTTCCGGGCAGGGCCATGCTCTTGGTCTTCTGGGACCATAAAGAACTGATAGCCAAACATGACATCCCCAGAGCATTCAGTGTCAACAGCAGGTTGTATGGTGACCTACTCGAGAACATTTGGAGTCTGGTCAGCTCAAAGGGCTGTGCCGTGGTTTGCCGACCTTTGGTGTGTTGTTGCAGCATGACAGCGCATTCCCCCACCCAGCTTGTGCGACAGCGGAAACATGCAAAGAGTATGCTTTCAGTGCATTCCACATCCGCCATGCTCAAAGGGCTTGGCACCAAGCAATTTTAATTTCTTCGAATCACTCCCAGCAGTTCTGGGCGGAGCATCTTTGGCTTCGGAGTTAGCAGCAAGAGGTTTTCGTCCGCGGCATCCGCTTGTTGGTGCACGTGTTGAACTTTGGAGGGTCTGTGCTGAAAAGCAGCAAATTGCTTTTATTCTGTCTTGTACGAGTTGTATGACCAGGGGGCATAATATAGGAGGCTAATAGTTGCAATAAGTTGGATAATTAGCCACAGTGTTCAGCTTTTTAATTAGTGAAAATAAACACTGTTTCAATCAGAAACCTGCCAAGCATCATCAAAAACTAGACTTTTAGCAAGATTTGGAGCACAGTGCTGCATTAAAGTTAACAACCAGGCAACAGGTGGAAGGTTAGTGGAGCAAAAATGCGGATGATATACTACTACCGCACACTTGGCTTGCGTTTCTGTGCCAACAGCTTCGAGCCTATTGCACATGTGGCTACCTTAGTGCACCACCACGAGTTTCATGCGATCCAAATCTTTCTGAAGTTTACCGATTTAGTGGTTTCCAATGACACTGTCAAGTTCTAGTTGTTAGCATAGGTTTATTTGCACTAATAAAAGCTAATGAACAGAGTCGTTTATCAAACTTATTCTGACAATTATCCCCCTATATTGTGTCCCTCTGGCCATGTAGCTTTATGGCTTCCTGAAGACAAATCTATGGCCTAAAGAAAAAAAGATCGAGGTACACCTAAGCACTTCTTAGTTGTGGATGCAAAAGCATGCAACCACTCTTCCACTCCCTTTTCGTCTGCGGCGTACTTCCGTCTACGGTCGAGCGCGTGTGCTGACCTTAGGCGTTGAGCAGTGGAGCCGTTGCCTTGCTGACACGCAGTGCCATGGGGTGGCGGTCATTGAGAAAGACGTGCAGCGACTAATGGGAGCCTCGTCGACGCGCACCAGCGCAATGGGACCAAAGCCGAAATCCATCAACTTTACTCCGCTCTTTTGGGATCGGGGAAACTAGGGGCCATTTGGCTAGGCTTTTCGCATGGTTTCATAGCTGGGAGCTGGCTTCACTTGGAGAAGGTTTTAAGGTGCCGTTTGGCGCAGTTTCAAAGCTGATGACATCGGCTCGCTCCATGGGACAGTTATGCTTGCGCATTAAAACACCCTGTATATTTAATGTACCCTTGAGGGCAAAGGAGGGAGGGGATTATCAGTAGTCATAGAACAAAACCGCAATGAAATTACAGAGCACGACTGAGCAGAAACTAATGGTCGCCTTGTTAATTCTCCCATAGAAGCAAAAGGACGTCATCCAGAGTTTATGGCAGGAAGTGCTCATTTCGGGGCAATAATCTAAAAGTGGGAAAATGGTGCTCATCAATTCACTGCAAGAGCAAAATGCAAGGATGCGCCAATGGCTTCATGCAAACTGTTGTACATTATGTATACTAGTATCAGTACACAAACAAGCACAGCAATTTTATGTCCAATTTCTATTTGAGCGACGGTAGTTCGTGGAGCAGTTTAGAAACTTTGCCTCCACCAGATATTAGTAGATGGCAGATGCTGTATGCTGGTAAATACATAGGCCCATTATCGCGACATTGCAATTTAACCTTTTCACATGGTGAAAGAACTTCCTCCAGCGCTCTAAACTGACCCAGTATTTGATTGCTTCATCACCAAGTCCACTGAATCGTTATGGACATCATCCAGTTCAGCTTACATCTAGGTGCATGTAGTGCCATGAAGGGCTATGTGGTCTGTATCACCTAAACAAAGATGTAAGTTTTCATACACTTGTCATTTGTGCATTCACCGAAATTGGGAAAACAAATGGTGTCAACACCTTTGTTCATGCACATAACGAACACAACGTAATTATAAAACTGTTTATTTTAGAATTAAACTGTATGAAAATACAAAAATATACAAACTTTGTTCGACTAGATAGCCTGGCAAGCCTATAGAAAAAAAAAAATTTCTCAAACGCGGCAGTACGAAAAATTATATAAAAACACTGCGAGAGAAACATGCTGCAGACCACGGCTTGTCACGTAATACAACTTTTGGCACTCAAAGTTGAACCTATTTTAGGTTCAAAAAGAACACATTAATGAACACAAAAAGAAAAAAAAAGGGTAAATATCACCACTGTAAATGCTTCCCAAGGTGTAAAAATGGCAAGTCCAGTCTCTTAAAAAGGTTGTACGGAGCATAAAAGTCGCAACTACACAGTAGTGCGTGCGTGCGGGCTGAGCATAATGGGACTCTTTCCTGCAGCTGTCCTACCCGACAAAAACGGTGCGGCAAAGCCGCAGAAAAAGTTCAGGAGCGCGAGGGAGATCGGTGCTGTTGGAATATAAAACCTCGTTGCTTAAGCTTAGCGGTTAATTGTCAGTTTCCAAAGAAAAAAACTGTTCCTAAATAAATACGAACGCTGGGGACTTGTAACGTGCCAACTGGGAAACGGGAGCATTATATAGAGCTAAAAACAAAGGCCTCTGCTAGACTTGAGGGAACCTGCAGGTACTACCGAGGCAGTCAGTTTGAACAGGGTAGGGGCCTGTTGTACTCTCAAAACATTCGAGCGCAAATCCATAAAAAAAAATACTAGAAGTAGCACACAGCTCGGGTTTCTTCGCTGAACAGTCGTACGTACATGTCAAAACATACACGAGACCCATTATTGCACAAAACCCCTTAAAAAAATAACAAACTAAGCTGCCTCCACCAGAAAAAATACATTTGGTTTTCCCAGGTTAATGGGGTTTTTCAAGCAAAAACGAACAAACAAAAAGCCTTTCTGAAGGTAAGAGAACACAAAAACAAACAATTTAACACAATCTCTTGACTGGTAATTAGTGTAGTGTCTAATAATTACCTGCGCTTTAACTGCGGAACATAGAGTTCTGTACAAACACTTTGCCTACATGCTTTTTTTTTTTTTCTAATCTACCTACGGGACTAGGAAACCAGATCTTTGGTATTCATTTAGGTTATAAGTTAAAAGGGGTGTGCTGTCAGATAAATTAAGTTGGCTGCAGCTCTTGAGGCAGTTGGCCCAGTCAGCAGGGATGGACCCAATGACCAAGAATGGCCCCAATCACCAGCAGGGATCAACAAGGGTCCTTGGCGGAGAGGTGCCAGAAGTACGACGCTCCGCGCCGGGAGCCGCCTGGAAGCTTCTCGAAAGCCCGGATTTCTGGGAGTTGAGGTCTAGAGGGAAGGAGCGCAAGTTTCAGACATTGCATGGGCAGACCAACTGCTGTCTATCGAAAGAAACTATACAGCAACATTTAAGCTAATAGGGGAGGGGTTCTCGAATAGGGTTCCGTGGACCCGCTGGGGTCCGCAAAGCCCTCATTGATTCTGGTTAGGTGGCACAAGCTACCGCCCGTTATAAAGGGTGCTCCAGCTACCATCTATCCATCCAATCATTCATCCTTTTACTCTATGCTTCCCACTTTTGTCGATAACAATAAAGCTATTATACATTAAAAACAAAAAACAATTGAATTTGACAATATTTAAATAAAAGCCCGTTGATTCCAAGTTCGCTCCCGATCCTGTGGCTTAGCTGGCTCCCTGTTATTCTTTACAATTGACTTTATTGAAACTTCCTTTTGGCCGTATTAGACCCAATTTTGTTATCCAACCTGTTGTACCCATTGGTGCGCATTTATAGCTACTGTTCTTGGTGGGTAGGTGTGTGTGTGGTGTGGTGTGGTGTGTCATTCTTGCAGATCAGTTTCTCGTTTTTGTGTTTCTGCGCATGTGTCTGTATGGCCAATAGTCGCCGCACATGTTCTAATGTTCCTGTGCTAGACTGGGCGGGCACGCACTATGACTACTCTCCAAAGGCGCATAACCTTGAGAAACTTTGTAGTGGCAACAGGTTTGGTGGCAATTGCATAAACTGAGTATGCGGTTCAATGCTGTTTCCCAGATGGAGTAAATATGAATCTAAAATTACCTTTTGCGTGAAACAAATACAATAATTTGTGAGTCCTATGCACAGACAGTTGTTTCCAATTACTAAATCAAAACATACTCCAAGCGTCGATTACATGCACACTGCATATGCAGTACAACCCATTTTACTATATAACCAATCGTAGTTCAATTCGGGTATGTGTTTCCTGTAAACCAGAGGTTCTCAAACTTTTTGGTCTCGCGGAACCCCAGGAAGCCTCAAAAACTGCCGCGGAACCCTACCCCCCCCTATATTTGCCAACCGAGAAGCAACAGATGCACAATTGTAGGCAATTTTGCTTGTGTTGCTTCCCATATATTCCCACCATATCAATCGCGATGTCGGTACAAAGTGAGATGAAGGCGCTTTGCATGGTCCTGCCGCGCAGCTTCCGGCATGGGGGGGGGGGGGGAGGGGTGTTGCAATTTGGTTGTTCACGGAACCCATGACCCCAGCTCGCGGAACCCCTGTGTTCCTCGGAACCCAGTTTGCTGGGTTCCGGTATACTGCTCAGCATACTGGGGGGAACCCAGTATGCTGTTTACAAAGCAAATTTAGTAAATATAGAGGAAGAATGGATTCTAGTGGCATAGTTATCTCTGGTTTTATTTTTGGTGGCATGACTTCTAATAGCCTTGTCATAATGAAATATTTTTGGCAACAGCAGTGCCCCTCCAGGAGGCACTGCTGTTGCTGCACTCTTCTACACTTTTCATAACCAACTCTGAAAGAGAAATTTTACGGTGTTCGTAAAGCAGCTCAACGTGGATAGGCAAGACAGTGAAAGCTTTTACAGCATGTTATCGACGTTGCCTAATTCAGCCATGGTACCGTAGTCTTGCTTCAGTCCAGTAACACTGAAAGGGAAGTGGGCTGGCTGGTATGCACTCATTGCAGAATATTTTTTCAAGTCTTAGTTTCCGTTAGATTAACTTTTTCTGCCATGCTCCAGCCATGCTGCTACATGTAGAAGGGATTGTGCCTATCCAATCTTTTAGAAGTACCAAAAAAAAAAAAATGCATGTCAAGGTTTATCTTTCTGCCTGAGCATCGATGCTCGCGTCGTCTCTTGGCTCTGCCTCGGCTAGGTGTAGTGGTCTAAAGCTTGGTTCACAAGTGTCTAGATCATTAAAACTTTAGCTCGCCCGGCATGTGTTCACTCAAATAAAGCCGACTACCTTCTCATTTTGCGAGTTTTATGTCCTTTTGCTGCAAAGAGGTCCAACTTTTCCACGAAAGCGGCTCAATATACGAATGTGCGACTTGTACAAGGGTACGACTTATAGTCCGGAAAGTATGGTACAAAGCTGTACGGCTACACCCACAAAAATAATGGCCCAAAACGGATGTGCCGACAGGTCACGTGCTACTGGCTTCACAAAGTTATGGGTTCAAATTCTCCTAGGATTCTTTTTGCTTCACTTCGTTTTATTATAATCCTAATCCACAACGAGGTTCCACAACATTCCGTAACAAAGGCGAGCCGTAGCGGGACAAGCAGCATGTGTACTCTGGTTACTAAACAATAGAAGGCCGGGTACGTTTGAAATCGAAACTATCCCTCCCAGGTGATGTAGTGGCATCAAACTAATAAAAGAATGCCAATAAATAAGTATTCTGTTATCACTATTAACTTAGTATTATTTCAAGATTAAATAATGTTTTGATATCTGTTTAACCTTTCTACATAGCTAACATGCCATTTTGTTGCTCATGTTTCCACACATCGTATGGTCGTTGGCTCAAAAAACACAATTTTTAACACTATTTCTAAACTTTAGATGCAATGCTTTGCCGTAACATGTAATACGCAGGCCAAATCGCTGCTGCAAGAAGTATGCATCGCACACAAAAATGTCCTATTAGTTTCTGCCAGAGGGTCTATTTAGAAAAATCATCAACTTATGGTACAACTGGTTGCTCCAATACTTTTGAGTAATTACCTTTTAAACTAGTTAATTTATAGGTATGGTGTCGATTGGAAACTGGCCAACATCAAAAACCATTAACTTGGCACACTTGACAAAAAAATATATATGGCATGCCGAGCATTTTAAGGCATTTCTAAAAAGCACTCAATTTGGGCGCATTTTGAAGTTTCCGATTCCCCATCAAAACTCATTTCCATGCCAGCAGCTGCACTTCATAAAGGTTCAAGGCTGGAGCATGTGGCTATGCAACCATGGCAGACTTTTGCCTGCAGGTTCTTCAGGAAAAGAGAGCAACTAAAGAATGGGAGGGAAGGCGAGATGAACAAGGAAACCCACCAGATATGGCAAGCAGCATTTTTTTCCTCGCACCATAGGGAATACAGAGCTGCTGGAGGTCAGAGTCAGTCATGACCAGGAATGTTTGCAGATCAATCTAGAAGGGTGGCAAAGAAAAGCAGCATTTCAGCACTACAAACAGTACCTGAACTGTCTGGGTATCTGCAGGAAAAGCAATATTTCAGTGCTATATGGGCAAACTTGAACAATTTGGCTATCTGAAGGATTGAAGGTTGCTATTGAAGTAGCACGTACCTCGTTCTGCAGGAAGATGTCCACATACTTGCCCAGGCTCAGGTGGTTGAACAAGTGAGGAATGTCGTGGAAAAGCTGGTCGTGGCCCAAGGGGCGAGCCCCAACCGCGTCAAAAAAGTTGCTGAAGCTGAAGGCGCTCTCTGAAATGGACAAGGTGGTCCCTTTGCACACAGAACAGGCAACTACATGCAGTGCAAGCAGTTGCTTGAGAGAATGAATACAACCAGTGGAGAGTCATGCCTAGAGTCGATTCCCTTTACTTGCATACATGAAATTCTATGCCCCAGATTATATTAGAGCCCTTCGAGGTTGATGGGTTTGTCCAGTATTCTCTCGGGCTGTTGAGTTGGAGCGCATTGAACTAGACTACTACATGCATCAGCAGCGGTTATCATAATATAAGGTCAAACAGTGGAAACTTGTGAATTTAATGAACTGGTAAATGCAGCTGTCCTATCTAATGCAGGCCTTAACCTTACATTATGTGCGTCTATGTAGGGCTATATTAGTTTGGTTGCAGCAACTTTTATGGCAGTGAAAAACGAATCTAACAAAGCAGCTAACCCTTGGCGTTCACATCCAGCTTTGCCTGTGAAATTACAAGCTAAGTTGCTGCCACAATCGTAACAAAGCAAAGAGGAGACTGCACTAGTGTTTTCATACCGTGGTTATTCACTGCATCACAGTTGCTTGTACCTCCAGTGGCTCCCAGGCAGCTATCCCCTTGGCTGGACCACACCTTGCTAGGACTGGTTTGGTCCATGGACAGACATGCCTGCAAAAAGAGTTTATCCTCAATACAATGAAATTGTGGAAGTTACAAAAAAGTATCATAATTAAGTTAATGAGTAAAATCTACAAGGAGATTATAAAAAAATGCTGCACCAGTGGAAGACTTAGAAATAAAATGGCAGAAAAACTAATACCCCAAATCCATTTAAGGGGGGGGGGGGGGGGGGGGGGGACATGGGTTTAAAGGGCAACTCCGCTTAATTTCAAAAATTTTGAGATAGTGGCCGATTTTGCTTTTTGAAGCACTCAAAAACAATCCCCAATCCTTTGTTTCGCGAAAAATAAAATATTTTTTGTGTTATTTTACTCTAGCCATGGTCACAAACCGAAACCGAAACGGTGGCAAAGCCGGACAACATTGTATATTCGGCATCACTAAGCATGTACACCCATGTGATATACAAGGAGAAGAAGGAGCTCCCCTTATCAGGATCCTCCTTTGTGCCTCCTGGATTAGCACAGGCGTCGCTATTCTCTTCCCAGAAGATTATAGAAGATTAACCTGTCACTCAAAATTCTTACAAAAGCAGCTTCCCTCTCCTCCTTTTACTTGGTGTTCAAAAAAGTATGCGATGTAACACAAGCCGCGCTCAACGAGGCGATCGGCTTATCAGTAGTATCAATAGTCGAGCGCCGGGAAAGAAAGCAGAATTGAAAAAAAAAAAAAAAGAAGCTGCACACGCTTGATGACGTCACGGACATGCTGGGAGAAGGAATTTGGAGGAAACGGAAATGCAGCCGGGCAGTGTTGTCTGGCCCGCACGTCTCATCCAAAACCAGCGGATGCGTGCTTGTCAAACTTTGACAGCGATTTTAATGAACTTCTAGGCGGAATTTCGTCGTAATATTTGCCATGGGGGTTTAGTAGATGATAACAAAGAGAACTGTATAGTTTTGCACTACTGGAAAAGAAGCGGAATTGCCCTTTAAGTTTCAAAATTTTTTGGAAAACATTTTTCAATTTTGAGACAGTTGAACGTGAGTGCATTGGTTTTGACGACTAGTTACAGAAAGAATAAACAAAGGATGGATCAGGCTCCAATTTCTTTTCCTCATCAACTCCTCATTTTTTATCCGGAACAGATGGTCATCTCTTATGGATTGTACAAAAAATAATTGTGGAAAAAAGCAAGCTGCATGTACTTTGACAAGGTGAAAACGAGTAGCATAATTTCCCTTTTGCAGCAATGCAAAAAGTCCGTCCTTGTCCGTCCTTTCTGTTTATTCTTTCTGTAACAAGTCTTCAATTCTGAGGTTTTTGGTTTTAGAAACTAATTATACACCCTTACACTAAATTTCAGAACTTTGCGCCAAATAGTTCCATTGATATAAAATATATTGAACACATTGTGAGGCAGTAACGAAGTAAAGGTGTTCAATGTTTGAATGCATTTTTCTCAGTTCGTTTTTGCTGCGAATTTCATACGAAGGAATCTTTTGCTCAAAGGTAAAAGTATTCTGATACCACAATCAAGATGTTTCTGAACTGAAATTTACTGGGCTATCGAGCTATCTACTTTATTTTACATTTTTAAGTCCTCATTGAAAAAGAACTATGTTTTCAATAATTGACATCGGACAGATATGCATCTCCATTTTGAGGTAATCACTCTTCCGGAAATATTTACATTTGAGTTACAAAAACTAGATAGAGTGAAGTCCCAGATCCCCCACATTATACTTAAGGAGTTAAAATTATGCTTAATAGCTTCATTCGCATATCAGATTTCTCAACAAGGAGCAACAGATCTTATGCAGGTATGTAAAGTTGTCTTGGAGAGCTGAAAGTTTGCACTGTACACCTACGTCTGAAGTTAAAACACCCCTGCAAGTTTCATTCCGCTCACTTGAGTAGTTCAGAAGTTTAAACTCTAGCCAGTGTGCCCCCTTATTAACTAGAACTCATCTCGAAAATTACTGAACTCCGATGCGGTAAGTGAACAAAAGGAATTTCCATAGGGCTTAGCACAGAACGACTGGGTGAGCATGAACGCACCTTGGGATCCTCCAGCTTTGGGGCATGAGTACCAGCCGAAGCACCAAGCCCGCATGTTTGGAACTTCTCCTTGATCACAGACTCTGGCATGGACTTTGAGAAGCCAAAGCCAGACCAGGTGCTTGAGGGGACCCGCTTCGTTGATCCCACGGGTTCTTGCATTGCTGTAAAAAGGAAATTATGCTACTCATTGTCACCTTGTCAAAGTACATGCAGCTTTCTTTTTCCACAATTATTTTTTGTACAATCCATAAGAGATGACCATCTGTTCCGGATAAAAAAATGAGGAGTTGATGAGGAAAAGAAATTTGAGCCTGATCAACACTATGATGAAGAAAAGGCGATACACCTTTTATTCTTTATGAATGTGTTCTAAGCAGTAGTGAGCCCATGAAAAAAAATTTTTTTCTTGTGGTCCCTGTTATCTCTAGAGTAACTAATTCACTGTGTATTCAAATTATTCAACACACGCAAGAAAAGTTCAGCGAGAACGTTAGGAATGGAAACACAGAAAAGAAATGGACATACATACTGCTGAATATCAACTGCGATTTTTTACTGAATCACCTTAACCCAAATTCGTTAACCTCATCTTTTTAATTTGCACACAAAATACTGCCATTAAATTAAATTACTTAATGATCCATTACATATTTCTTCCTCGCATCAACTCACTTAACACCTGTAAAACACCATCCCTCTAATTTTCCTTCACAGAGACAGGCCACTGCAAAAACCTTATTTTTTGCTGACAGATGGAGGGGTCTCGTGCTGCAGAACTCGGGGATCCTAAGTTCAATCCCCACCTTTGCCAGTTTCGATCTAGATGAGCATTGTACCGGCGTGCGGTCGTGCATCACTACTGCGTGATGCACGTTAAAGACCCCAAGCTAGCAGTTGTACTGCACTGGCTAAATTGTTCATCTACAGCTGGGAGACTCGTCGCCCGTCGAGGCAGATCAAGTTCTAAGCTGTATAAACATAAACACAACCCATATTTTTTTTTTTGTGATGGAGGGTATGCTTATACATCCAGTCACACTTTTCTTAATGTCCGAGGCCTCTAGAATCTTAAGTAGAGGCATTTGTGTGTCTTGTAAGAATGGAAGCATTGTTAAGTGTACAGTCTCCGGCGATATGAAAGACCCACTGGGAGCGCGTGGCCGAGGCGGTGGCTGGTGGGGGCGCTGCGAGCGCTCCGGGCAGTTCCATTCTGCTTCGAGGGGAGGACGCTCATTCGGCACTCGGCACAAACTGATAAGCACGTTTCGCTTTATCTGAGCCCGAGTGAGCGTCCTCCCCTCGAAGCAGAATGGAATTGCCCGGAGGGCTCGCAGCGCCCCCGCCAGCCACCGCCTCGGCCACGCGCTCCCAGTGGGTCTTTCATATTGCCGGAGAGTGTACCTGCACTTGCGGCAATGGCCTGGAAGATACCCAGCCGCTGTGCCTTTCAGCGACGCTGCATGCTCTCAGACTGTCGTTAATGCAGTGGCCCATTTGCCTGATGTAGAATACCCCACGTGACATTGGAATCTGGTACACATCACCAGTTATGCACGTCGCGTATTGAGTCCTGTGCGCGGTGTTACAGGTCGGCTCGATTTACTCTGCGGCACATAGAGTTTGCTTTGTTTGGTGTGCCAAGCACACGACTTGGCCATCCTGTCGCGCGGCAGTCTTTTGGGTCTGTGGGTGACACCGTGGAAGCAGGGGTTGCCGCAATGTTCTCTTGTGTTGTCTGCTTTTGTCGCTCAGCACTTGGCGAACTTCATGCATATGGTTTCACACACGTCTCCTAGGAAGACACCTGGATACCCAGAGTTGCATAGCTGGGTGATCCGTTTTTGAAAACCTGTGTCGGTGTGATGGAGGCATGACTTGCTTCCAGTTAGAAGATGTCTTATCTCATCGTCCTCCCCGTCATCATTAGAGTGTTGTGCGGTGATGGCGGATGCCCTCGTCAATTCTATTTGCTACCTTCTGGGACGTCAAGCTCAAATAAACATGCTAAGGATTACCCTCAAATCATATGGTACATACGCTATGTTTCGCGTGGGTGCCTAAAAGTGCCCGAGTAAACTACGAAGAAAAACTGTCAATCGGAATGCCAAGTTGAACGTCTGCTCTGTAATCTTTGCAACTGGTTTCTATTTGCTTTGTTTCCAACAAACTAAAAAATGGAAGTTGCTTTGGGAACCATGTTGTTCAGAATCTACCCACTTGATAAGCCGGCCAAAGCCACAACGACAACCAATTTTGTCGTGGTCAGTACAATGACACGAAACTGGGTTAGCTGGGCCACTGGGTCCTGTTCCGTAGGCCACGACGCCGCTGTTGTCGCGCTGCTTGATGTTAATTTTGATGAAAAGTACATCCAAAGAATTAGGTCAAAGGCAAACCTAAACACTCATTCAAATTAACGAATGAAACATAAATTGTGTACAATACACCTCAACCTCGTGCTATCAACAAAGCGGCCAATGGATTCTTGCTACTGTATGTATGTCACAACAAGAACCCGCCAAGTGGCGGGTCCCAACATAGACATTAAATTTTTCGAGGCCAGTCTAAATATAGATGATTAAAAATAACTTAGCCTACAAATGGACAAGTAGAAGCTTGGGAACAACCTTTACGAGTTCAGCTGGGTTTTCGTTTAAGCATTGTGCAGTAGTGAAGGGCTTAATAAACTATTCAACATTAGATTAGAAAATATTCGGTCAAAATCACACTCTGCTTTAAACTCAAAATCCACTAGTCGCCAACAGATTTTTTGGACCTTGCAGGGACTGAAAAAAAATGTCTGAATAATAAAGCAGTTTAAAAAATCGGCTGATTAAGAAAGCGGGGCTTAAAAAGCTGTCAATAGTGCCTTGCTTCAGGTTACGCCTCCGCTTGCGTTCGGCCACTTTCTATTAGCTCGAGAATCGTTGCCTTCTTTTCTAGCGTTGCAATCGAGTACTTTCCGGGCTCCTTAGCGACACTTCGTGGCAGTGGAAGAACAAATGGGGCCATGATGTCCAAGCCAGCGTAGTCCAAAAATATAATTCACCATAACAAGATGAGAAATGCAAGTCCACGACTGCAGAATGGGGAATGAACAAAGCAAAATGGTAACAATGATGATGACGCTGCTGGAGAAAACAAAAAGCTGTAGCAAAGCATCACCTAGCGGTAGAACTTTGCAGTACTCAAGTGGTGCTGCCAAACCAAGCCAATCCATGTGCAGCCAACACAGAATCTAAAATGGCAGCTTCTCGGTGGTGTTTCCCGCTGGTCGCTCGCAACGGTTTTGTCAGAAAAATTAACTTTTGGACTTCAAGCTGTCCGAAACATTGGTCGTGAATATGCACTATTTCTATCGGGTAGGTCACTGTTCCTTCCGAAATATCGAACAAGTCTGAATTATCAGCATCCCAAAAATTGGTTGGCAACTGTTGCATTATTGCACAAATGCGCATGATGGACAAATTGCATCATAAGCTGGGTCATGTGCACAAGTTATTCCTCCCGGGGTTCCGTAACCAGCAGAGTTTTCCAAAACTAAGCAAAAGTGGCTGTTACCTATGCTACTGAAGAATTCTTTCACAATTCTCACAATACAAGGATATAGTAATGAAGATTCCAATCACCCCAGCTTTCCACTAGTAGAACTTTTATCAACAGGGCACAAAAATTTAGCATAAAAGATGGGGTCTGAAAAACTAATTGGATAGATGTTTAAAGAATTGTTTATTCAAATGAATGCTACTGTTTTACCACTTATATAGAATACATAATTAAAAAAAAAAATTTAAGAGCTGCTTGTATAAGCTTTTTAAGATCATTAATAAAAAAATGTTTTGGATAGGTTGAAATAAAAGCCGCATTTTCTTTGAAAATTTTTAACCAGGCAAGTGTGAAAGCAGAGAATTAAGAAGTTGTGCCCATTCCCTTGTTTCAGTCTTGTTAGTTTAAATTGCCACACACTCAAACAAGTACCAATGAAACATGGTTGAGGCACCTTTGGTTGCCAGGAGCTTCCTGCCCTCGTAGTCCAAGTGGGGCAGGGGACTGCTGAAGGTCACTTTCCTCTCGCAGCCCACAGGACCAACGCTTTTCTGGTACGAAGCACCTTTGGACCACCTGTGGGACAAGAAGCATGCTCAAGGCACATGCACATTGTGCATGGCCTCGTTTGGCGGCCAGGGAGGGAGGCTGCACATCGAAGACATCTTTAGTTCCCCGCCCCGTTGTCAGAGTTACAAGGGGTAACTTCTACCTTAAAGGGACACCGACACCCCTCAAAAAAAATTTCATTTTTTGCCAGGCGTTTTATTATGGTGCCGGAGGACCACCCAATTACCAACGACTTTGATTAAATTTGGTGGTTGCGTCGAAGCCTTAGAAAACGGCCCGTGACCACGGAAAAGAGTGAGCGAGACTCGAACCGGCCAGTTCTTGATCGGCGTTTTTCGGGCGGAAAGAAGCTGAATTTCGAGCCGCAAATTGTGTTCTGGGTAGTTGGGCTCTCATATGTCATGTACAACTAAAAAACTCCGCGAGCATAAATACCCTGTCAGTGTCCCTTTAAGATCAGTTATTGTTTTGTTCACAGAACTTTAAATGATACATTTTATACTATGGAAATTCGGATGGCAGTTGTGGGGAAAAAAAAACTGCTTAGTATAACAGCCTTACCAGAGGACAAGTAAAACAAGTGTTTAATGAGCTTAGGAGAATGGCATTCATAGCACTGCCTAAAAATATACATACACCTGCTAAATCTAGGTGTATTAAACAATGTTTCTAGTACAAATCCATTTATAAAGACACTGTGTGCTGCAGGACAAACTGCTACTACGATCAGAGTGACAGTATTACACGAGGCCGGGACCTAAACTTTCACTTCACCACACACAATGCATGTAGATGTACCGTACGCAAGGACACAATTCCAAACTGGCCGCGGTCTGACCCAAGGTTGCAAAAATACTAGCAGTCATGCACGATAGCAATCGAAAAAGGGCCAAAGACCAGGCGAAACAAAGGTCTCTCGAACCAATGTTTTAGGAGAAGAGTCTGGTGCCTGGAGGAGAAAGGCAAGGGCAAACTCCGTATTCTGGGTAGACAGCCGCCGAAACTAAATTAAACAGGCTTAGGGACCCGAGAAGGCGAGGCAACCGACGAAAGATGCAGATGAGCGACTAGCGTTGGAGGAACATCAACACTGACCCATCGTTGGCCGTGTTGCACTCCTTTAGAGGTGTGTGCTGGCTGGTGGCTGCCTTGGCCGCCACCGGGTGGTGGTGCCCCTGCCTCCAGAGGTCTTCCCGGGAAGAATTGGCGCTATTCCTTGCCACCTGACCCGCCTCCCAGCTACGGTAGGGAGGGTTATCCGGACTTAGCCGGCGCCGAAGGTCTTCGACATTGTTGCACGAGACAGAGCCATAGCCTGCAAAGGGATACAACCAAAGTCCGCTGCCATTGTATGCTGTCATTTTATTGTATTTAGTACATACTGCAAACCTTCAAAATCTAAACCAAGGTGGGCAGAAAAAAAAAAAACACTACACAAAACAATGTTTGCAAATAAAACAACAAAACAAAGGGGGGAAAAAACTGCTGCACAGAAACTCAAGACATACAAAATATACATACATCAAAATCCAGTAAATCACGAAGTTATAACAATTGACTTAAAACGAAAGAAACATCCACATTTTAAGTCAATTTAGATCACCAATACGCTCAAGTCTTTAATTGTAACAATAACCCGTCAAAACATACAATGACAAAGATTACAGTTAAATTGCATGAAGCCTTGAGCAGGCCTCCGGTCCGAGCCACTCACCATAGTCGATGGGGCTCTCCCTGGAACTGGGGCTGGTGCAAGAGACTCCGCTGCTCCGGCTGCACAAGCTGCCGTCTTCGGGGCTGCGAACACGCTCCACGTCTTTCCAGTTGGAGAAGTGGCATGAGTTGCCAGAAGGAGGAGCCCAGAACTGTCCCAGCTGCAGGGGAACAAAACATAACCCTCCTAATTTCAGTTTAATCATATTGATGGCAAAAATAGAGGAACACCGGAAGATAGCTCAGGCTGCCTCTATTCAAACTTATGCCACAAGATAGGTGACCAGGCTCTTCATAGTAGCAGCAACTGCCCACGTAAACACTTCGCAGACAAATGAATTCACTTTTGTATTGGCAAGATAGTGGACAATGACTGGGCAAGCACCCAGCTAGCCCTAACAATTTTTCCAGGATTCTTTAGTTGTATCAGTGGGAAAATACCCTCCTTGTAAATTGGTTATCTGTTGCCAGTGTCATCTTTCCTAGATTTATTTTACTCCTTTTGTGCTCGTCTTTGAAGTGAAAATCGGTAGGGTTATTTCGAATTTCAATCTCGCAACCATGGTATGCGAAATTGTTAAGTTTGGAGCAACAAGTCTACACCTTTACATCTGTTACTGAACATCTTCCCAAGAGCTTAGGAAAGCACATCTGAAAAGTCCGTTAGCCAACCTTTCGGTACGGATTGCTGAAGTTCTGTATATGCCACCTCAAAAACGATAGTTGCGAAATATTTGCTTCACTCTGAAAAAAGCCAAATAAATCATTTTCTTCAAAGTGCAAAAGCACTATTTGCACAACCCCATTATCTCAAACATTCAAAAACCTTAATATTTTCATAAAACTACTAGTATTCGGATTTGCTATTGTTGTGCATACGATACTAAAAAACAAAAGCTGTTCTTTTGCCCCAAGACGTGGCTGACCTGTCCAGACTTGTGTCCCATTGACAGCTGGCTGAGCAGCAGGGGCAACAATGCAGCCTGTATGGGTGGCTGTGGAGGCTGCCTCTGCTGGGGGTAGAACTGGCCTGGAGCCGCACTCATCAGCATGCTCAGCAAGAGCTGCTGCTGCTGGTTGGCACTCTGCTGCTGATGAGACTCTGCAGTCAGCGGAGAAGGAACAACTTCCACAAGGGCACCACATGCCAGATAATTAAGGATCCATACTCTGAAAAAGTGGATACCTGCTTGTAGGTTGTCCTAAGGTTGAGTGCCGTACCAACACCAATAAGACAGTACCTAGTGTTGAATGGTTGGCGATATCTGCACTTGTGCTAGTAGGCATCAGGGTAAGGCATCCCTAAGTAGAGTTCAAACGCTTCCCAGCAGTGTAACTTTCCATTCATTTGAGGTATATGTTCACCGACACCCACCCGTAAAATACCGAGCATGCAGTACCTTGGAATCATCTGAAATATAGGCAAAAGACATATCAACCCCCTCTCCAGTAAATTTGGACCCATCAACCTAAACAAGGGGCTCCTCTACGACAGCTGCTCCTTTGGCAAGTTGGTGCAAGTGGCAAAGATTGACCCAAGACTACTGGTGCAAAGCAGGCTTACCGAGAGTGGTGCAGCTGCTTTAAAAATTTTGAATTTTGCCAGACCCCTGGACTGCTGCAATGCCGTTCAGTCTGATCAAACGGGGGCCTACCCTACGATGTGCCCAAGCTTCTGCTTTCCTGCTCCAGGACCTAACAAGCGTCCATCCCATTTTTTGCAATTCTCTCCCAACTTTTGCATGGGAGCTTGATTGGTATATTAAGACTGAAGCTTCGCTCCAAGCAGCCTAAACTTCATATTGGCGTTCAATAAATTAAAACCCCTTGACCCAAGTGTGAATTTTCTGGGCTCACAGTGTGCAGTTTTCCTTCCAAAGACTACAGAAGTTAGTACAAACTATGTAAATCATTGTTGCCATTCCAGGGAAATTTCATCACAGTCAAGTTCACGCACATGACATGCCCTATCGCCAATGTCAGTACTGTCGCGCATGTAGCAGTTTTTCTGTCGGCGAGAAGAGAGATTTCTCCCCTTTGCACCTACCCTTAATCTCCCTCCAGATTTGCTCCTGAAGACTCCCCTTGCTGAAGAGCAGCGCAGAGGCGGCCGAGTAAGAGACCTGATCCTCAGGAGTCATCCCGAGCTCGTCCGTTGCGAGATCCAAGAGAATGCGTCGCACCTCGAAGAGGTGTCGAGAGTCTCTCTCTGCACAGCGCACTACGATGCACTGCAAACAAAAACCCAAGCGTGGACGCTGGCCCCACCGACCGCAGCTTCAACAAAGCCTTACCTTGCAGTTTCGTTTGGGCTTGGGCTTGATCCCAATGTTTACGTTCAGCTGGTCCATAAGTCTAGAAATTGTGACTGGAGTGGAATTGGGGATGAAGGGAAAGCAGCTTTAGGGCAAATGCGCAATGGTCTGAACCTCAACTCTTCTGGCACTCACGCATATCAATGTCCTGTCCCTCTTTCAAGTCAAACATGAGTACTAGCGGAAGCCAACCCTGAAAGCAAAAATAAGAACAGTACCATTAGGTAAAGGAAGATAATGCCTTCTGTTGCGGGTAATAAACAAAACACCAGAACTTTCACACTTTCCTAAGACTAAGGGCAGGAACAGTTGTATAAAATATTAGAAATACGCTACTAGGCTAAGGCTAGGTAATAAGCTATAGCTCCGACATCAAAGATATCCTGAACCCATACAAAAACTTTCAGACTTTCCACTCTGGTGAAGAAAGACCAGCGAAGCTATACTAAGCTGGTAATGAAGTAATGGCCGGCCACAAGTCAGCAAGCCAGAGTGGAAAGGCTGGAAAGGTTGTTGCCATCTATAAGCGACGGCGGTAGCTGTCCGGAGTGTTGTGTTTACATTTATTTGCTGGCAGGCACGATCTTGAGAAAACCAGCCCTTAACAGCTCAGCTGTCAAAAACGGTGATAATGAAACATTCATTCAGTCAATCATTAGCAGTATTTCCCTTCAACGTACTACAAAGAGATGCCCATTAAAACAAATTCTCACTTCCGATTTCCAACTCCTGATCCACTACATTGGTTATGCAAGATAAAAGAAAAAAACACAAGGAATTATAAAACAAAATAGTTACCACCAAAACTATTTCATTATGACAAGGCTATTAGAAGCCATGCCACCAAAAATAAAACCAGAGATAACTATGTCGCTAGAATTCACTCTTCCACTATATTTACTAAATTTGTTTTGTAAACAGCATCAGAGTTAGACAAATAAATTCAATTTAATCCCAGACCCTCATATGCATCATTCAGCAAGCCTGCTACATTTGAAAATGTTAGCCATCTGCCTACATTTCTCCCGGCACCTCTAGCAGCATAGTAGCACAGCCCCGACCACCCACGGTGACCTTGCAGACCGAACACCTTTAGTTTTAGACAAAAATATAATCAGCCTCTCAAAGATGGCAGATATTTGAATCAACGTGAGACTTTTCGAGCCTCTGCCGAGTTAGTCTGACAAGTTTTTTTTCCAATTCCTTCTCCAATTTATTTACAGCAAAAGCTGCCAGTGGGACACTTTACATTTTCGTGCCGTCGATAGCATGCCATATCGACGTGGGCCATTTTCAGCACTTAGCCAAAATATTCCACGTGCCACTGATAAGATAACATGCATGGTTATGCATGGTAGCAAGCTAACATTCATGGTCAGTAAAACAGTCCCTGCCGGCCAATCTGGCATTGCACCGGGACAGGTGCTCTTGTGACCCATAATTAGCACAAAACAATTCTTGAAGGTATGGAAATAAAACTGCCGAAGTACTTGAAGATGCATTCTGCATCAGAAAGCAAGGGGAAAGCAAGCGCCTTATCAATGCACCCGACAGTTCTTTTTCAAAATGAATAACCAGAAAGAAGATATTATAAGTGAGTGTTTGACTCAATAAGCCTTCATCTGAAAGTGCACATTCTCTTGTCTACATCTTTGTCCTTTATTCGGCGTTTTTAGTTTAGCATGTGCGACTATTTGCAACGAAGTGATTTACAAAAACACTCCTCTTACACAGACAGCTGAAATGCTCTACTTAAGCCCTTAACCGTTTTTAGTTTGGGGGAATTCCTGACCCTCAACTGCTTAACTGTCGTCTTCGAAATTGCATTTGTTGCCTTAAAATTCGTTTCTAGCCATACACAGAATGGGAGGGAGCACAATTTAAAAACATTAGTGCTGCCATTTGTTGGCAGACCCTCAAACTTAGCCATGAGTGAGTCTGGTTCGTCCAAAATGGCTGAGTGCATTAACCTGAGCAAGCAGACGAGCTACTCTCGACTCCAGCGAACTATGCGCTGACCAAGCAAAATGGCGGATGAAAGGAAGTCCTTTTTGTAGTTGAGCACGCGGACCACCATAAATTTCTGACACTGCAGCGTAAAATCAATGTTACATATTAAAGCAAAACAATTTTTCAACGGCAGAAACCTAATCAGTGCATAGGAATGACACGGTGGAAGCATGAAGCAATGCTTGTTTCTATGCCGCCTGCGAGAAGTGGGATGTGTTTTGCACGTGCAGGAACACCAAACCCAGCCAAGCTTCCTGTTGAAGGCTTTTTATCCAGTGTTCTTGGCACAGATTTTTTTAAGTCAAGCTCGAGACCACATTTGGGCCAACAGTCGCGCATTGTTGCCACCAACAAAAATCATTACCATCAGCTCCAGCCAGGCTGCGTAGACCGCATCGAAGTGGCCCACAATTTGGACGGTTGACTTGGAGGGCCCGGCCAGAGCAGGAGCAAAGTTCTGGAGCATCCCTCCGTTCCCCAGAGAGCCCAGGAAGGGCGGTGGCAGCATCGAGGAAGGGCCGAGCATTGATGAGGGGCCAAGCGTCAAGCTTGGGTCCGGGAAGGTGATCATGCAGCCAGTCAGCCTGGAGATGTGCTGGAGGTTGCAGCTGTTCCGTCCCATCACAAAGCTGTGGTGCTGGGGTGCGATCTCCGTGGTCAGAGTCACCAGGCTCGGAGGAGCTTGCTGGGGGAAAGAACGACGGATGCTTGCAAAAAGCCAAAGAAGCAGGAAACTTCTATAATTTGTCGGGGTGACGCCACAGGTGCGTTTGTGGGCCTGTGGGTGAATCTACGCACAGAATGCGATGCCGGAAGCCGAAATCCGCTTGCCACCGCCGGAGTATTTGACGGAGATAGCAAACAATCTGTCAAAGATAAATTTTTCATGTCCATGCTGCAGTAGCCGATCGGTATTCGTAGAGGAAATGGCAGTTGCCGACGTCGACTCTTGGCCGAGACACTCAAGTTGGATTTACAACTGGAGCTGGCATCATTTGGGTCAAGTCAGCAGAAATAAGGCTTAGACGCTCTTCAACAAGAGGCATTCGAACAAATAAGACTGTGCCCACAAATAATCTGGTTAGCCAAGTTGGCGCGCGAGGGTTATTCACACGTCTCTTATTTGCTTTGTTTTATTACTGCATTCTTGCAATGCCCAGAGAATGCCGGGCATTCTCTCTGCACTGTAGGCTGTTTGCAATTTTATATTGCGTAGCAGTGAAGTGTCAACTGCAAAAAAAAGCGCAAGAACAATTTTTTTTTTTTTTTTTTAAGACTGCAAGAGCCAGCGATTCTTTTTTGTGAGAGATTAGAGCCGCGTGAACACTGGCAGGTGGCAACGAATCTGAACAGCAGTCTTTCTTCGCAAACCAAACTCTGTTGTTGGTGAGGGAGTTTTCCGCATGTGTGAACAAGGCATAAATTCTTGAAATGGTTTTGCCACACTAAAAAAGGTAGTCTGTGACTAAGAAATTCTGAAGAAACTGTGCGACAGGAAGATGATTTCAATGCTAGAGAAGATTTCCTGCGGGGAGACTTTCCGTTAAGAGATTGTCCGAAAAAGTTCCCAAAGTCAAGGTTATAAACAGGTGTTGGGAATTCACATCCCAAACCGACAAAAACATCTGGTATGCGCCGGTGAAAGATCGAGAGTCGATACAGAACTCCTGGAATTGGTTGACATGCAACTGAAATCCGTCATGTGGCCTCTTCTCTGCAATAAGCCACCGTCAGTTGCGGGCACCTTGGCCAGGATTCAAATGAGCCAACTGGGGATCCGTCAAGAGGTACTTCGCCTCAAAGCGACTGAAGCAACCTAGAGTTAAGACTTCAAGTAGAGGAATCTTCAGGGATCATGCAAAGTTTACCCCAGGAATCTTCAGAGATCATTCAAACTTTTACCCCAAGCATTTTATCCCTTACCCTTCGAACAAAGAATGTGCACCCTTGTTCCCTCTTAGTACTGTGGGGCAGGCCGTGGGTCACCCAGAGTCCCATTTTCCCCACCCTTGCAGTTTTAAAGAGAAGAAAGATGTTCAGACGCACAGAAGACACCATGGCAGCCTTTTGGAAAAACACCAAACTCCCTCCGCCCCCATTTTTTTTTTTGTACTCAAATAGGTTGGATGTTATGAAAAACTTTCCCCCAGAAGAAAAAATATTTTAATGGCACATGTAGTTAAGTTACGAGACAAACCTAGACTCAAGAAATTTCGAAACGTGCTTCTACTTTGGACGTGGAGCATGAAACCGAAGAATGTTTCAGAATCACTAAAACAAGTCCAGAGAAAGAGACTGAATATTTACACAAGTGCCATAATAACTAATTGTGTACTGTGTGGCTATGCATTGATGTATCATATTACATATCCTCATTCTGTACTGCGTTTTCATACTATATTACGCCGCGCTTCCATAAGAGCTATTGTTGCCTGTACCCCGAGAGTGGGCTTAAAGGCCGGCAGTATTTTAAATAAAGATTGCCCCCAAAAAGTTTCATTTCCAGAAAAATTTCAGTTTGTGATGCCAGGCAGACTTAAAAAATTTCTTTGGGGGGAGTTGAGTGAATGCTTACCCTCGACCCTCCCGTGAGGTAGTCCGCGAGCACGTTCAGGCCCTGCCGTAGCCTGTCCGCATGGCGCCGGCTGCCCTTGACGAAGACTACGGTGAGTGTGGCGTGGACGCGGCGGAAGGTCACCGTGATGCCGTGGCTCTTCTGGATGCCCTGCAGGGCCAGGGAGCCGGGGTCCAGGGGCGGCTGTGGGTAGCTTCCCATGGGCAGGTCGAAAGATACCACCATTGGAAGCAGGTCCTGCAAGGAGGAGTCCCCAGAAGGGGAGAGGGTAGAAGTGTTGTTGCAACTGTATCTAATTTTGTGCAGGAAAGGAAGTTATAAAAAGATTATCCTCTTACGAAAGACTGGGCAGACTATGTCGGTCCCAACCACCCTCGAGCGGAAGTCGTTCCCGTTAATCTAACCTACTTTTTTTTGGGCTAGAAGATGCGACCAGGGAAACATGGGCAGAGTTGGAGTAACTTGTTTTGGACGTATGTAACGATAAACTTGGCATTCAGATTAACCCCGATAAAATAGACAGGACTCATCGGATTGGCAGGTTTAACCCAGATAAGAAAAGACCCCCCCTGTTGTAAAGTTTGCTTTCTTTAAACATAAGGAAGCTGTGCTACGGTCATCCTACAAGCTAAAAAATAAAAAAATTTCTGTTGGAGAGGATTTCCCGAGAAATGTGCAGCGTGCGAGAAAGAAACGGCTAGACTTTGCGCGTACACAGGAAGGTACTTACAAACTTCGTGTAGACAAACTGTTTGTAGGTGATAAACAATATCTTTTTAATTATGAAACTTGCCAAGACTATGAAGCTACCACCTAACTAGCCACTTTTCCGCGGCGCCCGCGAGCGTCAACTACAAATTCGTGTAGTGCCGTAAATATAGCTCCAAAAATTTATTTTTCATTGTAAATTGGTTTCATTACTTCCTTTTCCCAACCAGCTGTTTAAAAGAAAGGTATTTTCCTTTGCATATGTCCTTTCACACAGGATGTGTTATATGGCTGGCACCTAACCATTTCCAGTTTTGGACTCCAGTGACAGAAGCAGTTGCACAAGTACTGTGTCAGCAGTCAGCGGGAATCTATGACCTCGCCGATTGGACACGACTGCCAGCGAACACCAATGCAGCACTATACTACGTTCACCTTTAAGCTGAGACTGCAGAGGGAGCCACTTGCCCGCCGGACCAATCAACTGGCTCCCTGTCATCGCCCGACCCGGCTGTGTGCACGGATATGGGCAGGAGCGTGGAGAGAGAGAGACACACGACTGGTCCAACGAGGACTTAACCACCACTGCAGTCTCGGCTCAGAGGTGAACAGAGTATAGAGTCTTCACCGATTGCGCACGAGACCCCCGACCGAACGCCACTGCAAAGCTGCTGCCGGTCTCTGCCTTACACAAAATCCAGCACTACAACTTGGGCCATAAAAGCAATTTCAAATTTTTTAGAAGTTTTTCTCGAACACAGTGGGGCCCTAGCATGCCACTCAATTTTCTCTAGAACTTCGACTGTTCTTTTTGTGCCTACAAATAAATTTGCTAAACCAAAACAAACATTTTGAAGTGACGTGGAGGAGCACCATTGGTTTTCGGTAGGATTTAGTGGACGCTCATCACAGTGCTTGCAGTTGGCTATATTCAATGTTTTCAGTAGTTATTTTTCTTCAAATTCAAAGGGTTATTTATCCGTTTTTTTTTCTTTTTCTTCTGAATCTGTTTTTTGCTGATCAATTTAGATGCCGGAGAGAAATCAGTGTTCATTGGACTAGTGTCGTAAAGTGGATGTTTAATTACTGAAGAAAAAATTTAAAGTGATCATTTATTATTTTTTTTCTCGATAATGCTAGTAAAGACAAGAGAAGGCAACGGGGCTAGGAATGTGGTTTCGATAAAAAGGAACCCCAAGGACAGATCAGTGCAACTGTGTTCCGAATCAACGGAAAAAAAGTATGGTAGAAAATTTTTACCATCAGGCTGGAGTTTTTTCTTCAAGAACAGATTAAATTCGGGGTCGATTCAGAAAAAACTGCCTCCAGGGTTAATTTTCAGTGTTTATCAGTATGTACCAAAAACACAGAACCCCTAACTATAGCACATGGCGGTCTGTGAAGGGCGGCCATATTAGTTGTTGTCGGACTCGACAACCTGAAAAGAAATGGACAATGGCACGCTCGCGAACGAGTTTGAGCTCCTGTTCAGCGAGCTTAGGCTGGCGGAACGGGACATGCTTCTCAGGAAGCGAAACTCTCGATTGGCGCTTTACAAGGGTGTTTGAGACTGGCCCCATGCCCCCGACACCTGGGTCGCCGCCCCACAGCGGGACACTCTCCAGACCCTCCGCCCAACTTGCCGCAATGCCAAGCGAACTTTAGTCAATGTTTATACCGCCATCTTGGGAAGGTCTAGGCCACCGTTCCCAGCGTAATTATTACCACATCTTTTTACGCGGTAGTAATCGAATAAAGATAAATGGTGCGGCACCCAAACATCCGTTTGGGCTAGAACTGAGTCAACAGTGTCCGAGACAAGTCTGGCACTCATTTCAGTCGTCGAAGGAAACTTTGCCTTCATAGTCCCTTTAAGGCCCTTTGACACATCACCACTTACCAAAAGAATTAGTGTGAAGCCAACTCTGGGACTCAAAAACAGCATGTTGAATGGATACTCAGTCAAGTCAGCAAACAATCATAATCGAAGTCAATGAAGCTGAGGAAAAGCATCGCTGCTCACCCTGATGTTAGCGCGAGCCCTCTCGACGCCTGCAGGCTGACCGGCTATAGACACCTGCAATAAGAAAACCAATTACGAATGCTTGTGAAAGAAACCGGGCATTGAAGTTGGCATTTGGCCATTGGGTTGCTTTGTGAAAACGGGAACACTAGGAATAAAAATATAGAACAGGGGGAAGGACAATCAGTGAAGCAAGAAAAATGGCAAGAGAGCTGGCATTTTAGACTCGCCTGATTGCTTTTGTCGGAATGGTTGTTGCGGTTAGAGTCCGGAAAGTGAATGTGGCAGCCCGTGTCGTCCATCACTTGCTGGATGTTGCGACCCCCCTTGCCAATGATGTAGGAGTGGTCTGTGAAGGACACGTCCATCTTCAAGGTCACCCTGTTCCTCTAGAAGAGTAGGAGAGAGAGAGAAAGGGAAGATGTTAATTACAGCACAGATGCTAGCGGAGGAGGCCAAACACTCCACCTTTGTGTCCAGTAGCTCAAGAATGTCTTCCCTGGCCTTGACAATGGCCTCTGGCAGTCCACTGACTTTCACATGAGGATCTGTTGAAAGTTTGTCGCACACAAGGTTTCAGAGGAACACTCTTGTGTATGGGAGTAAGAAAAAAAAATCCTGTACAACTTAACTTGCGGGCCCATGTAGGGTTAAGCCTTGCAAACTACTAAACTTGCAGGTCATCAATTTAAATAGTTTTGACTCGCTAAAAGGATACCAGGCACAGATTTAAATTGGTTCCACCTACTGCAAGACTTTCAGGTACAGATTTCAGTTGGTTCCATTTACTGCAAGGCTTCCAGGCACAAATTTAAATTTGTTCCATTTCCAAATCTAAACCACCAAGGTTTGTTTACGTTGAACTCTATGTGTACGCCAGATTGGTGAGGCAGCTACCGCAGCACTTCATAGTCAAAAACCCAGAATTTAAACATTTCCTGTGCTAGAAATGAATAACAAAATATGCGGTGAAAAATACTAAAGTTGGGTCTCTTAAATACTTATTTAGGAGACCCAATTTTTGCTATGAACATTCAAGAGCTTACTTGCACTCTTACATTTTGTTCATAAAAAAATGCACACAATTTGTGGCACCTGCAATGGTTGTAATCCTGGTGAGCGAGCTAGTACATGCCCCTCGGCATATGCCTTATTAATGACGTCCGCTTTGAAGAGTCAAATGTCGGTCATTGTGCTGATTAGTCTCACATATCAATACCAAATTATATGTGCCTCTGCACCAACTGTGAGGCTAACATCATGAAAAAGTTTCAGCTAGTACACGCTTAGGTTTCCAATTATGTACAAAGCAAGGAAATATGTTACTCAATTTTAAGTGAAAATATGAAAACTGGAGTGTGGATATACTTTAGTGTCTTTCAACAGTGAGTGGTAACTGAGAAAATCTTAAGTACCGACATTGCTAGTAATGAATGGAACTGGCCTATGACTTTGGGCTTCCTGCTGGTTGGGCGATATGTTTTTGTTTACATCAGCTAATATAAAAAATTTATGAGGTTGGCCAAACCATGCTACCAGCGAGTCACAGACACCAGTGCAATTGGTAGGAGATTTCACACCACCTTTCAGAGCAGTAAAAAGAGCTATTGCAGGGCAAGGAGACTCCAATCTCGTATGCTCCAAATATACTATGGTATGCTGAAATTTGAGTTAGCCTGTCGTGTTGTCCGAGTCATGGCCACGTCACGTACAAACCAAGTGGTCTTTTGACGTTTGTGGGGGCGAGAAACAGGACACGCGACGCGGGCAGGTCGCTTCGCATGGCGCGGACGGTGATGGCCCGGGGGGAAGGGGAGAAGACGAAAGAGGAGAGGGGGAGCAGAGAAACCGGACATAGAGAACAAGATTGATAAACACGCAGGGCAGCACAAACTAGCACATCCACGTTACGGTGATCACTTGGACGCCGTTGAGCCAACGCCGGGAGGAGAAACTCACGACGTCATCATTCAATTTCGCTCCGAGAAGTAAAAACAAACAAAACGTGAGAATGACGTAGACATGCCTCTGACGTAGTGGCCCAATGTTGGCCGCTCCAACTCCGTCGCATTGACCGCGCCGATGATTGCGCCTCACATCGCACGCTAGAGTTGGCAGACTTCGGCAACTTGGCTCATTTGAAAGTTTGCTGGCCAGTTCATTAAATATATAGACTGAATTAGATAGTAATATTTGACATGGGGTCTTCCTATATGATACCGAAGAGGGCTGCATAGTTTTCTCAATACCAAAAATGAAGTGGAGTTGCCCTTTAACTTGATTAAAAGACAATACATTTTTCACATGAATATGCGCATATGGCATTTTACACATAAATAGGCATTCTGATATGAAACAAAATCTGACATGTGGGCTTTAAATACACCTTCTCAAGTCGAACTTCCACAGAAATTGTCTTTTGCACAAGCTTATATTTGTCCAAGCTACAGATTACTCGACTCTGTACGACCAGTTTTGGGGTAACCCTGCGGCGTCTATGACCCTTCAGAGGTCATAGACGTCATAGGTCAAACCACGTTCTTGTACTACTAGAACAAATTCCGAATCGTGCAGCTTGATTCGTTTCAACACAATACGACTGTTTTGAGAGTGACACCAGCATGACTAGAGTTGGGATGGTATCTATTGGCACGACGAAAACATTTGCGCCTGGAGTTTTTATACAGTGCCAGTCATAATACAACAGGAATTTAATAGCACATCCTATTTATTACGTCCAGATTACATATCAAAAAGAAAAGATCACAAACGTAAAATACAGGAACTTTGGACCAAGACTGAATTGGGCAAAAATTTGTTTTTCGTGACAACCATTAAAGGGACACTACAACGAAATTTCGGCGCTCATTTTTTGGTCTATATGTGTTCAAAAAAAGCACCATCAAATCGAACATACCAATATCTTGTTAAAAAAGTCACGAAAAGGAATTTTAAAACGAATTAAACGATTAGCAAAGAGCACCTGGTGGATGTCGCTAACGCCTCGCTTGTAATGCCCGTCTAGCAACCTTGGCAGCTAGTGATGGAGGTTGTCTCGCCTCCGGCCACGACGAGAGAAGAGGGGCAGGAGGAACTCCCCTCTTCCCGAGAATGCCTTTTGTGTGTCACAGAAATCGCTATTGTCCCCCTACAAGATTATAGAAGATTAACCCGTCACTCAAAATTTGTACAAAAGCAGCCGCTTCGGTGGCTGGAACGACTAGGCCATCCTCTCGACGTCAGCCTCGCCGTAGCTTTGCTCGTCCTGAGACGACCTACGTCACGATTGCGTTGGATGTCACGTGGTCTCCGCTGGGCCTTCTTCGAGCGCTTGCCAGAGTGGGCCGTTTATAACGAAAAATACAGCCACCAGGCTCAAAATACAAACGTGCGATTGTCATTTACGGATATTGTGGATCATATTCAACCTAGTTTTGAACACGACGGGAATATTTCAAATTTCGTTGAAGTATCCCTTTAAGGACTGGAACACCTCGTCTTGTAAAATTGTTGGTGTCACAAATGGTGAAATGTTTTTTTCTCATGTTTATTTGCCCCCTGCGATAATGCCCAATGGCACTGCAGGACCACCAGGAATAAGGAATAAATAAAAGAATTAATCTGTTTACTGAATGTGTCCTTGAATAGTCAAAAACCTATTCAACATGACAAGCAAAAAAAAATCATGTTGGGCATTGCAGCCTAACATTTATTTTTAGTCATTTGCGAATGGTGCATTTTGACTTCACAGCGAATAGTGGTTTTGGCCAAACATTTTCTAATTGAATAGTTTCTCCAAGCCTTTCACTACCGTGCACCATGCCTAAACGAAAATTCAGCTGAACTCGTGAAGGTTGTTCCCAACCTTCCACTTGTCCACTTCGAAGCTCCGTTAACGTCAGTATAGCTATCTTTATGAACTTTGCCACGTTAACAAAATTGTTGCAGCTAATCTAATCGAGGAGGTTTGTAAACCCGCTCGCTATATGCAAATATTTTAACAAAACAAGCACGAATGATGACCATGGGTTGTCAAGACATCGCTGCATAATACTCGAGCATAATCGCGGCGGGACAGCCCCGTTGAGTGCGCTTCTCACCGAGCAGCTGTGCACTGCGAGGAAGCAATACCCGCGGAGCCGGCGAGCTCCGCGGGTATTGCTTCCCCGCAGTGCACAGATGCTCGGTATGAAGCGCACTCAACGGAGCTAACTCGCCGCGATCAACACCTCGAAAAGAACGGATATCACAGTTCATCTCGAAGCTAATGTCGAACAACGTATCGGAAACTACTATTCGTAAATTCGAACATTCGCAGAACACTAATAAGCCGTAGTTCTCTTCTAAACTTTACTGCAAGGAAGCAGTTGCAACATCAACATGCACGAAGTTAATTTTATTCAAACGTCCGATGCGCGTACCATCCCGCTCTGAAAGCAAGTTTTTCCCGTAAGCACGCAGCTGCGCCACGGCTGAGCGAGATACGGAAAATCGCGGTGTCCACTTCGTGGTTGTCGCCTCTCCGCAATGCACCAGTGCTCGGGGAGAAGCGCACTCAACGGATTGAGCCTACGAACACAGGTCGTCGTTATACCTAATCGGTAAAAGGTTGCGAAAATCTGCACCAGCTTACCGTAAAGGCCCGACAGTAGAGGGACCCGAGCTAAGAGAGTTTTAGGGAACAGTTTTTGCACGTCCGGGCCCTCCGGTACGCACTGCGCACGCGCTACCACAGAAGACTCATATGCGCAGTTCGTACCAGAGGGTCCATTGTATATCGTATCGGACGTGCAAAAACTGTCCCCTAAAACTCCCTAATAAGGATTTCTAGTAGACCGTTCCGACAACGGTATCCGATACGCAGACGACGCCTTTGAGCATGCATCGTCGTTACCGGAATTAACGATTTAGAAAGAAACGAACTTTTCTTTTTCCCACAACTCGCATTTTGCTGGAATGTGAAACGCCAGGTTTTGTTTATGGTCCTAGAGGTCTTACGTGGCCGATTTTATAGGTTAGAACCTTCGAAGTACGCAGCGCAGCACCTTCGCGAGTACAAGTCGTTGTCCCAAAATCAGCGTGGTAGTGAACGTCCTCAAAAGCCGCCGAAAACGAACTGCGTCCGACCTCACCATGCTCGTGTTTCTATATAAAAAAAAAAAGTTCGTAGGGTCGCGACCATATTAAACACCTTTATATCTGGGTAAAGAAAATGTTTTACCGTGAAGCTACACGACAAACGTGTTTCTTAACAACGCCGTAATCTTTCACTCGTCCTGGGAGGTAGAGCTAACAGAATCCAGCTCCAAAATAAACAAATGGGAAAAAAAAAAAAAAAAAAAAAAAAAAAAAACCGAACAGACTCTTAGGCCCCGACGACCGCAAGAGCAATACGTTCAAAACGCTGCATCTGCGTTTGCAGGATGACAGGAACCTCAGTCTACTAACCGTTCGATTCTGTTAGCGCGCCTTTTGTTTTGAAAAAAAGAAAGGAGGTTCGAAGAGCTAGGATCGAGAGTTGTCTGCACGAGAGCCAGACAATCCGCTCCACGTGGCGCCACAAAGCCTCAGTGCTGGACTTCAGAAAATCTAGCACTATACGATACTGGTGCAGTCCGGTGACGAATCTTACGATAACGTCAAAAGAATTGCTAAATGAGGCGACTTTACATTCGAGCTTCGAAAAAGAAAAAGCGAAACTTTGGAACCGAAACAAGGAAACACGCAGCGTGCCTTAGAATAACAGAGAGGAGAGAAAGACGGGGAAGGGGGAGCTCTGTATTTCTCATTTCCGGTAACCGAATGCCTGCTCCCCTCTGTAGGTCCTTTTTTCCTCGAATGAATGACGAGCGAGCGACGACAGGCACGGCAGACCGGCGGTCCCTTTGGCGCACCTCATTCCTCAACCTCCTCTCCACGGATGCTGCACGTGCGGCGCGCGATAACGACGCACAAACCCCCTTCCTCGCACAGAGGGAGAAAAGGACCGCAGAAAAGCTCGCAACTGACACGATCGATGATCCCGAAGTTAAACTTGCGCGAAAGTTTAAAGGGATACTGAACCGAAATTTCGAGCTCACTAAACAAGGCCGTGCGGATCGGCGGGAAGCTGCAAAACCAAAAATATCACTCACACGGATCGCCGTAATTTTTTGGAAAAGAAGTGTGGGATTGAACCCGGCCGACGAGACAAGGCACGTCACGATTCCCATTCTCTCTCCTCCTCGCTACGTCCCGTCAAGCTGGTGAACCGAAGCGAGGAGGAGAGAAGCGAGGCCACTTCTCCTCATTCTCAAATTCTCCAGGAGGACAGTTACGTCAAAGACCTCGCTTGATCGCGCCCTTCTTTTCCAAAAGTACGGCCTTCCGTTTGAGATATCGATGTACGAGTGATGTTTTGGAGTTCGTAGTGTCCCATTCAACACTTCTGCAGCCTTACTTAGCGAAATCCAAACTTCGGTTCAGTATCCCTTTAAGCCAATGGGAAGTTGTCGCAACCCGCCTCCCCGTGGCGTCTGGTGTAACGGTACAACTGCTAATCTGGGGTCTACGGCGTCTCCCACAGCGTAGCGAATCTAACGATATTACGCGATATCATTTCCGCATGTCGAGATGTTTATAGAGCTTTGTAGAACAGCACCTGTAATTTTTGCTGAACGGATCGTGTTTCGAGTATATCGATGCAGGCTCTGCAGCTAATGGACCGACGGATCATTTCAGCTGCAGATTACTCCTTTGAAGACCGACAGTGTAGGAACTAACGCAGCTCGAGGCTAACCTTTCAAAACTGGCAGTAGAGAATAAGACGAAACCACTTCGACGACGCGCGAAAGATGAACGAACTGACAGAGAGGGAACCTCTTGTCGGAGCAGCAATGTGTCGGGAGATCGCGAGCCAGGGGGACGAAACGGAGAGGGAAGGGGAAGACGAAAGGCAAAGTTTTCTCTAGCTTTTCATTCCCCGCAGTAATTGTCGAACGGAAGAAGTCGCCGGCGGCACGACGAACAACGCGGCTCCACGAACAGAGCAGACCCCCCAAAAACAAGCAAGGAACAAGCGGGAGAGGAGGAGGCCAAGCGACGTCTGCCGCGCGATGCACTCCACTACGCGGCTCGGGCTAGAACAGCCAGAACAAGCGGCCGACATTATTCGCGGGGGAAGTCATCCGCCAACGGCTGCCTTGTTCCAAGACGCTGCGCTGCCCCTCAGGCTCAGCTGCGTTTTTATTGTGGAAGGCGCCACGAGAATTCGGCGAGATAGGCGCCATCATATCCCGGACGTACGAACAAGCTCGCCTTGTTGCATCCCCGCCCCCACCTTCAGCGCGAGCCGACCCAAGTTTGGCTTGTGTGCTCGATTGACCTAGCCTAACAAATTGTGCTATTCTGAATCGCGATAAGACCCTAACCGAACGCTAGCTTACATTCATTACATTTATTGATACTGTCAGCCCTTGCACAAAGCTATTACAGGGGTGAAAAAAAAAAAGAACAACAAACATGTACACCCGCCGGCAATGTCAAGGTGAACACCTTACCTGGTTTCTTGCCTGTTTTACGGCTCCCTAACTCAACATCTCAAATGGGTCTTGTTCCAAAACTTGCAGGAGCGTCAAAAGCAAGAGGAGGGCTGATCACCTTCATATCGCTCACGGGTGTACGCTTAGATGCAATCATACACAAAGGTTGCAAGTATGTTGAGATGCTTCGTAATTTCGGCAGTTTACGAAACTGATCACTTCGTAGTTTTGAAACATTTCTTTACACACGCTATAGGGGTTTTAATTTGTAGCACATACAACAATATCAGTGATACGCTCCAGAAATTCATTTAGCGACATAGATGACACAGCACAGATGACACAGAGACCTTATTCAAACATTTCACCTACGACAACTTTCGAGAGGATAAGCCTCAACCTTAATCTGACCGAAGACAAGTCGGAAACTGCACTCTGAACTCGATTGGTCATTTGTTCATGCAGAAATATTTCACGCCGCGCATTTCACTTCCAGCATTTACGGACAAGGTACGAAGAACAACTTTAAAATAGGCTCGCCCACCTAATCACACATCAACACGTATTACGTGTCGAAAACATCTAAAAGAAAACCCCTGAAGATCTTGAATTATGCCAAAGTCAGTGATCAGCGGCGTATCAACTTGTTCTTGAGTGGGGGGACAAACCAACCAACCCCCTCCTCCCCCCCCCCCCCCCCCCTCCGGGGCCGGGGGGCGGTGCCCTCGGGCGCCGCCGGTCAGTGTTTGCCCTGCCCAGTGGCGGCTGTTTCAGGAAAGGGGGGGGGGGGGGGGGGGGTCAAAACACCATACCTTGCCCCTTCCCCCCAGTCTGAGAGCTGGGGGGGGGGGGGAGGCAAGTGCCCCCTTGCCGCCGCCCCCCCCCCCCTTCCCCCCCCGGTTGGTATGCTCATGTCAGTGATCCTACATGCTTTCCTGATATACTTGTGCTCCCGCAAAGGAAACACTCCTACAGGAACGTTATTAAAAAAAATTTTGGAAAAAAAAAAACCGTTCCGCGCAAAGAAAATAAATTTTTAATTTAGCAAATGTCGTCAGCGTGAAAAAAAAAAAAAAGAAAGCCGGGATTACATTGTTTATACCATCGTACAAAAGACAATCTGTAAACAGATTCGAACGCGAGTCACCGTGAAATCCGTACTTCGAATGACGCGTGGCAGTGAATTCAAGGAGAAACTTGGGCACGCGGCATTCGAACCAGGGATACTGCGGTGTTCGCAGACTGCCTTTCTTGTGATGCACGAGCAGTGTGACCCCACACCGGCTTTAGGGGTTCTAATCAGCACACATCAAAATTGCGCGTGTGTTCGAAAGCTCAGCAATTCAGTAAATCCGATTCACTTTCGATACTACGTACAATCCACCCTATGTTACTAACATGTGCAAAACTGGATATCTCGGAAACCTTACCCGTAGTATTGTAGTAGACACGGCAGTGTTTCGGTACTTCCCCTGCGCGAGTGCTCGCGCACAAACGTACTGCAAAGCTCGCGCTCAAAGCTGCGCCTCTGGTGGCGCCTCCTTTGTGGGATCTAGCGTATTTATATTCACGGCCATTAGCGTGACCGAAACACATTCACAGGTTAATTGGTGCGCCTGCATTTTGCACCCGAGACTTCTGATCTGTAACACGGTCTCCTGGCTGAAGAAGGCATATATAAATAAGAATATCCTTTTTAAGTAATCTCCAAATTCTAGAGAGGAGAAACTGTCGAAATTAAGAATGAAAAGCGATTCACCTACTCACCCTTTTTGGACTTTGCTCCGATTTTCAGCTTGGTCGGCCAGGAGATGAGAGTACCCGTCGTTTCCATAATCTACAACCACCGCAGTCGGTTAGCCAAGCCGCGCACAGTCACCGAGTCGCGAAATGCTCTAGTTTCTAAAAAAGGAGACCACCCACCCGCCTAAAAAATCCATCGGCCATCGTCGGCTCTCCAGAGTCGGTCTCTAAAACGACACAAACAGCAGAATCGCAACTCAGAAGAGCAGTCGGTCAGTAACACCACAGGCGTGCGAGACAGACCACCACCAGACAGGAGCCATCGGTCCGCACTGGCACGCTACCCACCACCGCACAAAAACACCACCACACACTAAAACAGAAAAACTTCGGAGAAAACAAAGCCCACACACAGCACGAGGTCTGCGTCCAACACAAATCACCAACTCTCCAAATAAAGCTACAAAGTATGAAGAAAAATAAAAGGGGGAGACTAACAAAGCGGACGAAACAGTCGAACTTAGCGGGGCAACTTACTCGGAACGTCACACGATACTTTGGAAACCGCGCGGGTCGTTCGGCTGGTTCGGCGGCGGGCACATGGACTTCGTCAGACGCTGGGGTGCCCTCACCCACCCAACGCATCCGAGGGGGCGGGTCACAAAAAGGACAAGAGACTTTTTTTTTTCGGTTATGTGTGTTGTTAAAGCGCCCTTCCCCTCATTCCATCAGAGCGAGCGTTCAAGAGATAAGGGAACGTGCGAGCTGCTTACAATCATCGTGTCATTTTTCGATGCTCTTGTTTGCAAAATGACACAAAGTCACTGCATAGGCGTGCACCACGATAACGTTAAAAGCGCGAGCTTTGATCGTGCGTGCTCGAATTAAATATCATAAAAGCACCTTATGAACTGCTGCTACTATCTGAAAATCCAAATGCGAGCTGCAGTAAAACGTGAGTGGTTTACTTCGGCCCGTACAAGTGGATACCTCTGTGCGGGAACCAGATGGCATATATAGAAACCAAACCAAGAGCCTTGCATGCACAGAAGCAACAAGACGGAAACGAAATGCCTTTGATACCGAGAGCGAAAGCAGGCATCCCGAAACTAGATTAGGTGTCGCGATTATAATGGCGTAGCCAATTTTGAAGTGGGCGTCATGTAGCCCTCTGAAGTTAAGCAAGCGCTATACCGGACGGGTGTTCACAGGAAACTGTTACAACATTCGCAGATAACCTAACATCATTTTTAATTCGCCCGGGGACTTGCACCAACATTCCCTAAACGATTAATTGCCTGCTTGCGTTGAAGATCAAAACTCTTTTCACCGAGATTACCCGGTGCACGGCACGCACAACACGCAAAAACTTCGACGTCTTTTTTTTTTTTTTTTTTTTAAATAGAAGTTTCGTACACAAAATTAACCAATTCCGACCAAGAAAAAAAGCCGGGCACAAAACCTAGCCGCGGGGCCGACTAATGGAGGGAAACAAGAAAGTCTGGAAAACGCATCTGCGAACTTTCAGCCAGAGAGAGAGAGAACGAGGAGCGCACTGTTTATTTACTTTGGCGAGCGGGTCCTCGGTCGAGAGGAAGTGGTGTGAAGGCCTCTACAAAGTAGTGAACGGTACAAACGGACTCGTAGCGACGACGACGAAGGGACGCGGCAAGCAAGCAGCACAGCTGAACGAAGCCGCCGCAAGCAAGAAGAGCATGCCGATGAGCACCCGTCACCACGGGGGTCAACAGCACATGATTCTCGAAGGCTCGTAAACTTCGTGGTCGAGACACAATGTGCCTGCCACAAAAAAAAAAATAAGGGGGTGGAGACCTGCCAGACTGGCGCTGAGAAAGCAGGGATTTAGACAATTCTGCTCGGAAAAGTTTCAAGACTTCCAAGTTAATGTAAACCAGATGCTCCGCCACGGTGAGAACTTGATTCACACGCGCAGTTAGATCACGTATGGTGATAAGAAAAAAATACTACAGCTTCTAGAAGAGCCTGTCTACACTCAGGTTCAGTCGAGCAACCCAATGATTGAGTGGGTCGCTTTGGATTTCAGCACCAGAAACCATCGGTCAAGTCGTTAGTGTCGTCGTAAAACAACTCAATCTCATTCGTAGCTAAAAAAACATAGTTTCACCACCACCATTCGTACGTAGGGCCCAATTACGGCTTGAACTCGCTCTGCCGGTGACTTACTGGAATGCGATGGGTCGGGAGGGCAAGCCACAAGCGAACGACGTTTTTGTCTTTACGACGCTTACACCCACGTTTTTTTGTCTGGGATTCAGTTTGCGAACGACGCTGACACATTGAAGGCTCTCACGTGCTAGCTGCAGAGCCAATCTCGTTAAAATCTGTTGCGGGTTGCGAACCACTGTTCACCTTGTTTTCAAAACTCGCAAAGGAATTTCACATCAGGACCGAGTAGTGCTTGCCAATACGATTCGTGTTACACCCCTTCAAGAAAAGCGCAAACTCCCATGAAAAAGTGGATATTTGGATTTCGCGCCATTTCTGTAGTGAAGTCGATGCTCTGTCAGCCGCAACAGGTAATAATAATCCGACAACCCACAGCGAGCAAGGCTCTGTTCGCAGGGTATGTAACGCTGCTGTCACATGATACACCTGTTGCTAACCCTAACAATGCTGAAAGCGGTATGCTACGATGTTTCATCAGAAAAAAAAGTTTGACGGTGACAGCGGAGTTTCAAAAAGTTCTTGGGAAGCCGCGCTTACCTTGGAGCATCTCTTCAAGTTTGCGTCGGTCAACGCGAACTCGTTCCACAAATGCGTTCGTTGAATCGCTGTCATCCTCAACGATGCTGGAGCCGTCAAATTCGGAAGAGTGTGTCGAAGTTATTTCTAATGCCTCCATGTCTTATTTGCATCCCCTCGCGCCCCTGTAAACTTTGCTCAAAGAATTCTGCGCCTCACTGTTTTATACCAGCATCTCGTTTTGCATGGGCGTTCAGTGTATTCATCCGCCGTTGAGACTGCCATTTTTATATAGCATATTTTCTAAAAAAAATACAGTGAAGTTAACTAATAAAGTATTTATAGTTTATTATCAATAATTTTTATAAATGTTTTAAGGATAGTGTATTTTTAAGTACTTTTAATAGAAGACCTATTTTCTTTCGAGCTATTATGAAAATAGTCCGTATTGTTCCAGTTTGGTGAGGCGGTCGGCGCGGCGTCTTTGAAGCGGCTTGGCAGGTGCCTGTGTCGGCGTGTTTCGCTACGCATTTTACGTCGAGTGCACCTTTAACGTGAGTAAACCAATTTTATTACATTGGCACTATGTGATTGCGGTTTTTGACTGCAAAAATCTCTTCTAAAGTGGTTTGCAATAGCTCTGTTGGATTTGTCACCTCAAGCTCGATCACGTTGTTTGAAGTGGCATTCGTAACGCATCAAGATGTGGTTACTTCTAAAAAAAAATATTTTATTGTCTCACTCCATACCCATACTTTGGGGTGATACAACTCATCAAGAAAAAAAAAATCAAACAAGATTTGCTGTACAACATACATACATACGCACGCACACGGCATAGTAACATGGCGATAGTTTAGTGGACCAATCATTCTCAACCAAGACGATGAAAAAAATAAAAGGGGGACTCAAAACTGTGTTTAGCTACAGTGCACAAAAACGTGCACAGAAAACAGTCTTACACCTAGCATGTGCGTCAGAGTGTTAAATCTGCTCGTAAAGAAGTTGCATCACAAACTGGAGTACATCATTACATTAACTGTTACTCCAGGCAACACATATTTGACGCTTACCACCTTAAGAAACAGCCCCCACTACTATTTTTTTAGTTCGTCAACCCCATCAAATACTCAATAGTCACCCATCAACAGTGTCATTGACTGCTCACAGCAGGGACTGCAAGCTCAGTACAAAAGGAAAATGGGCACACCTTTTTTTTTACCACAATATTTACAGAAACAGAAACACATCTTGTAAAGACTGGAATTAGCTGAAGTGGCACAATCAAGAGTTTTGAGAAACCTATCTACACAGAAGTTGTAGTAGACCCCCTGTTGGCAATAAAATAGGCTATTATATACACCTCTCCTTCTTGTGACCGAAATTATTGGGGCATCTCGCATCAAACACTATCCCACAACGTGGGTTTTAGTCTCAACTTTGATCAGTTGGCATAGTCCATAGGACGGCGTGTTCCCTGGGAATAACAAACGGGTTGAGCATAGACATCACTGTTTGCCACGCCATCGAGGGAGAAAAAGCTCTCTTTTATAAGTTCAATTAAATAAACTAAGCGTAACAAAACAGTTGGAAAAGGAGAACGCAACATTCTGCTACCTTCTTTCAGAGTCAGTAGCTTGATGTGTAAAAGAAAAAAACAATGTAAAAACAGCAGCACTGATAGTTTCATAAATGCCGAAGCACTAGGTTGCCACAGAGGTGCAAGGCATGACACTGTTGGCGCAAACACGACATTCATGCTTTTCACTCTTTATTCATACAGCTTAATGTCGAACGAAAAAAAAATTTGCTGCCAGTTAGGGTCCAGGATGAACAGATTCCACTATGCCAGTATATCTGATGGCAGTCGTTCGGCAGTGACAGAAAAATAGAAAAACATGGTGATCGTGTTTGTGCTGACTGTGTCGTATTCTGCACACATTGAAATGGATTTGGTTGTAGAATGTGGAAGCACTGGTAGTGGTTCTGGCACGGTCATGCGGTTGGTGGCTTGGACGGCCTATAGGGTTCGATGAGAAAGCTGCTTCTTCAAATAAAATAGGAGCATATCAAGGAGACGTAAATGAGAAGTGTGTTCCAGGATGCTGGATGGTGATCTTTTTTCATGAGGATGGATAACTCTATTGTCCTTGGTCTTCACTGTCACTTGTGTCTGAAAAGAAAACATCAGATTAGGAAGCTGCACTTGTATGTTTGGAAATTTGATTTGTTAGAACTTCTGAAACTTTTGCTGGTGACTTTCACAACACTTTGACTTGCTGACAAAGAATCAGGATTTAGTCTTAGGTTAAGTACTGCATTTCCTTAAGCTATGAGATCATTCCTGCAAGAAATGTCAAAGCTTTAAAGGGGTAAAAAGCGAAACTTAAACGGATAGATTATTCTTGAAATGTAATGCTCATGGGCTGCTTAGTATATACATCAAGTTTCACTATTTTTGGAGCTCTAGTAATTGCAACAATCAATTTACGAATGCTTGTCATTTTCATCTGGCGACCAGGCATCGCTGCTCGAGTTGGTCACATACGTGAAAAGCTTGATCACAAATTGGACAAAATGGACTTGAAAGATCGGAAACTAATTTTTGCAGGCGGGCAGTGAAACAAAGTCAGTAGAAAGCAGAGTTAAGGATGCGGAGAGAGAGAGATGTGGGAAGGAAGTATGCAGGAGAAATCAGCTTTAACTATGTATGTGTAGGATCATTTATGTTTTACATCCTGTTGCACTCGTAACACTGCGAAACTACGCAAAAAGAAGCTTTTATAACCCTCAAAACCTTCACAGCAGCTGTTGCATCTTGTGGGACCTCTGACCTTTATGAACTGAAATGACTCAGCTTGTTTTTTTTGTTTTTATTTTTACAATGGGTTTAGCTCTGGCCTGGAAGCTCCAGATAATGTGCGAGACAGCACAGAGCAAGGGCTCACCTTTTTTGCTGCCCTGGTACTGATGCCGGCGCAACCTGTCATACAGGTCTTCTTTGGTGCCATAGATGCTCGCATTGCTGCGGCCCAAGGTCCCGCTCTTGCCGTTGTGTAGTCCGTCTAGGGACAAAAAAATGTTGTTTTATTTTGGGAACACTTTTTCAGGAAGCTAAATCTGATGATAAATTTCCATTATGTTATCTCGTAATGTAACTAACTGAAACCTGCACTCAAACGTCAGGCTTGTCACTAAGTGTCAGTCTTCCCATGCAACAGCAGTCATCTTTGACATAGAAGTAGTAAGGGCTTATGCACAGTACTTATGTAGATGGAGCAAGACTTATGAGCAATGCTCATTATGCTCATTTTACAATGCTGGTATGCAAGTTGGCCATATAACATATACTCCCCAGAAGTATGAAAATTTAAACTAGCATGTTTGCAAACAGTTCGGAGGATGAAAGTGTAAACTACATGGGACAAAGAGATAAGTACACACATTGCAAGTCTGTTAGATGTTTTCTGAATATGGGAGGTAGGATTGGGGAATTTCGTTAGACAGGCTTACACAAACCTTTCATGTAGGTTTCGTTGTAGAAGTTTGGCATTTCCCATCCGTCGTCGTCATCGTCGTAATAATGGGCGTAAGTGCTGTGGTGAGAAGGCGCTATACTTTCGGCATACGGTGCGGGTGCTCCATAGTAGAAGTTGGACTGGGATCCGCTGATGTCCATGGGAGGGGGCTGGGGCAACTTCTTGGGCTTATTCTTCCATGACGTTCTGTACAGAAGGGGAGCACCAGATTGCCACAATTGAGGTGCATGAAAGTTGATGAACTTCTACTGTGAGATACACTCCTACAAAATGCATTTATAATTTGCTTAGATGGTTTTAAGTGACTTTTTGGGGAGGCCACCCTTTGATACCTGAAATAATGCTGCAGTTTCTTATAAACTATTATAAAGGGAGGCTATTCGTTAGTACAGTAAAAATCTTAAAGCTTAGAAGAGTAACTCTGCTGAAAATTCTGCTCAAATTGAACCATCCCACCTGGGCTCGGCTACCACACAGCTTGTTCATACAATCCATTCTGCTGGCAGCTGCTCCTGAATGCAATATTTGCTAAAAATCATGTTTATATGTAACCATACCTGGGGGGCTATGGCTTAGATATATGAGCCACTGCATCATTTAAATAAATGAATAAAAACACAACAGTTGCCCTTCAAACTGAAAACAACAGCCTATATTGTGACCATTTGCATAGTTTAACACTTGCACTTAATTTTATTCTAGGATTGAATTGCTTTGCAGTTGAAGACAATGCAGAATTGGCACATGAAAACTGCAGGAACTCTAGTGGATTGCAGGTTTTCTCTCCATATATCAGTGTCAATCCTCAGATCATGCTTTGTTTTCTTTGTATAGTTGCTTATATACTTTGCTTGATTGATTATCATTTGTAGTAACTTGGGGCACATCTAAATGCAAGCAATGCTTCAGATAGTTTTCGAGAGCGGGCAGCAAGATAAAAATTCTGAGCAGTTTTTGTCTGGAACACCAGTGGTTTGATGTTCATGAAGGTGTGTTCTGTAAGCTGCTGCACTTCTGAGTGGCACATCTTTAGTCTCAGCACATCTTCAGTCAGCTCGATTTTCTACTGCTACAAGAAGGCCGAAAGACACGCACCTGACGCAGATCATCCAGATAAGGAGGACGATGAGGATAACAAAGATGACTGCTCCGGCAATGCCTCCCACAATGTAGACAAACTCCGATTTCTTTTCACACCGGTCGCCATAGAAGTTGCCCTGGCACGCGCATCGTGGCTCGCTGGTGTCCTGGCTGATTTCGCAACGGCCTCCGTTTTCGCAGTAGTCCTCGCAAACACCTGGAACATGGTGTAGTCGCAGAATCTGGTATCAGTTTCAAAGCTCCCTGAGAATATAAAAAAATGTTGCAGCCAAAACAACCAGCCCAAACCCTCTGAACTGCAAAATACCAATGTTTATTTGCTTTAGCTGTTTCTTTAGACCAGCGATTCTAAGGTCAGTAAAGACATTTTTAGTTCTTACAAAGTGCTCACTCAACAAGTCAAGCTGAGCAGAAATATTTTTTTTTCTGTCTCTCTTCCCAAGTGCTTAAAGGGGCACTGACACATCAAAATAATTTTTTTTTTTATTCTCCGAAACGATCGAAAGCGATGCCGAGACATTACCCTCAAAGTTCAAAACTTGGGAATTCAGTATTTGTGAAGTAAAAAAGCCATTTTCAAATATGGAATTCGAAGTTCCCGCGCGATTCGCACCGGTGCGACGACGGCAAATGTTACGGAGTCCTGAGAGTCCACTTTCTTTCACGACTCCGTGCTGTTGCCATCGCGACCCAAAGCAAGAAGGAAAGGGGCGGCAAATAAGAAGGCCGGCAGACCGAAAAAAACAAAAAACAAAAAAAAAAAACGGTTTTGAGTGCTGTTGCCTGCCCAGGCAGCATGTTTTCCAAGGGAGGATACCAATCTAAAAGATGACATCACACCGGACTTCGATTTTCGGTATTTCAAAAAGGAGAACCGTAGTGCATTCGCAATTGCGTTAAAAAGCATGTTTTGCGATTGCCGTTATTAAATGTTATAGAAATGTCGCCTACAAAGCTTCTAAATTTCAGGATTTTTGACATCACAAATCAAAAGAAGCGAGGAGGTGAGGAGTGACAGAGGAAAACGGTAAAAATAAAAAGGCGCGCGCGCGCGTAAAAAATTTTCTTTTTTGCGATGCATTTTTTTTTTTTTTTTTGTGTGGCTATGACTACAACTTGCATCGTTTTAGACAATAAAAAAAAAATACGACCTTTGGGGTGTCGTGTTCCTTTGAAGTCAGGGGGGGGGGGGGGTCTTGGGAGGGGAGTTTGGATAGCTCTAGCATTGGTAAAAATACAATCATAAGTGGTCCATCTTGTAATCAGAAATGTTAGGATTTCCTTTCTTCGTTTTGTTGAGTAGCCATCTCCAGAGAGAGAACAACTATGTTGTGAGTAGCTATGTCGACTTCGTGTGGAACAGAATGGCGGATGTCTCAGGGACTCTATTAATTCTGGACGAGAAAAATAATCGGAATCCACGTTGTTGGTAGGTTTTGTTTCATGAGAAATATGCCAAGTTATGCACGCACTCTGCACCCCCCCTGGGGGTGTGTGCCTGAGTTTAACCGAAACAGCTGTTGATGCCGAGTCAGCTCTCTTTTTCGTCCAATAGCGTCTCTTGGTTTTGGTCATCGTTGGGGGTGTGTCCCTCCCTCCACACTTCTAGCTTCACCTCTGGTGGCCTCATGTTACCTCCAGAAGCTTCCTACCTCCATGGTTCTAAGGGTTGAGGTTTGCCTGATAGGTGGCACCAGCATGCACTCTCGTCATTAATGGTTACAAACGAGCACAACACACTCAAAAGCAAACGCGCGAAGCAGCTTTTAGCCGTGCAGCCCGCCCACAAACACATACCGACACACTCTCCCGAGTCGTTGTTGGGCCTGAAGCGAGGCATGCAGCGGCATTCGTGGTCCTGCTTCTCCTCGACGAAGACGCAAAAGGCGTGCTCCTCGCAGTCCCTGAGCTCCCCGTTGACCAGGCAGGGGTCGGAGCATTGGCTGCGGCTTGTGGAGCCCACGCCGTCCGTGGTGGTGTCTGTGGGGCATGCCTTGCACTCCAGGTCCCGCTGCTCCTCGTCCTGGTAGCTGCCCTTTGGGCATGGCATGCACTGCTCGTTCGTGCCGTTGAGGTAGTGGCCCACGCGACACACCTCTGCAAGCAGACGGTAAACAGGCGGTGACCGAGCGCACGGGAGCACAATGCGAACAACCCCGATACTAGAGCTGGGCATTGGTTAAAATTTTTAACCCGATTAATTGCTACCCTTTAATCACTTATTGAATCGGCTATAGCTGGTTGTGTCAACCGCCAGCCATAGTATTTGAAGAAAAATATGTATAGAATTTGACATTTTTACTATGTAATCGTGGCGGAATGTACAGCCTCATTTGAAACTGGACGGTGTGATGCCCACCATTAAACCAGGCAAACAATTTTAAATATTAAATATTTTACACTATTATTATAAGCTTAACTATAATTGCCCTGGATGACAGTTATATGGAATGCTAAAGTTCTTTACCATGAAAGTGAAAGACAACAGTGCTGCCCCTAAAAGGAAAGGGCATTTTTATTTTTTCACATATTTGTCCAACTGCGAAACCAATTGTTTAGCTGGTTAAAAAAAAAAGTATTGCAATTAAAGCATTAATCGAATAATTAGAAGGTTAATCACTAAATTGCCGAGCCCTACTGCAGACCCGACCCTGTCCTACAGACAATATGCCATACTGCCGAGTCTAGGTTTTAGGTCGCTGAGGTGTTTGCCTTTGCTAAATATTTTTTCATGTTGGCGTCTACTCGTTCTTTTGTGAGAAATCAGCCAATTTTGGTCCTATATGGCACCACACAGTTAGTCTGGGATCTTCGTTTGTCTTCTTTCTGTTTATTCTCGGCCAGTTAGGGTGCTTCCATCCACCCTAGAATTTGAGACGAACGAGCATTCTATTGTGAGGACTGGGTGCTTACCGAGGGAGCACTGGTCGATGCTGATCGATCCAAAGTTTGGAGTTGTCCTGCCCGGCGGGCACTGGTGGCAGGATGCCATGCCTCTGGTTCTGTAGGATCCTCTGGGGCAGGGGTCGCATTGGCCAGTCAGGGAGAGCTGCAGTCCCGCGGCACACTCCTCTGCAGGGACAAACGACAAAAAACAAGCCTGTCTCATTCGGGGTTATTGCTCCATGGTGTGGGCTCTTGTCATGTTTTGTCTCTCTTTATGTTTCATTGTTTCATCTGGGTTTGCTACTAATGGTGGATCTGTCTTTATGGCGACGAGAAAGGTTCTAGATCTCTGGCTTTTCAAATCCCGCACATAACCAAATATAATACTTATATAGCAGCGCAAACCTTGAGGTGGCGATGGGTTAATGAAATCTTTGTGAGGTGATTGCAAGAATGGCATACCACAGCAGATATTCATAGCTTCATATCTTACTGTTATACGTGTTCCTGAGAGGTCAAAGGTCTGCTGTGATGGCACAAATGTAGCCAAGATTTGTTGTCCTTACCTCTGCACTCCTGAACTGAAACTGCCTCGTTGGTTCTTGTGGTGAGACCTGGCCCACAGGACTGGCATGAGAAGGAGCCCTCACGGTGTTGATAGAGCCCATAGCCACAGGAACGGCACAGTCCCAGAGGTTCATCGAAGAATTTGCCAGCTGAGCACCGTTCTGCACGTGGCATATCACAGCAATGTAAGCAGGACATAGCCAAAGATCTCTGTGCATTATTACGAGAGGTTGAGGGGATAGTCTAAATTATCTTCAGGATGATGTTGGATTATTTTTGCACACTACAGTGCGATCCACTTGTGTCGATACCACATATAACGATGTACTGCTTATAACAATCAATTTCTAGAGTTTCTAGACTAGAACTGATTAGTTTCTAGTCCAGATGCAATGATAATTGGTTATAATGTTAAATTTGTATGTTTTCTCATTATCGTTATAAGTGGATTGCACTGTATACAAAGCTAAGGGACTTTGCAGTCCTGAAATTAACTCATGATGGCTACACCATATAAAAGGTACTAATACCCAATGCGTTAAAGAAAAGAAGCGACATTCATATTGAATCCCTTTTAAGCGATATCTTACCCCTGTCATTTTTACACTGTTTGCTCTCCTGCTGTGGTCTTTAGTTTCTTACTATGTTCATTCATACTTAGTTTGTATTATATGTTGAGAGCTATTTACACATCTGCATCTCTTCTCTGGGCTGCATATCACATGATTAAAGGGAAGCTGAAGAGGTTCATGAAAAAAAAAGACCTAGAGGTAAATTGTAGCATAATTTTGTCTTATAAATTTAAATATCACAAGCATTTGAGTTGAACATATCAATAGATACTAGAAAAACCGAAAAATCAAACACTGGGTGTGATGTCATACCCAGAGGTTTCAGCTGCCTTATGCATGCTGCTTGTGAGGGACCGCAAAGTAGCGATTTTGACTGCTTGGGTAAGGCTTGCAGAAAGTGCAGAAACGGTGAGATTTCGGTGTGTTACGTCATGATTCCCTTCTCGCATTGAACGCGACAAAAAGGAGGGGCTTCAGCGCGACTTTTAAAGCGCTATTGTGGCAACTTGGCTCATCAATCTGAAATACAGTTTTGATATTCATAATCCTGGAGGCCAAATAAAGACGATTTAAGTGTTTTTTTCTTAAATACAGAACCACTTCAGTTTCCCTGTAACTCAGTATAAGGCATCTGACATATGCAGAGAAGACCAAAGGGCATTTGAGGAAAGAAGCTCACCTTTGCACTGGCCAGCGGAGCGTGCTCCAGGGGCCGACGTAACTCCCTGCTTGCCAGCGATGGTGGGGCAAGGCTTGCAGGATGGCTGGCCTACATCGTTCTGATAGAATCCCACTGGACATGATCGGCACGTCTGGGTGGCATTGTTGTAGTAGGTGCCCAGGGAGCATTTCACTGGACCATTCAGAGTGAAGGAGCAGGAGTTAAACGTCGATCTTGCTTTGTCTACTTGTTGGACTTTGTAATTTGGTTGAGTGACGGAGACATGACCAAATATACAACCTATCACTTGATTGTATAGTGTGTTGCTGTTCAGGAGTGAAGGTTGTGAGTACAAGACTTTGGCAGGTTTTGAGCCTGCTTGAGGATATGGGCACCCATGGGTTTTCTTACATTGTCTCAGAACTTTGCCCTCAAACATAATATGTCTGAATAAAAAAAAAAAAAAAAATCTTGAAAACTTTTTAGAGCATAGTTAAAAGAAGAATTGATGTAGGTGCTTTTATTTTTGTAATAATTCCTGGCTTCCAGATGGCATACCTTGGGTACCAATTTCTCATTTCTATTTGCTGGGCAAGGTGCAGCTGCTCATGTTAGCGCAGTTGAATCCTCAATTATGTTTAAAAGCAACTGAGGTTGGTTGCAGAATTCATCAATGTCACACTTCTGCCAATTCAATTAGTTGCTCTTTTATTTCTATTTTCCTGCTCATTTCTGTCTGGCCCAGCAGGAACACTATTTTGCCATTCTATATAAACCGCATTCCATAAAATGTAATTTTTTTATGATACAACAAATCGTCTGTTCGTTTATTTTCTTTACACCATCAGGAACTCATCCTAGTACTCACCACAGAATGGTGCAACAACGACTTCTCCCGCCGGGCATGCATAGTCGGTGACCATGTTGAGGGATGTTAAGTCCGGAGAGACATTGGGTAGGGTGTCCCGCACATCAAAGGCACTCTGCTGCAGGACAGCATTCTCCACTATCTTCTTGACTGTTGACTTCTCTTGGGTGTTGACATTCACCACTGGGTCACTGTTGGTCATATGGGGGACATGGGTTCTTTGTAGGGAGGTGCTGACGGATATTGTCGAATGCAAGAGCTCGCTATCATACAGGCTGTTTTGCGAAATGCAGGCTAAACTTTTCTCTTGGAAACTATGCATTGCACAGGAAAGAGATGGGTACCATATTTATCAATGCCATTCAAGCTATTTATATGTGTTTTAAATAACTAAAAGAAAGGTATGGTACCAGCAAGGATATTCGGATGAGAAGAGCTTTTGGCAAAAGAAAAAAGTAAAATCTGGATATATGCAATGTTCTTGCCCATTGCATGGACATGACATATCACTGAAAGATTACTCCAATGTTACTGTATTTTGAGTTAGGCATAGAGCATTTAGCGTTGGAAAACACTTAGTTGGAGTCAAAGTAATCACCTTGCATACTTCACAAGCAGTCTTGGGTAAGTTACTTTCAAAAAGTAATTCGTTACAGTTAGAGTTACTTTCAGAAAAAAGTAGCGAAGTTACCGTTACAGTTACCGCAACAAAAGAGTAACTCGTTACAGTTACAGTTTTAAAAAGTAACGACGTTACTTTTCAGTTATTTTTCTATAACACAAAAAAATTAGGAAAAACTAGAAAACGCCCCTCACCAAGTTTTATTGCATAAAATTAAAAAAAGTATGCTTTTTACTTCATATTGTAACTTAGCAGAAGTTGCTTTTCGAAATTAGTGTTTGAAAATTTTTACGCCAGAAATTTTACATCAAAATACGAAACATGCGCAGTGTGGTGTACTGGTGGTAATCAAAATACGAAACATGCGCAGTGCCCTCCGCGTGTATCATTGTTTCATGGTTGATTCACCCTATTAAAAAGCGTTTTCACACACACACACACAAAAAAAAGAAAAACCACGACATAGATAGTGCTTCAAGACACTAACATGTAAGTGTTCAGTCACAAAGTACAAGTGCATTAGTAAAGATATCTAGATTTTTTTTCATGAAATCTACACGTGGCTATATTCGGGTCGTGACTCGAGAGAAAGAACGTATGCAGAAGTTTGTGCAAGGCCAACTTGACACTCGAAATGTCGGAATAAATAGACGATTTGAAAAGTGCAAGGAATATCTAAATTGTACTCGTTCAGTGATATATTATTCATAAAACACTGGAAAGTAACGACAAAAGTAACGTCATTACTTTCATCGTTACCTCAGAAAAAAGTAATAGAACTACAGTTACAAGTTACATTTTAAGAAAATAACTCGTTACAGTTACAAGTTACCAAAAAAGTAACAAAATTACAGTAACACATTACTAGTAACACGTTACTACCCAAGACTGTTCACAAGTAACATTAACCCCTTGCCTACTAATTTTTTTTTTCAAGAGACGTACAGCAAAATTTTGTTTTGAACGGGGACTTTGCATTAAAATGAGACAAAAATATTTTCTCGATTTCCAGGTTTCATATCTTGCTCTAAATCAGGACTTCTGGTCCAAGTCCCACTGACATGCAGGCGCCGAAGTTGATAGAATGCTTGGATTCACATCGTTTTCATTTCTCCTGTCACTGCCCATCAAACTATCGTCCAATTCCTAAAAATCGGAAAGGCCGAAGGATTCGTCGTCACATACGCCTGAGCACTCGTCCCATTCAAAAAGAAAGTTTTGTATCTTTTTGTCGGCTAAAGTGGACCTCTGCACCAAAGTCATATTGTTTTAGCATAAACGCTCACAAGCGACTGCTTTTTTTTCTCGGCTAAATGGAGCATTCTCTCTGTCTGTCAAACAGCAAAACAAATGAGTAAATTGACCAAGGTAAATGGAACAACATGGATGGTTTTGTCATCTGCCAGAGAGCGCGCTAAACAAGTGCAGAAACCAAAACGTGAGTCACACTCGTGGTCAGGCTTTATAAGGGGCGGCACGTGTGGCACCCATTATTAGAAGGCAAGGGGTTAAAGTGCCTATTCAAGATTGCCTACAATCAGTTGCAATTTTACCTTAATTTTTAATATTGTAATATTAATAGAACATAGCAACAAATATGATCCCCCGAAATGAGGCTTGATTGTTGTACCCTAATACTTTTTTTAATAAAATATGAAGTGTTTAGCAATACAGTATTTTAGACACCCAATTCAACGACCTTGATATTTAGGTGGTTTGATAGTGATAAAATAAAAATACTAATGAAAAGCCAAACATATTTGTTATTTGTGCAGAGCTAAAGAATCAATCTCTGTGAGCAGTTTTTGATAAAATGACTCAGCCAAATTAAAACATGGGATTTGCAAGTGACAAGAGAGAAACGGTTATTCAAATGAAGTGTGAAAATATTGGGATATTGGTCTAATTGGTTAATCTCCTTGAACTGAGTCGAAACTCAAGAAGTTGCTGAGACAAAAAATTCGAAATGTTTCTGCCAATGCTCAACAAAGAGGTTTCAATTCATATTTCTGAGTAGCAAAGAACACCGAGCAATGCTGGTAAAGACTTACTTGTGGGCCGGGAAGGAGACCTCCACATTGTACACGTCGTTGTCATCCAGCTGGCGTCGAACAATGCGTGGGTGCTTGTTGCAGCCCACCTTGACTTGGATGCCATTACACGACCCAGGGGACTGGTCCACGCAGATGCGCCAGTTGCGGTTCACCTGCATGCGGCATGTGCAACCATTTTTAATGTTTGTACTGGCAAACATTCACCACCATTAAGTGTCGCTCTCATGCTGAGAGGACTCGCTCTGGTGCTAGGATCCTTGCTCACCTGAAGAAGGCTGTCGAGGATACGGGAGTGCAGGATCTTCTTGCCAGAGTCGGAGCAGACGACCGACGACGGGAAGTTCATGTTGAGGCGGAAAATACGCTGCGCGGGCCTCTTTGCTGCAGTCGAGGGAGGAAAGGCAGCTGTTTTATTTCAATGCTCAAATAGCATTCAGCGATTACAGTATACCATGTTTATGCCTCTTGATTTCAATGCACGCCCAGTTTTTATACCCATGAATAATGATTATAGCATGCCCCTATTTTGGGATTTATATTTAATTCAAATGCGCAGGCCGTTTCTAGGTAAATTTTTCTAAAAAAATGAATTCCCTGTAATGCCAAATTAGAGCGCAGCTCTTGAGGAGGAGGAGGGGGGAAGGGTATACCCCTCCTCCTCATCCCTACCTTCTCCTCCTCTTTCCTTATCTACTCCTCCCGTGCTCCTCGCCCGCCTCCTTCCCCTCTTCCTCCTTCCCCCCTTCCTCCTCCTCCTCCTCCCTTCCGTGCAGTGCATTATGGGAAACATCCCATAATGCAGCGCGCGCGTCACCGTGGTGCATTATGAGACGCTTCCCATAATGCACCGCACAGTTACGCGACGGCACCGACGGCGATGCCAACACCGCTCAAGTTGGAAACGGGCGCCTAAGAGCTGCGCTCTAAAATTATTTTGTGCATTAGAGTTGGGTAATAGAAGATATGCGAAATTGCTCGGAACTTTGGCAACACGAGCACGAAAAATCCGGTTGGCCATCTTTTTTAGATTGAACTCGGAGAGCTGGAGCACCGCGTGTTGATCAGCCGTGCAACCCGCCAGAGGAATGACGTAAGGATGGCATTTTTTGACGTCAGACCATAGCATGTGGGGAAACAGTCTAGAAGCTTTAATCTACCTGTCCTTTCTGATGATACGTTCGCAAACTTGTGCACGTCGACAGAGACGTCGTCTCGCCAGCAGAGCAAGTCATACATGCTCGCCGTCGAAACATACACGCTGCTTTCATCGGTGTCGACGAACGTCTGCAACTCAAGGTATACGTAAACACTGTTGCATACATGAACATGGACCAAGAGGTGGCATTTACTAAAAAGGCTATTTTAGAAACAACGTCATGATCTAGAAACAGATCGCTTGTACGCGTGCTCATTTGAAATCAGGAGCACCCTACTTCAGATTGAGTCGCCACATTTACTTTGCAGGCACACCACTACTTTTGCACTGTATGTCCCATCTCACAAATTGTGCTCAGTGCACCTGAAGGCACGAGTTTGAGGGCGTGGCTCTGCAGAATTCGCTGTTTGCATGAGAACACGCGCACACACTTTCAAAAGCGTTGTGCTCGCAGCTGCGCCGGCACTGAAGACGGCTTTGAAGTTTATTTGCATTTAGGACGTCATTGTGGCATTTCAGTGAATTGACAAGTTGCAGAGACGCGAAACGGTAAAATCATTTGTAGGAAATGCATGCTCCCAACAGGCTCCCACTTTGCTGTGAGTAAGGCTTGCTGTAGGAGCAGTAGCTTTGCGGTGTGGGTTACCAGCGCTCACAGCCACCGAAGGGTAACAAAGGAGCTTACAAGCAATGGAGCGCTTCACTATCAGAACATTGCCGCAATTTAAGGGACTTATTGCGAATGCATCACGGTAGAGAAGTCATCAGGATGGTGCCGTTAGAATTACATCCTGCAAGGTTGCAGTCCCCAAGGTACATAACTCCTGTGCTGTTGAAAACAGCTGTGCTCTTTCCTGCAGTACACTGCATTAGCGATAGATTGCATCCTTATGATCACGCTGCTAAGTGTACAGATCACGGGACTGTTCGTGCGAACATGACATCCACACTTTTTTGCGTTATCTTCGAAGAACAGCAAATCGAAAAACGTAATGTTTTGCCACCCATTTTGCTTTCTCCAAAGAGTCCTCAAAACATGCATAGTTGTAGCTATAGGCTTTCATGTGTCAAGGTAAAAGTGGAAAAACCGGCAATGGTTTCCTTGTGCTAACTGTTCAAGGACCACTCAACGTTGTCCTTATCACTTGAATAGTATTTTTAAATTAGGTTCGCCTTTGTGACACATACAATTGTTCCCATTGCTGTCGGTGACACCACATTGCTTGCAGACAGGTAGTACACAGCAATTTAATGGCATCCAGCTGGTGGGAAAAGAAGATTGTGGAGCACATGCCAGCGCGCACCAAACCGTCTGGCCGCTTTTCTCGACCTAATTAAGATGGCGGATACAGTTCTTCTCATGCCTAATAGTTGGCGCCATGCATTTTGCATATCTCCTATTATGGTAGTTTAATTAAGATAGTATGTTTCATTTCCGCTAACTTAGGTTGATGCTATCTCATTTTTGCATCCAACAAGCTCTACAGATGTCGCTAGAGGTGCCACTAGCGTAGCACAGTATTTTCTTTCTATAGTTTGCTTTTAATTACCAGCGACCAAACTCAAAGCAGCTTACGCGAGCAAGCAGGGAACGTCAGCTGTTCTCCAGGGCTGTCACTGGGTCGCCAGAAGCCTTCTGCTCCGCACACATAGAACTCCGGGATGGGCTGGCTGAATTCCTGGCCATCCTCACAGCTGATGGTACACATCTTGAACCTGCTACCCGGTCCCCAGTCAGAGCAGTGGCGCTGACCACCCAGCGGAGGCGTCGGCAGAGGACAGAATTCATCTGCAATAGGGAGGAGTATATGCTTAGCCGCTCCTATGGACTTCTTCATCCTTGCACTTGCGAGAGTCTGTAAGCAGCTGCAAAAGTTGTCTTACTAAGGACGTGTATCCTGAAGTCGCACTGGGCCGCGTTTCCAGCCTCGTCGAGTGCGACGTAGGATAAGTCGTACGTTCCCTTCATAAACGCTTGTCCTGCAAAAGAGCGACCAATTTTATTCAAATACTTCTCACTGATTTCCTGATATGAGCATTCACATGCCAAATGAAAATTAATGGTACTTGGCCGTGAACTGACCTGTCCTAACATTGTTTCGTTCATACACACGAAGCGTGCCGTAGTCGTCCGAAAACCGGGGCTCTTCCCACTGGAGAACGACCGAGTTGTTGGGAGTCACCACCCACATGTCGGGAGGGCAATAGACAGTCTTGGGGGGCGTCTTGTCTTGATGACGGACACGGCACTCGTCGCCCGTGAAGCCAATGCCGCACACACGCTGGCCACACTTACCCGGGCCTTGCCTTTCTACAGTGCCGTCCACCCTAGAACAAAAGTGCGAAGCAGTTTAGTAGTTTTCTCTGTGTGCTAAGAGAGTAGAAATAAAGGTGGATAGAAAGGAGCATATCATAACATAAAAGCATGGCTGCAGTATGGAATAATTAAACACGTAATGAACATATTCAGCTCGCAACTCTTTACGGAACTCTCATTGCTTAACATGATTGGAGTTGGGCTTTGCTCCGGCAGCGTTAGATTCTCCAAACATTCTTTTGTTTTGGACATGGTTATTGTCTCTTCCACAATATAACGAGATCTCAGCTGTAGCCTATGATTGTACTTCCCTGCTAAAAGCTGCCACTGTTCAATCTGTTGCGGACTAAACACTGATTGAGAGAGAGAGTTACTGACCTATCGTAGCCAGTCCACCTGAGCAGCAGCCCGTCAAATAGAACCGGGGCGTTCTTGCAGCTGCGGAACTGGTGCGGAATCTCGGAGGTGAAGTCCAGTGCACGATTCCAGACATTGACCCTGCTGATGCGTCCGTGGAAGCCACTGCCAGCGGTTGCTTTGTCTTCTTCATTGAGAGGGGCGCCCAGGCTGACCCATCCGCTGCAAACCAAGTTTTTCCTTTTGAGAGGTAGGCCTCAACAACAGATTTATCTTTCCACTGGTTCAGTCAATTCAAGATTTTGGACGCATGATGATTGAAGTACCATTTGTGACAGAAATTGTTCAGCCTAGGCGACGGTATCTCTTTATCTGCTTTGTGCACATGAGTTTGTTCCTACCTGATTACATCATCTTGAAGGGAACTTAATTTCAAATTAACTTTGAATATGGCTGGCTAACCTTTCATTTATTTAGCACGAGAAATGAAATACTAGCGGAATATATGTCTCCTAAATCTGGGCTCGTATACATATTTTGGCAATTTTGAGAAGAACGAGCAAGTGCTGAACGTTGTGGAAGTAAAACCGGGAGACCAGAAGACACCCAGACCATTCCCAGTACCCTGGATCCTTTATTGTTCACTTTGTCCTCCTTGTCCTACATTTGTCCTCCTTGTCCTACATTTCATGCGCTCTTGCCACGTGGGCCTCTCCCGGCCCTTCACAGCTGTCACATCGGATCTCCACGCTTTATGAGGGTTGACTCTATATGTGGACATTTTGTTCACTTTAAATGTTGAAAAATATATAGTTCTGCTTATACTTGGTATGCTGGGGCCCTAATCTACACGGTGGGACGAAGCGGGACAAAGAGCTCGGGATATTGCCGCCTGCTCCGATTGGTCAGCGGCGTGGTGCTGACCATTTGCAGCATGCAACAATGTCCCGGTCTCTTTGTCCCTTCATGTAGGTTAGGGCCCCTGGAGTTTGCTCCAACTACATATAAAACAAGATTGGTTTCAAAACTTATTACTGTGGCATGTTCTGAGCTTATCTGGACCCTGTTCCAGTGTGCAAAAGAGAGGCCGGACACTAGACGGATAACGATTTGTAGGTGCACGAGACAAGCCACAGCTAAGGAAGAAGCAATAGAAGCACAGTGAAGGCAGACAAATGATTCCATTTGTCTGCCTTTCTTAGCATAGGAAGACACTGTTACGTACAAATCTGGCAGTTGTTCATCGTGAATGTAGCCTGTGACCATGCCAGCCACAGCGGTGTCCGTGATGAGTGTGAGGGTGCCCTGGTTGCCGTCCCAGATTACCACCAGATGGTGCCACTGTCCGTCGTTGATGGGCACGTTGTCTAAGTAGGGGATGTAGATGTCCGAGGTCAGGTCTGGGAACAGCGATACCATGATGCCCGTGTCATCTGCCATGACCAGCTTGCGCTTTCCAACCGGTAGGTAGGGTGACCTGTACAGAGAGAACCTCATTTACTTTAGGTTTTAGCGATGTAGTGTGTGCTTTGCTTCACTGATTGGGTAGCATCTCCAGCAGCTTGTTTTGGTCTGGCTTTAAAGACTGACAGATACTTAGCACTTTCCACTTTTGCGTGCTTTCTCCACTTTAACTCCCTCTCTCTCATTGACCCCTCCAGCTCCTCCTAGAATATGATCTTCTGCCTTGCAGGAAATTGAGGTTGTTAATGTATCTTTGAGCAGTACCATTTAAAATCAGGAAATGGCATTAAACCTTATAGGGTGGGTAATAACAAGATATTTCCAATGTAGAGGGGTAGATTGGAGATAGGCTGCCTTTTTTTTATGCATAATTGTCTCAGCATAGACATGATGTTTCTGAAATCACCGCAACTTCTCATGTGGTACATGGATTTGAACCCCACACCGTTTGTGAAATCTCAAATAATTGTATGTTTGCTTCCTTTTTTTTTTTTTAATGTGAACTTCAATTTTGGGTTAGAGTAGCATACTTTTCCTACATTTTTCAGCTTCATTTCTGTTACGATTTTATGGGGGCTGAACCTATTTGGTATGTTTTTCGTGTTATATGACTATAGCAAAGATTATGAGTTTAACACAATTTAAAACAACGCATTGTAAAAGCCAGAGCAATAGTAGGATTGGGATTGTCTTCATACTCGACACTGTAGAGGGTGAAGAATGATCCAATGGAACTGGGCGTGTTGTACTGAATCCACATGGCGATGGTTAGGCTGTTGGACCCCAGTTCAAAGGATGTGGCAAGAGCTGCACTTGACGAGCGGCTTTCGTCGTTGATGTACAGGTCGTAGTCTATGTTGATGGCTGCATCAGCAAGGAAATTGGGGTATGTTATAAATATGCTCTTTTATTGGATTGCACTTGCAGAAATGAAATCAACACTAAATAATTTATCCGAGTGTTAAACCGGTTGTACTACAAGCCGATTAACTTCTTAAAGATATTTCGTAGCAAGTTGCATGGTTTTTGTTTTTTGGATGACTGAAATAGAAAGCTAGATGCACATATGTGTTTAGTAGGTGTGCATGTTTTCTTAGACATGTGTTATGCTTTTCCCAGAGAGCTTCAAAACCGTTTTTGCAGTTGTGTCTTGTACCTTTTGCCTGTAAAATGGAATATCCTTCTACAACAGTACCTTTGGTTACATTATGTGAAGTGTCGGTCAATTCCTAGGTTGTATCTACTTAATGAAAATCACTATAAACAGAAGCTTACAGTGAAAGGGCTCAACAAGCTTCTGAACCAATAGCGTTACAATAGATTTGCAGAGCCACACTCTAAACCAAGATGCACAAGCCTGCACTTTTTCGTTTAAAACAAATATCTGGCCAGCCGTAAGAACACTTACGTTTGCGGCAGTCCTCTCCCGTGAGGTTGAAGGGACACTTGCAGTAGAAGCTTCCCGTGAGGTCAACACAGGTGGCGCTGGGTGGGCAGGAGGACGGGGTGCAGTCCTGGATGTCGTCCTCGCAGTGGGGGCCCGTGAATCCCGGTGCGCACGTGCAGTGGTAGGTGCCCCCCACCTCGTGGCAGGTGGCACCATTGCGGCACACGTCGGCACACGCCTTGTGCTCGTACTGGCAGCCATGACCGCTGTAGCCCGCGGGGCACGTGCAGTTGAGGCCACTGCCAAAGTCTCTACAGGTCCCTCCATGCGTGCATGGGTTGCCAATGCACCGTTGGGGGGAGGTCTGGCAGCGCTTGCCATCAGTTCCCGAAGGGCAGCTGCGACGGGAAGGAAGTAGGGATTAGGGAATTCTTCTTGAAGCTTCTATCACCGTTGCCAGGACCTTTTTTTATTTTTTTAACACATATTCTGAGGTTGCTGCGATGTTGGATGTCAGGGAAATGGATTGTACTAGTGTTGAGCAAATGTTAGAATTTTAGAATAGTAGTTTCGAATACTAATATGCAATTCGATATTCGCTTGAAGGTGAACTGTGATACTTGTATTTTTCGAAGTGTTGATCGCGGTAGCTTAGCCACATTGAATGCGCTTCTTACCAAGCATCGAGGCACTGTGGAGAAGCAACACTCGCGGAGCTGGCCTCCGCGGCTGTTGCTTCTCCGCAAATCACCAGTGCTCGGTGACAAACTCACTCAAAGGGCTGAAATGCCGCAATGAACATTTAGAAAAGTACAAATACTGCAGCTGCGTGCTTAGGAGAAAAACACACTTTCAAGGTGGGGTGGTGTTTTTAAAAAGAAATTGAAACTTTGTGAATGTTGATATCTACATTGCAGTAAAATTTTTAAGATTAAACTAGTTATTATGCACGAATATAGGTTGAGCAGAGAGGCCCTGACAACCCACGTTAATCATTCGTGACTGAAGAAAGGTATTTGCATATAGAAAGAAAATTTATAAATCCCCTCGATTAGGTATAGCTGGACATCTCTATGGGTCCAATTTTGTGTAAAATGTGTTGTTCAATTGCCATCCCAATGTATATAGGCATTGGACTTTCTAAGGCCACAGTCAAATAATATAGATAGATTAGAATTAGCTTAGAAATGGACAAGTGAAAGCTTGGGAACAACCTTCATGAGTTCAGCTGGTATTATTTTAGAATTCACTTCAAACTCAAAATCCACTATTCGCACATGCCTAGATTCTACCCAAGACAGAAAAACCATTTTGGAGATCCGAATTGTGGACAAAGCCCATTGGGCAGATGTGAAATGTCTCATTTGTACGATGCAGCCTTGCCTGAGTTTACACCATTTGTTTTTCTACAGTTTGATAGGGTCAGTTTTTTACAGACACCTAATCGATTTGTGAGATGAATCAGCTAGAATAAGCAAGCCTTAGTTCGTGGGCTGTTCTTTTTTTAATGTGAAAGCATTAACTGGGGGTCCCATGGAGCAAACCGACGTGACAAGTTTTGAAACCACGCCAAACATTGGCCAAACGGCACCTAAAATTTCCTTTCCCAATAGAACCAAGTTAAACCGATTTCTGATGGGTTATGCTTCTATTGGCTGGCGCGCGTCGTCGAGGAACGAGGCTCCCATTCGCTCTCGTGCAGCGTAGTTGCATAAAACACCACCAGAGAAGCCCTCTCCTTGGCAGCGCAGCGCACACAGTGGCCCGACTGCCGATAAGAGCGATTCGGGCCTGGTGGCAGACCCCGCTTGGGCAAGGGCACGGCCAAGCTCAGCGCGGCGCGGCCACTTCACGAGAGAGCGCGCTCGGCCTTCGGCCGGGGAAACATGGCTGTCCACACCACTACGCCACAGATGAATTAAGGGAGCGGAAGAACGACATTCATGATTTTTCATTCACAACTCATATGAGGTGTTTGGGTGTCCTCGGACTTTTTTGCGTCTCGTTCTTGTATTATTTCAAAAATAATTTTTAATTGCAAAATCGTCTTCAGGTCACATTTGTTGAGCAGTCTCTGTTGTCTCCACTGTAGAGCAGCAGCTTGGCCAGTGTACCGTAGAGCTGCTAGCTTATGTTTTTTAACATGCATCATGCAGTAGTAAACTACATGCATAAATGCCTTCTAGCACAATGCCTCATTGTACTAAGACTGGCAGGAAATGAATGTACCTCTGAGTTTGAAGTTCAGCCTTTCTTAAAAAAGGATGAGTAAGTAAAGTAAACTAAGGGACTTACACGCAGAAGTAGTCTTCGAAGAGGTCTATGCACCGCGCATCATTGAGGCAAGGATCTGAAGAACAACCACCAACGTCCACCTCGCAACGCTCTCCCGTCCAGCCGGGCGGACAGTAGCACTTGTAGCCGTTGATAGAGTCTGTGCACTTGCCGTCATTCAGGCATGGGTTGGACTCGCACTCGTTTATGTTTACCTGTACCAGAAAAAAAAGGAAGAAATAAAAAAAAATGTTGAAAGCATTTATTGTAGTGTTGTGAAATTATTCAAATTTTCGAATAGTAGTTTTGAATAATACCGGGAGTCTGAAGTATTTTTATATTGTTTCCTGTGGGCATAACACTTATTGGTATTGGCTTGTTCGTTACAGCTAAACGTCACAGAATTCCATTAAAATCAACTGATAAAACGTTCTGGTTTAAGATTAACCATCCTTTCTTATACAGATAGCAGTTTTTCAGCGTCAGATTCACAACGATCTAGGCATAATGGTTTCAATCTCTTACAAGCGCTTCCTCATTTCTTTTTTGTTTAAATTTTTGTACGACGATCATTTGTGTCCACAAAAGCAATGTGTACCTCGTTAAAAAAAATTTTAAAAATGTTTGAGAAGCAGTGTTTTAAAGAGAAGTCGGACGAAAGTGATGAGCCACGACGACTTGCCTCGCACAGTTCGCCAGTGTAACCAGGGTTGCAGATGCACTTGTAGGAGTTGTCTGTATCCACACATCGCTCGGTGCCTGTCGGATAACAGGGGCTGCTGATGCACTCGTCCACTTCCGCTTCGCATTGGAGCCCCACATAGCCTGGTCTGCACTGGCAGATGAACCCTTCAATCTGCAACAGGAGGTTGTGTTTCCATCTCTGAATATTGCGTAATACTCGCACGTCTACCAAGCTTCTTCACTATTTTATAAACCAAATCAACGGAACAAACTGATTGTGATGGCACTGGAGAGTTGGATACAAAACTGTTATTGAATCAAGTACGTCGCTGGGCTAGTTGGTGCATTTTTCGGTACAAATAAAGTAGTGCAAATGGGACGAGGACAAGAAAGTAAGACAGGACAGGTGCTGGCCCATTGCCTGTCCGATTTTGCTTTCTCTTCCTTGATTCATCTCCCCCAGTTATTTGTACCAAAAAAACTGCTACTGAACTTGCTGTTTTGAAAGTTTTTATTATCCAACAAAAGGTAACCTAGAGTTATTCACTCTGTATTTCATAGAAATGGCTGAAGTATATCTGTTATAGAGCCTGTTATTAAGAAGAACTGCTTAGAAAGAAACGTAGCAGCATTACTCGCATAAATATACGGGTATGACAGCTTCTTACTCTTCTCAGCTAATAAAGAGGTGTAATCAAGATGAGCGAGGCAATCCTCACACACATTTGAAACCGGAGACAGTGGATGAAAAAAAGAGTGACAACACACATTTCAACCTAGGTAATCGCACGTGCTCCATTTAAAAAAACAACAAATGCGAGCACGCCGATGGGCCGTCCTCGAAGAGCCCATACCTGGTCGAAGCAGGAGCCCCCGTTCTGGCAGGGCGAAGACTCGCAGTCGTCGATGGTGTGCTGGCACCGAGATCCCGTGTAGCCGGTGTCGCACTGGCAGCGGAACCCGTCCACGGCGTCGATGCAGACGCCGTTATTGGCGCAGGGACTGCTGAGGCAGTCGTCCACGTTGCGCTCGCAGGTCTGCCCCTCCCAGCCGGGCTGGCAGAGGCACTCGCTGTAGAAGAGGCGGTCGACGCACACCCCGTGCACGCAGGGGTCCACCCCGCACAGGTCCACTTTCTGGTGGCACCGCTTGCCCGTGAAGCCCGGGGGGCAGTCGCACACAAAGTCGTTTACCAGGTCGGTGCAGTTGGCGCCCAGTAGGCAAGGGTTCTCGGCACAGTCGTCTGCAAGGGAGCGGCAGTTGTGAAGCAGGCGGCATGTGGGAGAAATGCGCAGCATGCAGAAGGAAGACGTGGGATACGTGAAAAGGTATCAGATTGGACGAGCGCTGGTTCACAACTAACATTTATTGAAAGAAAACCCGAACGAAGAAAACAACCTGGCCTCAACGTAATCAATGCAAATTCATAAATTCTATTTTTTTTATGCGTTAGCATTAGAACGCTTGTTTTGACAAAAACTTGGCGGTGTCTTTCGTTTGTCAACGCTGGAGAGAGAAGGAGAAGGAGGGGGAGAGGGTTACGCGTGCCTTAGACCGAAGCGCTGACGTTGGCACATGTCAACTTCTCCCTCTCTCCCTGCCACTGACAAACTGACAGACACCGCCGGGTTTTTGTCAAAACGAGGCCTTTCATTTTCGTCAGTCTTGCGCACAGCTGGCGCAAAACCAGAGAGAAGAATGCACTGCAGCGCGGTGGAATGCGGGCGTGCTCAGCTGCCGCTCTCCCATCGCCGGTTGTTCTTCGCTCTGGGTTTCCGTAGTAGTGGTGCATGGGCTTCGATGTGTGTGTTGTTAAAACAATGGATGTGCTTCCCTCCACGAGTGATATGGATGTGGTTCCTTCCACGAGTGGTATGGATGTGGTTCTTTCCACAAGTGGTATGGATGGCTGTATCCAAAGGCGTCGACATGCTGTGACAGGCAGAGTACAGAAAAGGGGGTGAAAAAAATTAGAGGAAGATCCATTGGTGGATTCTTAGAGAATGTGTTAGCCTGACCCTTGTTAAAACGCCACACATGTCCCCCTTTAGGAAATGCTAGCACTGACCCTGTAACAAGACCAAACAGAGGCAGTAAAAAATAGAGGAAGCAAGAGAGAAAGTCAAGACAGAGAAGTGAAGGGGTCAGCGTTAGCGATTCCCAAAGGGGTACATGTGTGTGGTGTTTCCCAAGGGTCATGCTAACGCATTCCCTAAAAATCCCCCAATGGATCTTTCTGTAATTTTTTACGTAGATGTACAGATATCTGACGGACACATTTTGCCACCCCAGTAACTGGAACCAACTTGCCCACATCTCTACATCACTACTTCAATTTCGTGGCTCACCAACTTTATTGGTGGTCTGGTGATTGGAACCGTCCTCCAGGGAGGTGACATCCTTGCAAACAATGCTCAGAGTTTTGAAAGAGCTTGCCGACATATGAAGCATATTCATACTTCCACGAATAAGAGAAGGTAAAAGACATGATGAGTTTGATGAGCGTGTTGGGTTAATACTCAATACAAAAAAAGCAAAACACAAACCCCCGTTTGTGTTTCGCTTTCTTTGTATTGAGTATAAGACATGTATGCAGTTCATTGTCATGTTAGTGCCATTTTGTGGCGTAACTCAACCTTACTCGTGAAATTTTAGAAAGTATATGAACCAACTGCCACACGTTTCACCCATTATTATGAAGTGAAAATATTGTGACAAACAGATGTTACACGTGCATTGTTGAACTGCTCGAAACCGAAACCGAAACACGTCCACGGAAGCTGATGGTCGGAAATCGCATGGCTACACCCAACCACATTTTTTTTTTTCTCCACTTTTTTGGCATGTGACGCAGACGAAGACGAAGTTGTGTGAATCGCTTGTCGTGTGATATTTTTGCACTTATATCCCTTCCCCTTCGTTGTTCTGAGCTTGAAGGTCGATTGGCCGGTACCACGGATGACAGTTCCGAAGTAACGACCCCACATATGTTGCAACGTTTGTCCATCATGTGCTGTCGTTCAAACCACTGAACGTCGCAATATTGAGACAGATGTGTGCTTCCCGTGATCTGTGCCACATTTTTGTTTTCGGTAAATGTATTTGCAGCTTTTTGGAGGCCACAAAAATAGGGTTCATATTTGTTTCTGTTTTTAATATTTAATATGTACCTTAGATGACCCACGATTTTGAATATACTTGGTACACATAGTTTGGACGCCACGTGACCATGAAAACTAGAGTGAGTGCGACTGAAACCGGCCATTTCTCGACTCGCTCTTTTCGGGCGGAAAGACAATGCATTTTGAGCCGCAAATTGTGTTCTGGGTAGTTGGACTTTTATAGGTCATGTTCAAATAAAAACCTCGGCGAGTATAAATACCTTGTGAGTGTCTTTTTACCGTACGCATCCCTTTTCTGGAACCTTTTATTGCCTCTCAAGCTTGTCCAAGTCAGTATTGGGTACAAAGTGTCATCAAACTTTCTTCACAATTTCTGAAGTCCTCAGAAAGAACTCAATCTCCATAGAACCGGAGGCTGCTCAGAGTAGCTTAGAAGCTCCCAGAAAATGCTATGGAACCCACCGACATTCTCTTGGCACATGGGTCCGGCCCATCCTGGCGGGCACTGGCACTTGTAGCGGCCCTGCAGCAGGGGAATGCAGAGGCCTCCGTTGGCGCAGGGGCTGTCCCCGACGGTGCAAGGGTTGACGGTGATGTTGCATGTGGGTCCCTCGTAGCCGGAGCGGCACAGACAGTTGACGGTACCAATGCCGGGCATGTCCTGGCACATGGCGCGGTCAGGGCAGGTGTTGTTCAGGCAGTCGCTCTTCTCCAGCTGGCACTGCAGGCCACTGTAGCCTGTGCACAAACAGAAAGAAGGCCCGTTTGTGTACGTGCAAAGGCGCTTTCGGTGTGGTTGGTCGGGCATGAAGGGTGGAAAATAGGAGATGTTTCTCATCTACTATTTACCTACTTGCAGGGCTTTGTATCGTGGTCGAAGAAATCTAGAATCTAGACGTAGCAGCTCCGAAGGAATCTGCTACGTCTTGACTACGTAGCAACTTCCCCAACATTGCTAGATTACCAACCAAATAGGCTCCTCATGCATCCACCAGGTGCACATTGAAAGATTGTTTATTTAGCTTCAAAATTAGTTTTCTTGTGCCTTTTAACGGAAGGCTGGTGTTTTTGAGCTTAAGGTGCAACATGCAACACATTCAAGCTAGAAAATGAGCACTGGAATTTCGTTTCCCTACCCTTTTAAGTAGCAGGAGGTCAAGAGAGGGAACATGGAACAGATGAAATTAAGTTTTATGCCTGTAAGATACTTCTCGTAAACGTCCGAGCAGTCTGCTAATTTCACACATTTTTCTATGCTTCCAGAGTAACTATCTCAAAGCATCAGCATAGGCAAGCAAAATCCAGCGACATAGCTTCGTCTCGTAACGGACGGGTCAAAAAAAAGCAGGCGTCACTGTCTTTACCTGGGGCACACTTGCAGGTGTATCCCTGCGGGTGGTCCAGGCAGGTGCCGCCGTTGTAGCAGGGCATGCTGTCACACTCGTTCATGTCGGTCTCGCAGAACTGGCCAGTGAAGCCCGCCGGGCAGTAGCAGAGAGCCTCATGGTTCTGGGCCACGCAGAGGCCTCCGTTCTTGCAGATGCTCGGGTTGCAGTGCACTGTGGGGAACGGAGTGCCAAGAAGAGTTGTGCGGTTAAGAAGATGTCCTTACTGAGTGTGAGCTAAGACCAACAAGTATTTGTCTGAAAAGCTAAGATGCCTTTTTGATCTACCACCCCATTGTTCGGTGTGCGGAATGCGTAAGCACCCGGGATACATGCAAATATGGGCAACCTGATGTCACTGTACCGAGTCCTGGTTTTATGTGCCATCGTAATGTAACACGGTGACCTCTGGCGACTTGGTGCAACCTGTCGCACGTCATGTGGTCAAGTTATGATGCGACTTGTAGTGGCAGCAGCCACATGACCACATAACCCGTAGTGACAACAACCACATGGTTGTTGTCACTACGTGTCACAACCATAGTGGTGTCGCATTAAATTTTGCAGGATGTTAGCCAGCCGACTATAGCCAACGACAGTATGGTGTGGCTACGCAAATCCCAAATTTTTTTTCGTTAAAATGCATTCTGCATTAAAAACTGAAAACCCTGACTGAGCACGTGAGGGAAAAAAAGGGGAGAATCTTGCGGTATCACAATCTCTAATACATTGGAAATGGGAGACTTGTGTCGATCCTTATCACAGAATGTTTTATCTTTACCATATTTCATTCGCCCTTAAGCTGAGACTGCAGCCAAATCAACAAATGCGAGCTAGCCCATGCTCCTGGCTTTAAGACGTGCCCTTCTAGTGCCAGCACACATTCTGCAGAAAAACGTTTAAAAGAGGGAATCTCACACTCCTTAAGGGTGAATGGAGTATAGAAGTCTTTGACCGTCAATAAGCATACTAAAAGGTCGTCGCACCGGGAGAGCATGCCTCGGGGCTGAGAGCCCCCGGTCTGGCAGTCTTCTGGTTGGGAGCGCACTTGACGCAGCTGGTCTGGCCGTCCTGAGGCTGGTAGAAGTTGACGGGGCATGGCGAGCAGGGCTCCAGACCGGTCTCCGAGTACGTGCCGGGAGGACAACGTGCTGCCGTCCATGAGAAATAAAGCGGACATTTGTATTAAAAAGGTCTAACAATTAGGAAGGACACCAGTTAACTGCGACTCCTAGACTTTTTTGTCAGTGTTTGAACATTTTTGTTGCAGACACATACACTCAAAAAAAATACATGACCAATAATTCCCTTCCACTCTGGGTACCTCCAAATTCATTGAAGCTAAAGAAATTGTTTTGATTCTTTATGGAGCTCAGTGTGCATGTTCCATGTCTGCATAAATGTCAACGAAGCCAACTAACTGAGCCTACCTTGTCGTAAGTTGCACTGGGGTTGCATCGCGTCCCGAGTGCAATTAAAAAAATTAATTCTTTTTCTTTTTTTGTGTAATTATGCGGCGAGAAACCGAGGGAGAGGAGGAAATAAGTGCGTAAATACAGAACCCCGAGCTTTGATTTGAATTATTAGTGGGAAGACCTAAAGCTAGCGGCTTTTGTCTTTACCACACTCGTCGAACACATTCGAATGCGAAAGCCAAATGCCAGACGTCAGCATTGCGCATTTTAACACGTTCTACAAGTGCAGTGGAGACAAAGTCAGCTAGCTTTAGGTCGACCCACCAATCATTCCAAGTGGAGCTTGGTGTGCTGACGTCCGTGCGCACCATCGTCTCCTCCTCTCTCTTGGTTTCTCGGTGCATTGAGAGCTTCACATTTAGGACTGTGAATGCAGATAGCTTGCTGTAAAGCGTTTGCTGATGCTAGCACCATTTTTCTTTAGGGGCGAGGGGGTTGCTTATTGAGAAAGGGAAGGCTTCATTACTCACGTTTGCACGAGGAGAGAGAGTCTGCTCCAGGAGTGTAGGTGAAGGTGTTTGCAGGGCAGCGCTGGCACTCCTTGAAACCATCCATTGGCGGAGTTCCAGCAAATGTGTTGGCCGGGCACTGGAGGCAGGGCACCAGACCCGTCGGCGAGTAGGTGCCGAAGCCGCAGACAGCTGCGAGAGGAACATTTTTTTGCGTGTCAAACAAAGATATCTTTAGAAATACAAGTTTTCAAACACAGTAGTTGCATACAACCTCTTTTTCGGCGGCATGCAAATGCGTACAATTCATTCCAGCATGCCACAAAATGCTTTCATGCAGTATATGCATACCCTGGTGGTTTGTAATGGACTTGTGCTGCTTATAGTAATAATGTAAGTATCTTACACATAAAATTTTATACAAACATTGACAGTCATTCGTTGTTGATTTGACTTAAAGCAATCTGCCACATGTAAGGCCATTAAATTAATTATGCTTAAAGGGGTACTCCACCGATCTTTTGAGCTACCTCAACTAACTATATTTTCTGACTCCCCGGCCTTTACTCTCTCAGGTATGCTATTTAGAATCGCGAAATTCATAATAGGTATTGTGAAATCGGCAAATGAAAATGACGCAAAAACCAACATTCAAATATACGCGCACTTTTCAGTGCCGTGACGTCAGTGGCAGGCAGGCTTGCCAGTCGAGCAAGCAGCCAAAAAATAGAATATGCCAATCATTTGTTCCGTGCTGGAGTGCAGGTACTGCAGCGAGCTTCCCAAGCATTCATTTGACACCATGAAACTGCTTCGAATCAGTTTAAAACAAAATCTACAGCCCAAAGAGTGAACCCCTGCCTTCCACTGACGTCACTTTTTCATTGTTGCCAGTAGAGACTTCGAGCCTGAAAAACCCGATGAGGACCAAAACTGTAAATTCAATAACTTCGCAAAAAAACAATATTTTGACCTAATATTTGGGATACTATTTTCGCGATGTTTGCTGGTTAGTTTAGCAAAATTTGAAGCAAATCGGAGACAATGAAAAAACCTGTGGACTACCCCTTTAATAGTACTGTCCTTCACTCTCGTTATGCAGCACTAAAGTGTCCAGCTCTGTTAATTCCTTTTACCGGCCTGCCGAGTGGAGATGGTGCTTCATGCACCTGCTTCGTAAGATGACCTATGATGGAGCTTGAGCAGTGGAGCCCAAGCTCCATCATCCCAGTCTCTGAATGGTAAATATAAAATGAAAAAACAAAACTGTTTTAGAAGCACAACTGTCGCCAACATCAACCATAAGGCTCCACACAACAACTTGGCAGCGGTCACGAGTTGCTGGCACATAAAAATGTCACGTGACGCGAGTGCAGTCCACTGATGTTCACATTGCACGAGAAGCAGAGAGGGGTACTCACGGATGCACTCGGTGAGGCTCTTGCTTCCCTCGTCTCGTGTGTAGGTTCCCAGGGGGCAACGCTTGCAGGAAGACTGACGAGTCAGGTCCTGATAGAAGCCTCTGCTGCAGAATGTGCACTTCTCATCCTTAGAGGCAAAGGTCCCGGCTGGGCAGTGGACTGCATTCGAGCATATTAGAGGTAAATATTAACGGAAAAAAGACATTGCATTTCTCCTCTTATGGGTTTTAAAATATAGTCCATTTCTACAGACTTCCTTATGCTCTAAACCTGTTAAGAAATTTCAGCCAGTGTTGAGAAATGGTAAAACTATTCCTAATGCCAACAACCATAGGGAAATCTTGGAGAATATATTTAAGGAACCCTCTTATCAACTTTGATTTTATGTTTTCTGTGGCAATATTACATAATAAGCAGATTGCTTCTTTTTTTTTTTTTCAAGTGCAACCTCAAAGGCGCCCGTTTCCGGGTTGAGCGGCGTTGCCGTCAGCGTCGGCGTAACCACGCTAGTAGAATTAGTGGGAAAATCGACATTATGTGACCTCAACACCAATTCGATTCCCCGCTAAATTTAGCGGAGAAGTCCAGTTTCTCCGCTAGATTTAGCAAGCAAACTCGGTTTCTCAGCTAAATTTAGGGGGAGAATTTTCATTATTAAACTGCGGGTGCGTTACACCACGATGAAACATTATGGTACTCCACTGGCTAAAGACCCTCTTCTAATTCACCAAAATCAATACCGAGAATTAATATAAGTATATTCAAGAAACGGCAGTCTACATTTTCTTGGAAATCTAAAAATCACACCAACTTCACTGTCACTTTTCTCTACTTCCAGAGATGCTTTTGCACCATGGAAACTGACTGTGAATTTTGTGCCTTACGTACCATCTCGCATTAATAAAAATAAGGAACTTTTATTTTTGTGGGTCCGCTTTTGGACAGGCTAGACATAGAGGATACATTTGTGGCATCTAAAGTTTGAGTGTCGCCACTTCAAACTTCCAGATCGCTCGAGCAAATGTTTTTCGCTAACGAAATAACTTGCTGTAAACAACTTAATTTTTACAAAGACCTAATTTTCACTTGTCGCCTACAATTCGCGAAAAATAGGTCCCACGAACAATTCCGGTAAAATTTAAACACATTGGAATCTGTATTGATTGAGATCCCACTGCGTCGTGAAAATTGGAACCCGCAGAAAAATAAGTGGTTTATAGTATGCCTCAAGGTAACGACTCTTCAGCTATCTTGATGCTCGATTAAAAGCATTGTTGCCAATCATCTGAAGCTTTATCCAAAGTCAGAGGAAATGTTTTTTCATCCTCCAGCAATGCCAAAACAGTTCGCGACAAAGCAAAACCTCGTTGCCTGAGGTTCCCGACACCATATCTAGAGCTCAGGAAATCACTCTTTGAAATAATAAGTTTTGCCGACTGCGTTCGCCCTGCACTGGGCCCACCAGATGGCGTGTGCCTTTCCCCGGAGACTCAAACACAGACTCACGGCAGCGTGGCACTTGTCCCTGAACGTCTTGGTTGAGGACCTCCCCTGCTTCGCAGTTGAAGCCGCGGTCGACGGCTGAACGTATGGCCTGGATGGTGGGGCACTGGCCTCCCACGTTCTGGGCGCTGATGTTGAGGATGGGCTCGATGACCGCCGAGGTGCTGGGTACACTCAGGTCGAAGATGAGGCCCAGGGTGGAGCCGCACAAGTCGTACAGCAAGCGCTGGCGCACCACGGGCACGATCCGCAGGGTGTATCCGATGGTGATCTGCATTTCGGGTAGTGTCGCTTTTGTACGCACAAAAACGGGTACGCCGAAGCTGGCTATTACGACGACTTTTGCTCCAGGGTGTGCGTTGCGTTGCAACCAGATCTTTTACCAACTGCCCTGCTGTATCAGACAGCACTCGAAACACCTATCGTAAAATTCCGAGGGGAGCGCCCAGCCCGCTTTCGCTGAAAATGGGTTAATCCAGACATGGGTGCTTGTCTGGTCAAATCGGGCACTTAACATATAATTTGCAGAATTCCCAATTTTGAAAAATGAGTGGACACTTCAACGAAAAGGGTTCTTTTTGCAATAGGTAGATAACCTTGTGGGATTACTTATGCATCAAATTGAGAACTCATATCGCCTGTATAGCCTTGTATGGACACTTGTGTACCTAATTGAGACAACTCCAAACCCTTAGATAACCTACCGGAAGATACTGAGCATCCGCCCTTTCCACAATAAGTGCCCTCCCTTCAATTTTGTAACATTTGGAAAATACACGAATGACATATCTTTACATATTCTTCGTAACTTCTGCTTACAACCTAGGGAGTACCCATCCAACAGCTTTACATGATCATCTCAAAATTTCTAGCGCTTGCTCATGATTTTACAGTACCGTAATACACTGAGAGATAGCCCGCTTAAAACCAAAAGTAAATTTGGTGAAAATAAGAAGTAGTTAACTTTTAGTGTATATAAAGAAAAAAAAAAAAAGAAATTTGAAAAGTGCTAGTTTTATATTTTGTGACCTGCGAAAATTGTGATTGCAGGGAAAAGCGATGAACCAAATTCGACTGTCGTTCCCAGTCAGCAGTGTTTGCTTATCTCCCTCCGTAGCTAAGTAACACCATTTCTGTCGAGGTCACCATTGGCCAGGGCCGTGCAATTAGTAAAAATAGGTAAATCGTGCCAAAAATATGGGTTTCGTGCGTGGGGCATCTCTCCGGATATTACGGTAGTACGGCTAATTATGCATCAAATTGAGGTTTGAACAAACTTTGTGATGCCCATTCAAAATTCAACAGGGAAGGAACTAGTAGGTGCAGTGTAAGGCAGATAAAATCTCAGGGAGGGCTGCTGGAGAAGTACGCACCTCGTTTTCGCCCCTTGTCCTGATGCTGGTGTTGTGGAAAGAGATGTCCATCTGCACATTGATGGCGGAGCAGCGCTCGGAAAGGAGCCGGTTGAGGGAGCTGTAGTAGGTGGATACGTAGCTGACGTAGTGGTTGAGGCACACTGCCGACAACGCTCCGCCCGCTCTGTACTCCACCGAGGCAATCACGTCGTAGGCAGCCTGGTTGGTGTCTGGGGAAGAGAGTGGGGGCGACTCAGAAAAGACGACCCTCTTGCATTCTTGACAGCCAGTTGGCACAGGAGGAAATGTAATGCAGTGCTGCAGATTTTTGCGGCTCTGTAAAGTTCTTGCTTTCACATGTTTCAGAAATTAGCCGTTGTTGTGCAAGTGGCATAATGAAAACTGCGTTTGAGAAACACTGGCGGCCGTTCTTCTTGAAAGTCGGGTTTTCATGCCCCCCCTGTCGCCACGACTCCTAAACATTTCAGAAGGAATCCAGAATTTGGTTGAGCTTAGCTGGAGTTCTCCCCGGGAATTCTTGAAATCTGGACATCTGAAAGGGTGTTGAGGGGAGGAGGAGTGGGCAATTGCTTCAACTTTTGTTTTCTGCACTTTCTCTGCTGCAGAGCAGTGGTTTTGTTTGCAGGGAATATGCAGTTCTGTTGCTTAGTGCCGCACGAGTCTGCCAAACACAACAATCTGGGGCGTCGTGCATTTTCAAAAACCAATCGTTTTGTTCAGTGGGAGCAAAATATAGATGTCGGTTGGACATAGTAGGAGTCTGCCAGACTTGTGGGTGGCAAAACTACTGCCACCCACTGTCGTGAGGGCCTTGAACATAGCATGAGGTCGCTGACTGAGCTCAACATTGCTGGTGGAGTATTTATTTTTGTGTTGCTACCAGAATATCTTTCACTTGGGTATGCAGCATACCTCTCTATGTTTAGTCGAAATGTGCATATGAATGAACTGTAATAACCGAATGGGACGTAAAGTTAGAAAGCCCCTGAAAACCAGTATTTGGCAGAGCTGAGGAAGTGAGACAAAAACTTATCATACTGTATTATTTGGCCCTTCCTTTGGTTTTCTGCATAGGTTGAAATCAACGGAAGTATGAATCCAAAGTACTCAGTGTGCTGTTTGCAAGTTGCAGAGAAGCTCTTGGCTTCAATGTGTCATTTTCTAAAATCAATTTTCTTGGGGATGAATTAGATCATATTTTAAAGAAAGGAACTCTATAAAGTTTTCTTAAAGGGGAAGGAAGGGAAGGGATGTTACTAAGCTATAATGGTCTCTAAATTTTTGTATCTGTACCTTGCTTGATTATCACCAAGCTCGTCAGATCACGTAGCACCACTCCTCATTCTCAAAAAAAATTTTGCAATACCGTAATATCCCCAAAGTTGCCTCCCCACTCCCTCCCCGAAAGATGACCCACCCCTAGTTTTGGCATGATTTGCTATTTTTCTAAAAGCACCGAAAGATAGCCCACTTCTAATAGCAAGGCCTTGTACAATGGCAACATTGGTAGAAATGGCATTACTGAGCCACGAAGGAATATAAGCGAACATTGCTAACTGGAATGGACGGTCGTCTTTGGCTCATCGCCCCTTTCTGCGATCACACGTTTCGCAGGTCACAAAATCTAAAACTAGCTTTTTCTCAACTTTTTTTTTCATCCCACATTGAAAGTTAGCTCACTCCTTATTCTTTTCTGATTTGCTTACGATTTTAGGTAGCCTATCTCTCGGGATATTACGGTAGGTTCATATCTCACCTTCAGGAACACAGTCCGGGATGATGGAGCTTGGGCTCCACTGCTCCTTGTTGGCACACTCGTAGGTCTTGGCCTGTTCCCCATCTGTGAACTTGAAACCGTTGTTGCAGGTGGCCAGGCAACGATAGCCAGTGTTCTCCTCATTTGGCAGGCAGTTCACCACCCCATTGGTCGGTGGCGCCAGCGACCATGCCACACAGGTTGTTGCCTGCACGGACACCTGAAGCCAACACATATGTAATCCACTATGCACGTGTTGCTTTGTCCCATTGCATGTCTTTCACTCAGCTTTCATTAAACAGAAATCCAGAAAGTACTACCTTATTTGTTAATCATACACTGTGCTAGCACACTCTGGCAAGGGAGCTGGGTTCGTTTATTTTGTAAGTTCCCTTATAGTCACGGCTTTGTTTGAATAGTAGTCTCATAGTGAAGCTTAAAGGTTCTTTTTTTTTTTATATAGATTTGGTGTTGATGGGTTTTTGCTTTTGCAAATTAGACATAATGTCTAATTTTGTTTTTGTAAATTTTTTACAAAGTCAGCTAGTTTTCTAAATTTACTGTAGCAGCTTTTACTGTTGCTTATGGACAATTGCTGCATGCATGTAGCAACTATAAGAATGTCACCTGCCATTTATTCTGAACCACACCAGGTTGATAAAAAATTTTAAATTGTACTGCGTTAATTACGAGCAATCTTGGCTACATTAATATAGATGCTCTAATACATTTGGATTGAAGTTTCCTTTCTGCTTTACTCTGAATGTCACATCAAAGCAGTAACGTTTGAATGTGCTTCCTCAGTTTTACAGAACTGCGACAGTTCACGTGCATCATTTCGCCTTGTAGACTTTGTTACAATTTGCAATCTGACAAAGAAGTTGTCTAAACCACATTGAATACCATACCTGGAAGTAGCAGAAGGCTTGGTTGCCGAAGCGATCGGTGCCAGTGACGGTGACGTTTCGATATCCACCAATGGGTATGACGGCACTCTCGGGTGTCAGGGTGATGTCCACGCTTCCGGACTTGTCCGTGGCATTGATGAAACGCCGGGTCTCATTGAAGTTGACGAGGTAGCTCTCCTGACGCTCAGTGAGCTCAACGACATACGACTGGGGGCAGGTAAGCGATGGTGGTGTGTAGTCTTCAGAGAGGAAGAGAAATGGAAGAGGTTGCTTTGTTTTTATTTCATGCTTGGGGGCTTTTTTATGAAGTTGCCTTGTTTTCTACACAGCAGTCTGTCAATTAATAAATCTTCTTGGCAGTAGCTGCATACCTTTTAGAAGATTTTGCTCTTTAATGCACAATGTTTAGTAATAATTATGTTGTAACAGTGTTCTAATGTGGCTAAGTTTCTGATCCTGCCAGTTTTGGCAGAAGAAAGGGGGCCTTATCTTACAACACTCTAAGGGAAGCCTGTCATTATTAAATTGAGCACTGGTTTTTACACCATTGTTTTTTTTTACATGTTCAAATTTTTCTTATTTCATGAGAAAATTTAGTGGGCTGTATTTTTTAGACTTTCACTTCACCTAGCTAGGACTACTAGAATGAAAGGTGTTTATTCTGTCAAGAGGAGCAGGGGAGGCAGACTGCTTACCTGGCACCGTGATGTTGATGGTGCACACAGCAACATTTCCATCAAAGTCGTAAGCCAGGTACTCCACAACGCTGTCCTCAAAGACCACGGCAGGTGGCCTGAAGCCCAGTGGACGGACCTCGAAGCGAGCAATACGTCCAGAGTTGTCAATGGCCTTCGGAATGGAGAAGTTGACTGGGACGTGGCCGGAAGGAGTCCGTTCCAGCACCAAAGGGTGTGTGGGGCAGTTCAGGAATGTTGGGGGTTCCCTGTCTGGAAAGTTCAGTGAGGCATGAGACATGCATTAGTCTACCAGTGCCCATTTTCTAAAATAAAGTACAACACTAGAGCCAGCCGCGCATGTCTTTTTGGTTTAGTTCTGCATTAAGGCAGACAACGTCTTACCAACGCAGATGGGGTAGCCGCTGTCGTAGCCAAGCAAGACATCTTCCTCGGTATCCTCGCAGCCCATCAGCTCGAACTTGAGGCAGGGATTTTTGTTGTAGGACACTATTCCCAAGATGACGTAGCGGGCTCGCACGCTCAGGGGCAGGGGAATCACCGTCAGCTCACCGTAGTTCTTGGAGTCTCGGCTGGTCAGGTTGAAGTTCTAGAATACAAGTAAAAGCGAGACAATTGTAGTCTCGAAATGCAGGGTTATGAGCCGGTAAAATGTTTGTTTGAGGTTGCACTTAAAGACGGTCTAAAGTATAATACTTGTTTGTGTATAGCTGGCATGCGTCGACATGTGCTTGTCAACATTGCATGGAATCTGTTTACTGGCATTTGTAGCCTTTTCACGAGCTCTTTTCAACTGCGGTTGCAGCTTCTTTTTAAAGGCCACAGCTGTGCAGTGTGTACTAAACGTTTTGTGTGAGCACATGTGGCGATAAACTTACGGGAAAGTAGACCACAAAGTTCTCGTTTTCTCTGGTCTTGTAGAAGAAGCGCAGTTCAGTGGGACGCCCTACAACATCATTTGTGACGACGCCCTTGACGAGAATGGCCTTGATGTGGAATATTTTCTTCATGTCCACCGTTACGTAAGTAAAGGCTTCTTGTTGTCCACACCAGCCTGTCGCGCTGTTGAGACGAATGTTCTGAAAACAAATCGTGTGAACGGCCAAAATCAGACAGCATGTCTAACAGAAAGGTATCTAAGTCCATAAATCTAATGTAGACTATTCAGTTCTTATGAAGACTGGATCTGGTTCGAGGTTTGTCTCACCTTGGGTTCGTAGTTACTCCTATGAGAAGTAGCATTGATGGCACTGTCTGGGATGGTTCCAGCTGCCAGTCCGAGGGGCTTTACGACCTTGCACTCAGCACCTTAAACGTAATAATTTGACAGGGCTATAGTCGAGAGCCCATTTCTTTTTGTGAACATAATGCAACATTTACTAATTTAGTTTTATCTGTCCAACTAAGAAAAGTAAAACTAAGTAAATAAGTGTAGCACTCCAAAAGGCTGTTCTAACTTACTAGTGTAATAACCACAAAACAGTTCTAGAGTGCTTACTCTTAACACAGGTGATGGGGTCCGTAGTGTAAGGCACATATCCGGGTCGATTGCAGGCAAAGAGCACCTCGGAGCCCTGCTCGAAGCTCGTGGCAATCTGATAACCATCCGGAGGTCGACCAGGGTCGTCACACACGGGTCCTACAAAATGTCGGAACATTCGAATGTACACGTTAACATCACATGGCTGTCATCATCACCAAAGCTGCAGATGTGCGATTTTAGTATCACAAATTCCATCGCAAAGGTGGGAATGTAGATGGACTTGCCTTCGCATCTCAGGTCTCCGAAATCCCAAGTTCCATCTTCCTGGCAACGGATGACATTGTCGTTGAGCTTGCTCTTGCCCACAAGGGTGAAGGTGTCCTCGCACCCAAAGAAGAAGCTGGCACGGTATTTAGTGTCCACGTGGAAGCCGTACGTTGCACCTATGGTGTCTGGGGGTGTGCCACAGTCAGTTCCTGGTGGGGGAGCGAAAGTGATTCTGTTGAAGAACTTTGGAGTGGTCACTGTCTGGTCTGTTGCTGGCATAGTGAAAGATTTTGGTGCAGTGTATACCGGATCACTTCCAGTGTCTTTCTGATTTATTTATTTTTTTCTAGAAGGTTAAAAGTTTAATAGCTTGTTTGGCGCTAGGTTGTGAGCACATATGTTTTTGGATTTGTAAATTGTACTGATTCTTCAAAAGGTTTCTCTTTCAGTGGCAACTAGGTAATGTTTGTTTCTGGGTTATAGATGTAAACACTAACTTTTATGCCATTGTTTGTACCATTGATCTCTATTATAATTTGCTGGATCGTGCATCCCCACCTGGTTGCTGCAACGCGAGTGAGGCCAAAGGAAGTTCCGTATTGGCCATCTTGCATGTACCAGAAGTCAACCTATTGGAGCGTTGCAGAGGCTGGGCGGCAGCGTGCTGAAGGCACGTTATCTGCTGGTTTGCCGTCATTCGCCGAAGCTTTTTAAGACCTTATGTAAACGGTCATAATTACTTTTGAGAACAGGCCGAAATTTTTACGAAAGTGCAACACCGCAGGAAAAAGGCACAACTTGTTGAACGCAAATCTCGCGGTAGCATCACAGGCCGAAGTGCTGCATCTCTGCCTTCGCACACTTGGATATTATTAAGAATTGACACCGTGTGGATGCGTTAGCCCTTCGGGAAAGTTTTGAAAGTGTGTCACGTGACATCTTTGCTGCATACATATCGGTCGTGGAGTTTTGGATCGTCCAGCTGTTCCGATGAGCTGCACTGATCAGTAGGTGCTATTATGCACTATTAACAATGTTTGCAATTTATTCGAATGGATCCGAATTACTCACGTCACATGGAAACACAAATAGAGCGATGCAGTTAGTGTGGGTTACAAACCACATCGCCGCTTTTGAACAATGGAACCAGGGTCGTCGGAAGTGTTTGGTAGATGGGGAGATAGACAAAGATAGATATTCGTTCCCTTCTAAGACTGAATTGATTGCTAAAAATGTATTGAAGGTAAAGAATGATCACTGTTGCCGCTGCGCTGTCCCCCGTCTGTTTTGTCGGCACAAAATCAAACTCGTTTTCGGCCTGCGAGTGCCGCAGGTTAAAAATGGAGTCGTCAGAGTAACATAAATTGCTGCTCCAGAAGCACATACACTTTGACGCGCGACAGACTTTCAAAATCATCCACACGGTGTCGATTCTTGATTGGTATCCAATTAAGGATGCGAAGGCAGAGACAGAGCACTTCGGCATGCAAAGGAATGTTCTTTGATGACGCCACGAAACTTATGTTGGACGAGTTGTGCCTTTTTCCTGTGGTGGTGCGCTTTCGTAAAAATTTCCACGTGTTCTCAAATGCAACTACGACCGTTTACACCAGCTTTTAAAAATTTTCTTCGGCGAATGACGGCAAACGAGCAGAAAACGTGTCTTCAGCACACTGCTGCCCAGCCTCTGCAACACTCCAAAAGGTTGACTTCTGGTACGTGCAAGATGGCTGTCCGGTGGCTGCATTCGAAGAACAGGGAAGCGCGATCCAGAAATTGTCATAGAGAGCAGTGGTTTGTACTGTGTAGTAGCCTTTAAAATTTCTGCACACCTTAACAGGACACTGACAGAGTAATTATACTCGCCGAAGTTTTTATTTGAACTTAACCTAATAGAGCCCAACTACCCAGAACACAATTTGCGGCTCGAAATTCATTCTCTTTCCGCCCAGAAACAGCCGGTTGCAAATTAACTGGTTTCAGTCGTGCTTATACTCTCTTTTTCATGGTCATGTGGCACCCAAACTATGCACACCAAATATATTCAAAGTCGTGGGCCATCTAAGGCACATATTTAATATTAAAGATAGAAAAGATTATTAACCCGATTTTTGTGACTTCCAAAAAGCTGCAGATATGTTGATCGAAAAAAAGAAATGTTGCACAGATTACAGGAAGTACATTACATGTCATTCTCAATATGGCAACAAATCCCGAGCATACCGCGAATTGCACGACGCGATGGCAGCCCACGACGGACTAACATTACGACGGACGTGGGGCTGCTACTTCAGAACTGTCGCTCAAGGTATTGGCCAACCGATCTTCAAGCACAGAACACCAAGCGAAAGGGACATAAGTGCAAAACAATCTCATGACAAACGGTGCACACAACTTCATTGTCTGCTTCAGACGCCTGAGAAGCGGAGGGAAAAAAGAATGTGGTCGAGTGTTGCCACATGATTTCCGGCCATGAACTTCCATGCTTGCGTTTCGGTTTCGGTTTCAAGTAGTCAAATTTTTCTGCTTTATTATAAATATATGTCACTGTGCAGCAAAATAATAATTGGATAATTTCCCTTGACAGCCTATATGTTTGCATGGTAAAAAAATTTTAAAAAATTTGGGTGGTGTTTGTGTTTCTTTAAGTTCTCTTTAGGAGGTCTCTGAACTCCAGACAAATAATGAATGTTTATGCTTTGTTCTAGTTTCTGGTGTAAATACACCACACAATTAGTTTTTCGCAGCAGAATCTTGTATATACTTAGAGGAATAAAGTCGGACTGAAATCAGAGAACCAGTGCAGGGGAACTCTACAACAGAAACTGGAAGTCACTTGCATTGTTTCAGTCCTCACACAAAAATTTCTTAAAATCAACATCTATGTTTGGGGGTCAGAAATTATGTTCTATGGTTACTATTACTTCTTATCAATGAATAAGTGCCTCGGATAGCTCATTACTTTCCAGATGTAAGGGAGAGAAGTACTAAGCAGCTTATCCTCGACCAGCGGTTTTTGTGAGATAAAAGCCCGATTTTGAGCCGCAAGTAGTGGCTCTTTATAGGTTATTATTTAATAGATCATTTTTCTGCACTAATTTTGACACACATAAATATCTTGTCAGAGGCCCCGTTTGTGGGATAACTGTTCTTTAACATCGACACGTGTTTAAGTTCAACAAAAGCAGAATGATGGTCATACTTCGGCACTCCGGTGGTGCACCCGAGAGCCAGTAGTCCGCCCTGCCGTCCGACGGGTTGTACACACACTGCCTGAAGCCCGCAGTGGCCGTCTCTCTCAGCGGCCTGCCGACTTCGTTGCAGGTGACAGTCACATTCTTCTTGAATACCACATGGTCCGCTGCTGCGTTGGAGCGAACGGAGAGTCCCTGTGTTGCGTCGTCGTCGAGGACAGGGCAGGTCGCGACTGCAAAGCAAGCGGTGCTGCATTAAAATAGGATCTGGACATGGTCTCTACATACTGCTTGTACAGTCGGCAGCAGTACGAGCCAGCGCAGCTGAGTGCTAATCGAAAGAGTACAATGTCGCGTGGGGTGCCTCCAAAATGCAATGCTATGGGTTCTACCGCCACTCTGCGACGTTAGGGAGCGTGACGGTCCATTCTAACCTTCCTTTTAATGGCTTAATGCACTCGGGATCTCTGCATGGTACTTTTACTGTACCGGCTCATATTGCCACACCTTGTCACTGCGGGCTAACATCAAAGGACATGGCCCAGATAGCGTTCTCGTGAACGAGCTTACTCTGGCAGCTTGGCACGGTTCCATTCCAGTTTCCTCCGCTGGTGCAAGTCAGGGTTGTGGTGCCAATCATGATGTAGCCAAAGTTGCACTGGAAGTGGACGGTGTCGCCGAAGTGGTACAGCGACTTTGTGGACAGGATCTGGCCGTTGAGGGGGTTGTCCAAGGTTGAGCACATTTTGGCTGTGAGTGAACGAAAGAGAGCAACCCGTTAAGCACGTTCGGGCCTCTGAAAGCTCGGCGCCACTTACGGTTCCATATTCAATTGAACGCTCCGAGCGGGAGCGAGTACACAGAACATTTAAGTTAAGGCTGCGTACAGCCTGGGAGAGTTAGATATGTTTGACTCACGGACGCAGGTCTTGTTAATGCGGTACATGTCTCCATCCTTTGTGCCCGTCTCACTGGCGACAATTGCGAAACCATTGGTGCCATTGGACGTGTAGAGGTCGTATCCAACATTGCAGAGGCAGTTGAAGCTGCCTGGGCTGTTGATGCAGCGTTGGTCACAGCCACCGTTCTTGTGCACACATTCGTTGATGTCTGAGGAAGCGAAAGTTCACAGCACTTTTATCAACCTCTGTGACACACATCGGTGCCAAGAGCATGGACTGATATTACGTTGTCTTGAGATTGAGCACGGAAAAGATTCTAGATTAAGACAGTCCTAGCTTGTGTTCCAAAATGTTTGAAGCAGGGAAGGCTTTTCATGGTGAAGGTGCCTTACTCCAGACATGCTTTGCCTGTTCTTTCTAACTGAAACTACCTACTCAATGTAGGCCCATTCAAGGATTACTTTTCATGACTTTTATCCATTAAGTTATATAGAAAAGGGAAATGATAGAGATTGTAAGAAGCTGTAAAGTTGCTTTCTTTCTTAAGTAAGCGAGAGTTGTGTCGTTAACACAAACCTTGTTAATATGGACACACCATTATACAGACAAAATTATGGGCACGAACTGGGTGAATGAATACATGCCTTTTTGTCTCGTTGTTATGGATGACCCACATTACAAAGAACTTTTGAGGGGAGTGGAGGTGCCCATATTAATGAGACGGCACTTAAATTGGCCACTCACCTAGACAGTCCTGACGTGAGCAGCCCATGAGCTCCAGGCGCATGCAGGGAGCTCCGACGTACTCCACGATGAGCACCCTGACATACCGGGCCTCAAAGGGAAGCGGCAGGTTCACCACGGCGAGCCCAGACCCTCCGTTGGGCGTCAGACGGAACTCGTGCGCCTGCGATATTGATGGGAGTCGAGATCAAGGACGAAATTCTCAGCTGCAGGAAAGTGCCATGCAGAAACTGTTGCGTGTTATCTTAGGATTTTTCGTCATTGGCGTAAAAGTAAAACATTAGGCTGGTGCAGATGTTCAATATTTTCAAATATTTAACAGAATATTAAAAATTTTCATCAATCTGAATTTCAATGCTATTTAGAAATTTCAAAGTATATCTAATGTGAGAAAATAGCAGAACTGGGGCCCTTCTTTCGGTGGTTTCGGTTTGTCTAGTCCATCTAGCCTGTCTAGTGCCATCAGTATCTGGGTCAAGTGTTCTTTCTTTTGCAACAGCCGTTTAGCTATCTATAGTTTGTGGAGACACAAGATGGGGTAAGGAGATGCCATGTACAACAAAGGACTTGTAGAAACAGGACTGAAGGAGTCGGCGTTACTTCTGAGTGCGAGCGTATGTGCTTTGGTGACTTATAGTTGGTGATGGGTAAGAGCAAAGTGGAAGCTCCTCCTTGCCTCTTTCCACTTGAGCAGAGCGAATACTGGAGAGGAGGTCGGCTTCTCTCCAGCATGTTGGAGGAGCTTCCCCCAGACTCTTAACGTTGCAGAAGAGAGCACCGTCTCTCCAAACACTTTGAACTGCTGATGTTTTTGCATGAGAATTCGTTGTTTTTTGCATGAGAATTTGTGGAACTTTGAGACTCATACAAATGAGCAGTTGAATGATTGCCTTACAGCTGCTGCATTAAGCTTTTCTTTATGTATTTAAACTGTTCAAAGTATTCACTTAGAGATTATTTGATGGAAATGACTCTTTGCTTCAAACCAGAAGAGTACTACTACTAGCACAAGCCTAGCCAAAAAGCCTTAATTTATAGATTTAGAGAGTTGCCCATGTCCGGGAACTCACTTTTCCACTGGGGTCAGCGAAGTCCTTGAAGAGGTCGGTGAGGTCGTCGGTGTACTGGATGCGCACGCTGAGTGGGAAGGCCTGGGAGCCGTCGTCACGGACCACCGTCTGAGTCCTGAATCCTCGGACAACTGTCGGAGCGCTGAAGTCAATCTGAACCCAGTTCTCGCCCGATCTCGGGATGTTGCCGCACCAACCCCTCGGACCATCCAGGCGCACATTCTGTTGGAGAGAATGCTTGTCGATCACTCTCCTGCAGGTTCCAGCTGCAGAGTTTTTTGCAAAATGACCCCATATGCTGCTATAATGTGCATCTAGACTGTTATGTTCTTCATGTGTTTCATTCATGCATTATGGATCCTTGGAAGCTGGCTTGTTTTGGTGTTATTCATATGTGCTTTGAACATTTTTTTTTGTTTGTTATATTGCAGTTTTTGAATGAGAGTCATTGAAAGGGGAGTACTTCCTTGAATATCAAAAAAGGAAGGCACTAATCATGTAAACTGTGTAACCATTGACAGGGGTTTGTCTAAGGAGACATTAACCCAAGGAGGAGCATGAAACACAAGAAATCAGATCCAAAATCCAAAGGTAAAACTTTCCAGGTCAGTCGCTCTAATGAGGATTAGCTGGATTACACTGTTCCAAGACTGAGCTAGGAATATTGCTAGCTACATATTGTTATTGACTGCTATGTTGATTGTGATGTAGAATAAGCAGCACTAAAGAAAGTTTGCAAGGCAGAGAAGGCATCAAGGACAGAGATGGCGCCAAAGGGAGGCAAGGGGTGGCGGTCGTTTCCCCTGAATTTTGACCTGCCACCCTAATATAAACGAGCATTAGATACAAAAGAGCATGAGTTTAAATCCCCTCCTTACCAAACGCTTCTTTTTTTTTCCCTCTTTTTTTTGCGAGAAGCAGATAAGCGGCATACAGCGAACGAGGAAGACATGTCCTTTGGTAGCATTTACAAACGAGAAAGTATCTTGCAATTCCTCTAGACAAGACAAGACCAGGAGACACGATAAGTTCAGATAATCTCCTAGAAGAGCTTAAAGCGGGAGGGAGTCCACGGTCATATGGGTGCCGACTGTCTCCTCCAGAGTCTCCTTTTAACTGGCATGGAAAATAATGGTCAACTGGTTGTTAGAGCTTTCATAGAGCAGCACGTGCTCCCCGCGCTTCATTACATATTTGTGATAGCTAACAGTGATATTCTTGGTCTAGGCAGCTTAGACATTTTATTCTGTCAAGTAATCACGGCACCAATAACTTTCAGCCTGCCACCAAAAAGCCTCTAATGCCGCTCTCACCCTAATTTTTATTAAGGCCAAAGCCTTATATGTCCCATCGTTCAGTCGACCTTGAGAAAACATTGGCGACGCAAAATGTACTAAAATACGCCAAAAGTATGCCGTCGGACAGCGCGCTGTCTTCGGAGGTTCGCTATCACCGGGACCAATAAAACGGCGCCAAAAGTGCGTCGTGAGAGAGTACGCTGTTTTCGGAGGTTTGCTATCATGTTTACCTGACCACTCGGGCAAATTAGAGGCAATGAAATTAAGAAGGATGACAAAGGGAATTAAGAGGAATCATTAAGTAAATCATGTGTCTGTATTTAACGCATTGTCACTTGGGCTTTTGCCCTCAAGTCGTCTTAGGGATAACGTAGGAGACCCTGTGTTTTTGTCTTGTCTGTTGTGAAACCGCCTAACTATCGGAGCCTGCCTTCCATAATGTGGTATGGAATCTTCAACCGTCGTGCCCGCTGGGAGCGACCACGTCTGTACTCGAAAGCTCAACTCAATAACTGAACGGGAGCCACTGTCTCCCATTCAATTATCATCGCTTTCCTGATATTTAATAATGTTTCGAAAGCCCATGCCTCCCTCAAAATGCTGTGTGCCCCCCCACTGCCTCCCAACTATGGAAAGCCTGGCGCCGTCCCTGATCAAGGGTCAGTTTGTTCACGGAACAAAATTGCTTTAGTATCATACAGCACTAATGTAAGATTGTATAGAGTCATATAGGACACTTTTTAACCGGAATTTTATTTCCTCTGGTAGATATTACATGGACTAATGCAACTTACATTCTTGTGGTAGCCACCCTCTGTGCCAGATACTTTGATACTGGTGTCGGGAATGGCAGCATTACTCAGGCCAAGGTCACCCACTGGCCTGCAGTCTGTACAGATGGAAAATTAGGTGCTGCGCTCAGTTGAGGCCCAGGATATTTTTCTTCAAAACACACACAGGTGAATGTACTCCTAGCAGATCACAGAAAAAAGAAGAAAAAAAGTGAATGCAAGACCACTGATGCAAAGCTGCCGAAAGAAAGGAAGCTACATGTCCACTTTTTCTACTATCTTTCTACAAATTTACAGATAACAGTAGCTCTCAACCCTTAATGTTTTGGGACTCTATGTGGACAGGTGGAAGTGATGGGGAACTTGCATTCATGAGGAGAAGTAAGGATATGGGGAGCTGTTGGGTGGTAACAAGGTGATGACAGGATAAATAATATAACTGCCATATTTACTTGTATATATATATATATTAACCTCTATAATAAACAACTCTCGGAGAATACAAAAGAATATTTGAATGTGAGTTGGCCCTGATTTTTAAAGTGGGAGGGAAAGAAAATTGTGCAACCCTCTTTTTCACAGTGTGCCTACGGTAGTCATCTGAGCTAAAACTCGCTTGTCGATTGGTCAACCAGGTGCCTTACTCTGTGGCACATTAAGCTTCACCGCTTTACTTCAATGCTCTCACGTCAAGCTTCACCACATTGCACAGGCGTGCTCGAAGAAGCGGCTGACACGGGGGAGTTTTTATTATTATAGTTGCCTCTATGAGGTCGTAAAGTTTGCTCACTCTTATAGTAGCTCAGTTGCTAAGTTAAAAAAAAGAAAAAAACAGTGCCAAGACATATAAGCAGTGTTTGACTTGTATTTAAAAAATAGGATAATTTCTGTAATGGAACAAACTTGTTTTATTGCTATCTACAGAAGAACCACATAAAACTATGATGTTTCTTCTGTATGTGCCAAAAAGTTTTATTGCTTCGTTTGATTGACAAGTGTGGGATTTGCGGAACAAAAAATCGGGAGATACGTAAGCACTTCTTATGAGTTGTGAATGCGAAAGCATGAATGTCCGATGGAACACCGCGGAGTGAACGATGGAAGTTTGTGGCGCGAGTAATGTTTTCGAGTCATGGCACAAGCACTGGTGACGATGTGGACGTTAGAGGCGGCGCCATCGTCGTCGTCGGCGAGACGAGCAGAAGCACCGCCGACAATGTGGATGATGGAGGTGACGGCATGTTGGTCGGCGACAAGACGAGCAGAAGCCTCCAAGCGCGCGCTAACGTGTCCGTTTTAACCGGCGCGGGGCCCGTAGTGGCGTGGGGTTGCGGCGGTTAGTTTCATCGGCGCACTGCTGGCACGGACACAGCGCCATATGGCAGTGGTCGTTGAAACTGACGCGTGCAGCGGCCAATGGGAGCCTTGTTGCTGCACGCCAGCCAATGGGACTTTTAGGGTCAGGGAAACTAGTTACCACTTTCGCACTTCAAACTGATGACGTCGGCTCGCTCCATGGGACAGTTAATGCTTTCGCACTAATAAAAATGCCCTTGCGGATCACAAACGGTTTGCTGACACTGTTTAAGACCACTGACATGAAGTGAGGGTGACATATGTATAGTTTGAGTGCAAGATGCACAAAGAAGAAACAAGGTGTTTGTAACAAAAATGGTGCAAATACCACTTAGGCCCCCTTCATAAAAATAATTATGAAACTTTCGTAACTAGTGATGGACTGTTTGTTTCTCAGCTGAATGATGATTTCAAATGAATGGGACCTAATCTACTTGCTTTGTTATGATCAACTGATAAATCGACAGTCGGCTAGCAAAACTTTATTAGTAGACACTGGTTGGGGAACATATTGTTGTTTTATGTCTAGATTTCTCTCTCAGCGTAACAACACTTACCCAGGTTTGGCTCAAATCCTTTTTTGCACTTGCAGAAGAATCCACCAGAAGTATTGGTGCAGATTGTGGAAGCAGAGTCGCAAGCTGACGAGGATGCACACTCGTTGATGTCTGAAACATTTGCATTATTTAGTGGGAATTCACACCACTGAGTCCTTCTTTGCATTCATGTTCACCTTTTCTATTACCATTCTTTCCGGTGAAAAAGTTTACCTTCTTTTTTCTAAAATTTTCATCAGTGCGGTTTATACTGCAGTGTGACTCATGCATGTTATTTTATAACCACAGGATGAGCTGTGATTTAATGCAACCAGGGAGGTTATAATATTCAATTGATTTGTTGGCAAGAATATTGAAATTGGCAGCTCATACTTGTTTGTATATAACAATCACAATACGAATGTATGCGGGCTTATCAATGCAGTTTCGCAGCACCGACTGTACAAACAAGTGCAGCTTATGCAGAGGTGCGACTTGTATGCCAACTTATAGACTAGAAAATATGGCAATTAGGTCATATGTGATAGGGATTGCTAACGAAGTTACAGTCAGTACACAGACAAGCTGGTGGAATTTTTGTACCATGATTTTAACCCAAGACTGAGGCAGAAGGAAGAAAACATTTTTACAGTGGAAGAGAAATTAATGGACAGACAACGTGTCTAGTAGAGATGTTGTCTGTCTCTCTTACTTTATCTTTCACTGTACAAATATTTTCCTCCTTCTGCCCCTGTCTCGGCTTGAATTCATCGGGGATTACTAGCCCTTATGTGCATTGCTTGTTATTATTGCTTTTGCTCTACCACATCAAGATCTCTTTCATACTGATGGTTTTAACATGTTTAATGGATAGAATGCAGGGCACTAGAAAGGCCTGTAAAAGACCGCTTGCTTACCTCGGCAGGTGGGCAGGTTGGTGAACGTCTGGTTGGGTCCGCATGTGATGACATGATTTCCCTCCAGTCTGTAGCCTTTGTGGCACTGGACTTTAGCTTCGTCCTCAAAGTAGTAGGCCCTTCTAGCATCCATCACAAATCCATTTTCGATAGCTGGCAAGTCAAGGCACTGTGCTCCTGCATAGTAAGATGGTAGTCACGGTTATGAAATAATGCACACCAAAAAGCATGTCTTCTTTTCTTTTTTTGTATTTGGCGCACTATGGCCTATGTTGCTGCTGCGCCAGAAAACTCCAAATTCATTCATTCTTTTCTTTTTCTTTGGCGTTAGGTTTAGGTGGGTAACTGTATTCCTTTGCAGTTCAGAACTGAATTGTTCTCTGACTTACTCTTTATAGCATGCAACAGTGGCACCTTATTTTGATGTAACTGATATCTGCTGGCTAGGTTGCACGAAACTGCTTGCTTTGTTAATAGTGTTTTTAAAAAACAATTGCTATGAAAATAACTGTGCATAATATGCCTTCATAAAATTACAACTTACTGAATTTAATAGCTTGAAATTAGGCACCAGACTTTAAATGCATGAGCTATTGGCATAAAAAAGAGATGAGCAAGGAGAAATACACTTTACATAAGTTTTCAATGTTTTGTCTGTTTTTATTTTCTCATTTGTTTAATGCTTCAATAATCTCCAGACTAAAACTTTTATTGCTGCACACAGGTATCATCCGAGGGTATGTGAAGACGTCACGATTTCATCAACAAAATTTAGGGTTTGTGCTTCATAGAAAAGTGGAGAAAGAAGTATCATGTGGTGAAGTGTCACCACCCTAAGGCAGACACATATACATCGAGGAATCAGAATGACACAGGCTCTAAGACAAAGTGACAGCCCAGAGGCGTACTCACGTTTGCAGGTGGGCGGTGCGGCAGACCACTGGCCGTCGCTTTTGCACACGATGACTGGGTACCCCGTCCTGTGGTAGCCGGGCTCGCACTCAAAGCGCACCACGGTGCCGTAGTTTTTGCCACCACCATTGAGGATGGTGTGCACGGTATGGGGTGCCTCCGGCAGGGGTGGGCAGGAGGAGGCCAGGCAGGTGGGCAGGTTCACCCAGTTGCCCTCTTCGTTGCAGCGTATGGTCTGGGTGGGGAAGCCCCCCGTGAAGGCGAAGCCCGCATAGCACTGGTAGGTGGCTTGTCCGCGGTACGTCACGTTGGTGGCAGCCACGGCAAAGCCGCTATCGATTTGAGGGACGGCTCCGCAGTAGCGCTCTACGGAGAGAAATGAAAGAAGTGGATATGAGACACAAGTAAAGCAATGCAGACCTTTGCTGATTCTGCTCACTGGGGGAGTGCTTGAAAGTTTGGAGGGAAAAAACTAAACAAATGACCAAGGTGAGAGTGTTTATGGCAAATGCTCATTTACAGTGGATGACTTATCTGTAAATTTTTAATGGTGTAAAGAATGACGGTATTTGTTATAATGTATATATGTAGGCATGTGTTAAAAGTGCATTTTGAGTTTATAGCTAATTTGAAGCAAATAGTGGTTTTGACAAAATATTTTTTTGAATTAAATATCAAATAATTTCTTTAACTAAAGAAAATTCAGCTGGACTCGTGAAGGTTGTTCCCATCCTTCGATTGTCCATTCCTGACCTCAGTTCATTTTAATATAACCATATGAACGGGAATTTATAAATCTGCTTGCTATGTGGAAATTTGTTTCCAATTTTATATTTGACAAAAAAAAAATGCGAATGATTACCATGGGTTGTCAAGACACCGCTGAATAGCCTACACTTTTGCATAATCGCGGTCGGTTAGCCCCGGCCAGCAAGCGTCTCATCGAGCACCTGTGCACTGTACGGAAGTAATGCCTGCGGAGCCCCCGAGCTCCACGGGTACTGCTTCCCCGCAGTGCACAGGTGCTCGGTGAGGAGCGCACTCAACGGGACTCGCCCGCCGCGATCTACAGTTTGTGAAGTATGAATATTGCAGTTCATCTTGAAGCGAATATTGAATAGAGTATTCGAATATTTGCACGACACTACCTATCTGACATGGGGCCCCCTGACCATATTGTATCGTGCAAACAAATGAAGCTGATTGTGCGTGATTGAATAATTATTTGAGTCTTGAGTTGTAAAACCTGAGACTTTGGGAATGAAAAGTGCCCTTGTCTACTGCGGTTAATTGTTTGATAATAGTTATATCTGTGTTTGCATATTTATTTTTTAGAGTGCAGCTCTTAGGCACTTGTTCCCGTGTTTGGCGGCGTCGCCATCTTTGTCAGCGTAACCCCACTAAATTTAGCGGTAAAACTGACGTCACATGACCTCAGCACCAATTCAGTTTTCCTGCAAAATTTAAGGGGGATTGAATCGACGTTGAGGTCACGGGATGTCAATTTTCCCTCTATGTCTAACTGAGAAACCGACTTTGTTCATTGGTGACGTGACACGAAGTCATGTGACGACCTTTTTCCCCTCTAAATTTAGCGGGCAAACTGAATTGGTTTTGAGGTTATATGTTGTCCAATTTCCAGCTAAATTTGGCGGGGAAACTTAGATAAATAATATTATAATTAATAATTAACTAATATGCATAATGAATACCGCACATCCACCCAGTCCACATTAAGCGCCCATTCCCAAATTTGTAAGATCTGAGGGAATATGCGCAGTACATTTATATATAAAATTGATGACCGGACAAGCGCCCATTCCCCATTCTCTCGCCATTATTCTATATTTTGAGTGGGTGCTTGCCCGGTATTTTACGGTACATATATATATAATTTACATTATATATGCAGGCGTATGAGATCTATATTTGTACATCTAGATATTTCTTCGTTAAATTCTTTAGCATGGTATATTGCAAAATCGAAATACCTCAAAAGCTTGCGCTCTGATTTCACATTACAGATTTGTAAATGTAAACATTTTTTTTTCTCATCCAAAACGTTATTTTTTGGCATGATATTTTCTCTAGTAGACTTCTTTATACTCTCATTCATTAAAGTGTAACATTTTTTGTGCCATTCTTTTTATCTACATGTTTCATAGCCTGAATTGCTGGCACAGCGAAGTTGTTCCTCTTGTGTGCTAACTATTTGTTCAGTATACACCTCGTTTCCAAAGTCTCAGGTTTTCCAAAGTCTTCAAAATGAGGTCAGGTGTAGATAATATTCATTTACATTTCATAGGCTGGCCACTAAAATGGAGTTTGTTAGAACATGCGATGAGACACGTGGACAAGTGGAATCCTACCCTGACACCTTGGAATGGAGCCCACGCTCCACTTTCCCCCAGGCATGCACTCGGCCACAATCTTGGACATCCCGTTGCTGAACTCCTGGCCCGCAGGGCAAACGTAGGTCACCTTGGCGCCGAAAGTCGTCTCTCGACTGGAGGCCAGGGCTCCCTCTCCCACAGTCAGGAGCGGGCAGTCTTTGAGACGAATGGAACGAGAACTACATTAGCACTTAAACATATCCCCATGCTTCCATGCTAAAAGAAATTGACTTTGAAGCAGTGTTGAACTTTTTTTGTTATGTTATTTAATTAAGGATTCTTATTAACCACTCTCAAATATGAACTGCAGATACCAAACATGAAAACCTAACGTGACATAACCGGGGTTGACTGACTAAAGTGAATCTAGTTTTGTTATGCTTAATAATACTTGCAAAGAGTCTCAACCTTAGTCCAACAGGTTTAAAGCTTCCTCGGTAACATTCGGCAAATACTATTGATTTTTTTTTTAGAATTCCGAAGGTCAGCTGACAAACCACCAGTTTTGAAGCTTTTAAATTTGTCAAACAGACTTTTTTTGTCATTTTGATTCAGTGGGTATCACTAGCGGCACCTGGGGCAGTGGGCCATCGCGATACCCCTGACCCCCCCCCCCCGTTATCCGCCTGCAGCTCCCCCCCTTCCCCTTTTTGATGCAACTGCTTCGACAATAGTACTATTTTCTGGTGCATCCGCGCTTTAGGCATCGAAAATATCCGTTTTCTTTGTACAGTGTCGAAAAAGATTTGCCACTTTAAAATTTTGCTAACTTTATACTAGATCCATGCAAGCTTTCGCAGCCTGCCGTTCAAGTTTGCAATAGTTCTAGTGGTTTCTAGTGGTGGCTCGGATGATAATTAAAGGAAAATAATTTTTTATTCTCTTGGAAAAGCGTGTCACTTTACCGGCACTGAAGCTGGCCAGCCATCCTGCAGCTGTGTTGAGTGGATTACTGGTGAAGGTAACAAACATCTGACCACTGCTTGCAGTCAGGGTAAGTGTCGGCCGATTTGTGCCAGTGTAGCCCTGGCCTGGGTGTAGCCGAATGCCATTTCTGGTGTCAGGACCATCATAGATCTGGGAAAAACAATGAAGATTATGTTGAGTACCTTTTGAACGTTTCTTGTTGGGAGACCAACTTGGTACTTAAAAGCATCTAACTTCAAGCTTATTTTATTATAGGAAAAGCGTTCTTTTGTAGCTTTTACTAATGGTAGTGTCTACAGAAGACCTTTTCTATTAAGTATTTATTTATTCTATGAATAGCTATATAGTGTCAAATAACAAAAGGTGCATCAAGTAGTCTTACCCTGAATTTTATGGTTTTTCTGTTAGCATGTATATCAGAGATCGCGTCTTTTTCTTGCAATAGACTAGGCTTTTGATACAGCACCAAAAGCTGCCAAGCCAGGTTACAGATACTTATGACATTTTGACAAATTCTGAAATATGCCATATTGACTGAAAATACTTTTTGACATATGCGCAGAGTTCAACATCGGTATTAGTACAAACAAGCCATTGGTGTTTCTCTCTTTCTTAAATCTGATGTGCTGTTATTATAACTAATAATATTGCTGAATGTGCTCATGGTGAGAAACAACAAAGGCAGTAGACATCGGTTTTCTTCTTTAGCATTCATGGCCAATACCCAAAAATGTTTCGATGTTGTGTTCATGCTAACTGCATCATGCAGCATACCTTTAAAGCTTGAATATATGATGCTGGATTTTTTGTTTTATTTTGAGGTATGTCAAAATTATCAACTGTCTTTATGCAAATCAAAACAATGCAGAAAATATTGGATTGACCTTTGTAGGAGCCTGGGCATATGTTCAGTTTTTCACAGTGAACATATGTTCAGAGAGCAAAGAATAATTAAGGTCATGGAAAGGTAATGTGGAGAGTGGATTTGTTTGCGATGAAGTGCACTTAGTACTTGGCGATTTTTTACCTGTACAAAGTCATCCGGAGCCACGGCAAACTTCTCAAACTTGAGGGACACGGGACCTCCTCCTGGCCTGGTTATCCGATAGGCACACACTTGGTTGGGCGGGTACTTATCGACGCCGAATGCGGGGGAGGAGACGTTTCCTGACGTGGACGCAATGTCCACTTCACAACCTGCAATGAAGAAAGCAGCAGACTTTTACCCAAATAAACTAACATGTTCACTGTTTTCTATGCGAGATTATGCTCTTTATTAGTTGATACTTACCTACTTTTACCAACTTTATTTTACTTGTGTGGATGAGATGGTTTTACATATCGGGTGTTTTAGCGAAGACTCAAAAATCTCAGAAAATTGGTGGTTGAGGAAAAAAAAACCCTTTCCGGCAACAAACTTCCAGCCATGATGAAGATTGGGAATTGCAAAAAAGATACTAATTAACTAAATAATCAACTAAAATTTACTCATTACCTTTTGAATTGTGAAAAAAAAAAAGTATGGTTCTATTTAAAAGTTTTCTGAGCATTGTCAAAAACCACTAGATCCACTCATTTTAGGCAAATATAAGGCAAATGCAGGAATTTATGGCACTAAGAAAACAAAAATGCTCAATTTGGACGTAAATTCTCGATTTCCTATTGGAACACATCTTTGTGCCAGGTTTCCTGCCTCCAAGTGGCCGAGGCGCAAAGCTACCGCCTCATCTCCCTCATAAGTGGGAAGGAAGTGGCACAGGTGCATTTCATGCCTCTGTCACCGGGTCAGGACCGCTGGCCCGGTGACTTATCTTTTTCAATACATTCATAGGTGCATTCTCAATATAAGGTTGGTCTCTAATTACTCCTACTGGAAAGCTTTTCTGAGAGTGTAACATAATTAGATGAGAAATAATGCTCAAATCTTAACTAAAATTGTCTGTAATCTTCAATTTTACCAATAAAAGGCATGAGCATCTGTTCTAAGGGTCAACATTTGTTGGAGCAAGTATGGTAAGAACTCTCGTTACTACGCATGAGGAAGTTGAGCCCACCAGAACGGAACCGAATGGAGAATCCCTTTCGGCTGTCTCCGAAGCTGGAACGGAAGTAGAGGTAGAGGCGATTTCGCGTCGACATGATGAACTGCGGGTTCTCGGTGGCTGGCCCCGTCAGGGTGTTCAGCAGCGGATCGGATGGGAGGGAACCGTCCCTGACCAAGATGGAGTCCTTGGCTGGCTCCAGATCCAGGTCGACAATCTGCAGCAGGTAGAGGAATACCCTTGTTTACTTTTAGTGCAAATTCCATGAAGGATGCAGCACAGAATGGATCTCCACTGGAAATTTGTTAGCCACAACGTTAATTCAGGCTAAGGTTTCCAATGCTTAGCACCCAGATGAAAAATTATGAATCATTGGGCTGTGGACACATGCACAGTGTCTGATAGCTCACAAAAGAGAGTTGCTGCACATTCTCAGAAGGCATTCCACAACCCAGCAGACCAAGATGGTTGCACGCAGAAGACAGCTATTGTAATAGCCTATGCCATGTACCTCGAGAGATATAATCTTGCTGGCTGGTGCAGTGATGACCCACAGACATTCCAGTCCGCCAGGGTAGGGCTCGGGGTACATTGGAGAGTTCAGAACCTGCGCGCTGGGCTGTGCCATGAGCTCTCCTCCACACTTAACAGGCTCTGCAAGGGCAATTTGAGAACATTTAGTCGTGTCATGCATCAGTGGACTAGGAGCATTAAAGTGAATGTTATATTTCCCAGGAACATTCAGTCTATAGTATGTTGCAACATAAAAATGGAAAGAGAAGCCCCTCCTGCAAAGCTCTCTGCTGGTTATGGTTGGAGGTTTACTCCTCTCCAGCGTCCGTGGTGCTAAGGTGGCAGTGTTGGGTAAAGTACATCTAAGAGGTGCTTCAAGTAAAGTACAAAGTGAATTAAACGTGATGTACTTCAAGTAAAGTAGTAAGTACACTAGGTGCAATGTACTTGAAGTAAGATACTATAAATACAGTGTACTTTCAAAGTAAAGTACAAGTATTTTAACACAATCGTTCATGATGCCCTTTAATTCCCCTATATAGTGATTTTTTGACTGGTATGCATTGCGCAGGGGTAATCAAGGCTGCATGACCTATTTTAAAAAAAACGACGGCGAAGATTTGATAAAGTGGCCACAGAGTATTTATTTGCAGGAATTGAGCCAAATTTCTGAAAATCACTGTACAGTGATTTTCTTGCACTGGATTGTTGCACACAAGGGAATTAAATGTACTAGGAGAGATCATGACGTCAGCCCTGTAGCTTCCGCAAATAATCCTCTCATAGAGAAACGTCTTCTCCTTAATGAAAAAACAACAAATGTGAGTGTGCAACCGAGCTGGTGATAATTAGTCATAATGTGACACCTGAGATTGGGTGCGAAAAAATTAAACTTTCAAGTCTAAGGAAAAGACAAAAGAGAATGTCTCAAAACATTTTGACATTCTCATCTGTTGTCTTTTTCTTTGACTGCTACATTATGATTAATTTTGATCGCCTAATATTTTAAACCTCCTCGCTCGCACCGACCGACTGAGAAGTAGTAAAAGTTAAAAAAGCTACGGGGAAGCCGCCCCCAGAACAAACGGAGCGATGCGTCTTCTGCTCACGTTTCTGGTAAGGGTAGAATATCCCTCCCAGTATTTCTTTGGAGTTAACAGAGCATCATTTCGTGATACTAATTTAACAAAACCAAATTTGGGGAACCAAATTTGGGGACTTTCAAGTCGGAAATTGTACTTTTCTTGGAAGGTACCAGAAAAAAAATACTTTAAGTAAAGTACAAGTACATACTCAGAGGATGTACTTTAAGTAAAGTTCAAGTTTCCTAAACCTACTTGAAGTAGTACTTTAAGTACAATGTACCTCAAGTACTTCCCAACACTGTAAAGTGGAAAGGGTGGAGGGCTTTGTGGGGCCTACTGCTCTGTACCTGCGACAAACTGAAAGAGGTGCTGGGCATACCTGTTTTCCAGCTGGCCCGGAAGCCTCTCTTCTCAGCTGACGCATCGGTTCTGAACTTGATGATCATGAGATTGGAGGCTGTCATGAAAGACTTGGCATTGAGATCTTGCTTTCCGGACAGGGTCACGAGAGATACGCTGGACTCTTCCGTCCTTCCCCCAGAAAGCACTTGGACGGTGTCGAAGTTGGCTTCAGTCTCAAACTCTGAAAACTGCGTTCCAAAGAACACGAGGAGTTAGTAGATGACCTATTTTAGATCAAACAAAAGCTGTTTCTGGCATTGTTTTAACGTTTAGTAGTGCTGTATGCATATTGGGATTTTGGCCTTACTTTTTTTATTAAAATAACCAAAGTGTTTATTTACCAGCAAATTTTATTAATGGTGTGCTTTAAAAGAATTTCATTAGATAAGGTTTATAAAGTTGTCACCTGTAACACAACACCGGTTCCAAGGGGTCCTTCCAAGGTCCATTTGCAGTCAAGGTTTGGCTCGTATTTGTTTGGATAGTTTGGAGACTGGATGGAATCACCTGAGCTTTGCATGTAGAAGTGGCACGATTCTGTGTAAATATAATAAGGACACATCAGTTTGAATTCAGCACCGCTTAACATCCTTTTATCCAGCTGAAATATCACTTACGGGGGCAGTTCATTTCATCAGACTCATCACCGCAGTCGTCTTGGCCATCACACATCCATTTTCTGTTGAGGCACCTTCCATTGCTGCAGAGAAAGGACCCTGTGGAGAAGTTACGAGACAATGAAAAATGTAGCCGAAGAAATTTACAAGCAACTGGCAACTGAGATTAATTTCACTTGTGAAAGCATTTAACCTCTTTCCTGTCAGATTTATTTCCAAGTTTCTGCAGACACAGTCGTACTAACTACTGGTGTTTGTGCCTAGTTTACACTTGATTAAAATGCTTAATACTGTACCTTGGTTACCCAACACTAGCATCCGTGCTGGTGGCTTTACGATGTGTCAATTGTTACAATCCCAAGTGGCACCGAATGTTGCTACGTTTCTAGGATGTAGTGTGCAGCGTAAATATTTGGTTAATGTTAAAAATTTTCATATCACTGCAACTATACCGGGAAACATTGCAATTACATCAGAAGTGCTTATGCAATGTTAAGTACTCAATGTTAGCACAACGTGATGGCACAACATTGCAATAACATATCAGTAGATGTTTATGCGGTACTTGATACCTTTAATGTTTGTGATATGTGATTGCATAACATTGAAGTAACATCACAACAAATGTTTGCACAATGTTTTCTTCAATGTTTTTCTTTAGCATATAATATTCCATGGACAAAACTTTTCTGTTCCTCCAACGTCACTTGGAATTGTTCTATGAATTTGAGCAACATATTTCCTGAATGTCGTGCAACGTTGCGATACGAGCTAAGAGAAAGTGGCAAAAGTGTTGATCGTCTCCAAACGTTTCCACCTCTCAACTTGCTTTCCTTTTCACCATGCGGCACGCGCACTTGTGCCCAATCAGCGCAAGAGGTGTCTGCCATTAAACTGTAAACACTCTCCATGGTTTGAGTTGCTCCCTTTGTTAAATCTAGGTTACTCTGTGTTTTTTTGCTTAAACCTATACTCTGTGTTTTTTTACTTATCTTTCCCTCATATCTTTTGACATATCAGTAATGCCATAACGGTTGTGAAACATTACATGAAAGTTTCCTAGCATTATGCTAATGTTTTCAGAGTATGTTACTATATAATATTGCCTTATTAGCATTGTAGTTACATTAATTTATGTGACATAACATTGTGCAACATCAGCATGTTACAAAACCAGTAAGGTTTTGTAACATGCTGTGCTACTAGAGGTGGTGTAATTGTTTGGTTATATGTATGAAGTACAAATCTGAGCTTGACATACTTCAGAGAGGGTAATTGCATATGGGTAGCTTTATGATGTTACATGTGACACTAGTTGCACACTGGCTCTAATTCTGTGAGGTTGCTGGTTCGATCAAAGTCGGGAAATGTACCTTCTGGGCAAGCCGGGACCTGACAGATGAAGGGGAGCAGAGCTTCGCAGGGTGCCAAGTGCCACTCCTGCGTGCGCTCAGTCATCCTGGCTTGGACGCACTGCCCATCCTTGGGCCTTGGCTGGTTCAGGGCCCAGTAGCCCACATACTTTGGGATGAAGTAGCCACTGGATGACTCCAGGGTGTTTGTGGAAAGGTCATCCACGGACCTAAGGCCTGTGGCAGGGAAGTTTGGGAGGTATTACCACTTCGTTTGGTGGCAGCAAGTGAGGTGTAGACACTTGGGTAGGAGACCTTTCTTATAAACCTGCTGTATTTTCATTGTGATTACTCCTGGAATATTTTGTTGAGTAATTATATATAAAAGTACCGTGTTGGCAAACTTGGGAACAGTGGCGAAAGGGGGCAGGACCACATGCTGATTCTAGATTTAGGCTCTTCTTAATTGTATGACAGACTGATTAGTATCAGCCATTGCAGGAAATCATTGAGCTTTGTAGAGGTGCTTAGATTTTGTGTCGGTTCTGTTCTTGCTTTTACTGCCAAGCCAGAGAAAAAAAAAGGGCAAAGGGGTCCTGACTGATCGAGTTACTGTAGCTAAAGTGCTAGTGGAGTGTATTGGAGAATAAAAAAAAAGTAGTGTTTTATGTGCTATGATAATTGCACAAGAGTTGGAAAGAAAATGCATTCTTAACTGGACAGGTCAATGCATGAATCTTCAAGGGACACTGAAGCGGAATCTTAGTTTGTCTTGTTATGGCAATAACTGTAACACCAAACACCATCCTAAACAAAAAATTACAATCATGCATGTATTTTCTTATTAAAAACCGCCACCAAACATCGCGCCAAACCCCTTTTCTGGTATATATCTTAAACAAAGGCGCGTTGCGATGTTTGGTCGTGTTTTTATTGGAGAAAAAGGCAACACATGATCGTCATTTTAGACTTTAGGACGCACATAGATCGAGTTTGCATCGTGAGAATACCATTTCAAAAACCACTGTAATGCCCTTTTAAGCTACTATTCGCCGTGGAACGAGCCAAGTCTGTTGCTCTAATTTTGGCCTTTGTCCGCTCCAAAAGGTATTCCGGGAATCATTTTAGTACTGTTATGGCGCCATTCAATGGGGAGTTTATTTTTGCTCACCTATCCAGTATGCACTTTGAGGTACTTCCTTGAGACCCGTCGCGGCAAGGCCTCTTGTGAAATTGTTTTGATTGTAATTTAATATTAAAGCTAGTTGGCTGCCGTACCTGTAAAGAGAGAGAAATACACGCATCAGAAACCCGCGATGCTCCTCCAAAGCGCAAGGCTTTCGAAGCGAGGGGCAATTTGATTGTATGCTCGAGTATTTGCAAGCGAACATATTGGTTTTATCAGATTTTTTGCATGAACCTTCGGTCTTTCTGCTGTCACCATCATCTTGTAGATGCAAATAAGTATAATAAACATCACTACATCACTTTTTTTTTTTCACGCTTGAAGTTAGCTTTTATTTACGGCTATCCAGCAGAAAGCGCGGTAATCTACTTGAAATTTTTAGCACATCATTTCCGCGTCCCTGAGACAGCTCCGGAGTGGTGCAGTGAGTTTCCGATACCAGCATCGTACGCGAGCAACGATCGGCTGAAACTCACCATTTCTGACGCGAATGTTGTTTGCAGTTAATAATAATAATAATAATAATAATAATAAATCCTTTATTGCACAGTCTTTTGTACAGTGAAATCGATGGCCCACTTTAGCGCGCAAGCGCTTGTGTGCGGGACCATGTGTGAAGCGATTGTTGCGCCATTTGCATCAAACTGCGGCAGAGTGCTTACCTGCTACATCCTGCTTTATTTCAGCAAAATGTGAGCAATTTAAGCCATAATTGTGCCGCAAGTTTACTTAACTTTTTTTATATTTTTTTTATGATCTTTTGCTTTGTTAGATTAGCGGTTCAAGTCTACCGCGTCGTTACGATAGGCTTGTGCGAAATTTCCAAACTTTCGATTATCGCTTCTGATGACTGGCTTCTGATGGGGTCTCCGTGTCGAGCACTAGCAGCTCTTGGAATTTCCACAGTATTACGCATTGTTCACGCACGTTCGTGCGGGTGAGATAGTGATGTTGTGTGTGTTCTTCTCATCATGCTCGGGAAAAGAGACTGTCGCAGAGTGGACGTCGTGACCCCGTGTATGTCGCTTCACCGCAGTCATCTGCTTGCAGAGGGGAAGAGCTCTTCTGCATAGCGCTGTAGCGCACGCTGCGTAAGAATTCAACCTAACCGTTAAATCCTCTCGAATTACATGCATCACTGGTCGTGATTTGTGTGGATTATTATTTTTTTTTTTCAGATGTATAGCTTATATCTTTTTAAGTCGCACGAAGTTTTTGCTGTCTAGTCTGCTTTCATCCACAACTAAATTGCTAGTTAAGCGCCTTAAAAGCACTCCTGCAAAAAAAAAAAAAAAAAAAAAATTAACGGCAGAGTTTAATTAAGAACCGTTCACTGATCTTCAAGCTGTCACTGCGTAATGGTTCGTATGTGCCAGAAGAGGAACATAGCCACAAATGCTGAGTCATTCCCTGACTAATTTTAAACGAAAGATGTTCCTTGAGGTGCTGTAAAGAACTACTTTTTAGTCGGAAGCGTTACGTTTGCGTTTGCCTCGATTGCGACATGCCCTCCGAATTTATCCGTAGCGGTGAACCATATCCTTCCGAAGTTTGTTCTAACAAGGTCTGGAGAAAGAGTTCAGAAAAGTCCCGGAGCTTCGAGGGGACGTAGTGAGGAGGTTACTATAGTACTCTTTCCCACTACATGTGACATGTACGGAGAAGCAGATTAGCGGAACCCAGGGGCTAAAGCGAAATCGATTGGAACGCGTCGTGTTCCCGCACGTTTTCGCGCTCGTGCGTGTGCACGTCCGCGCTCGCTCGCGTGTGTGTTCCGTGTTTCTTTAAGTGCGGCTTCCGCCAGTTGGGGACCCCCCGCTGTCCCTCGTGCTTCTGCGTCAGCTGCTGCTGCTGCCGCTGCGCGGCTTTGCACGAGGCGCGAACCACTTCCTAGTCTCCAACCTGTTTCCCGGGCGTCCGGAGCTGGAGATATCTTCCCTGACCTCAAAAAGTTGGCGCGAGGAACCGGCAGAGTCAGCGGAACAGAACTCGGGGTGCGCCATGAAATCTGCACGGCGTGTGTCGCCCCGCTATATGCTCCGTTCCGCCCTAAGCTGACAATGCGGTGGAGGCTCGTTGGACCCGTCGTGCGTCTGTCTTTCGCCACGTGATCACGCTCCCGCCCGTGTCAACACCATCTAGAATAACCAAATCCTCCGCACTAGCATTTCGACGTCATCGCAGTAAGATCGAGCGCAGACACCGATTGGACGCGAGCACTGCGTCCAGTCGGTAGAGGAGGCTGTTCACATGCTCGGATTTCTTGGTGGTGCTGCCCATACCCACGCGCAGAGAGCGAGGTCAGGTGGTGAAATGCAGGCGTTTAATTGGTCCGGCGACCGCGCCGTCAGCTTAGGGGTGGACGGATCTCGTCTCCTTCCTTCCGCTGTTCCTCGCAGCCTTACTTTCTATACCCTATTTATGGTGGACATCCGAAGCGTACGTCCCCCGACACGGTTCCTGCTAATGATCGTCACGGGCATCATAAAGAAACGCTCCACCGTTCTCCTTCTCACCGGAAAAGAATCCGGAGAATTAGGCTCGCAGCGTAGTCTTCTGGGCTGCAAGACTAGTTTTTTTAGACTCGCAGCGCGCGTATTTTATGGTTCATTGCCATAGACGTAGCTGTAAACTTGAGCGCACGCTTTCATCGTCCTACGGAGGTCGCGGTAATCTATAATCGCGGTTGGTTCGGTGCTAGTTTAGGGCATTACCCCGCGGCTTCGTTCGAAACCGCGAGACTGTTTCAGGCCTCAGCGTTGGACTTGGCCGCCGTAAATTCTTGCCGTAGCTGCGCTCCTCGCGATTTCCTGACCTAAATTCCGAGGCCCGTGGGGTCACCGGCGCCGCAGCCTTTCGGCGCACGTCCGCGGACCGCGAGGGCGCAACTGCGACCGAGAGAAACAGGTTCCTCTGCTGGGAACGGCTTCTCCGGAGCGGCGCTTCGACTCGCGACCGCGGCGTGGCTCGTCGCAGCACGCGGAGCGGCCTGAACAACGCAGCCACCGACGCCATTCGGAACAGAGAGTGCAACCTGGGGCACCGTTCCAAGCCATCGAACATCGGTTTTGATGTCCTCCAAGATCTCGATCTTGGATGCACTAGTTAAATCACAGGGGCAACATTCGGAATGTGTGTACAGATGTCTTCAAAAACAATCATTAATTTTTTTTTTTATTGCGAAAATAAGCGACGTATTGTTAAAGGCTCGATCTCCATCAAAATGTAGCGAAGCGGTTCGTACCAGATGCCAAAGTCTCAGATGTAACCGTTATCGTACTCAAAAGTTATAAAAGTGGTTTTCTGAAATTTCCGAGGGGGTAGCGTCAAATAGCGGAAAGGGGTCCCATTTTCCCATTAAAATTTTCAGCTGTATTATTATTATTTTTTTTTTTTCGGGTTCATGGTATACTACTTACCGCGGGTCAGAGCAGAGCGTATGAGAATTGCGTAAGCGTGCTGCGATAGCAGCGCGGTTAACGCTGGAAATGAATGCGCGGCTGACCTTTCGGACTTGTGTAACTCCAATGGATTGCGGGAACCACTTACAATGTTACGGCAAGAGTAGAACTAGCACACTATGCTTTGTACGCTTCGAGATATGTCTAAGAAATGATAGGATGTAGAAGCACACGTGGGTTGCACATTAAATGATAAGCCACATAACTTAGCATAGGACAATCGCACTTGACAACACAATGGTGTTGCTTGTGATAATCGCTGAATGCACGAAAGAACAGCAACAATTCCATCGGCACACTCGCTTTCTATCGTGGGAGCTAGATATTTCCTCAGGAGTAGGTAGGTCTGACCGCGAACTCGTTGCTTTGGGTGCCTGGCTCTGCCATTCGTTAGAAGCTGCGCGGTCGTACCTGTCGCTATTGCCGTAGAACGCTGCACGTTACGCGGCCCTTGAACTAGCCACGTAAGGCATGCAATTATTTTTTTATATACAAGGTGTTTCTGGGAACGCTTTCAAAAATGCCTAAAAATGTGCTGTTCGAGATCAAAAGGAACTCTTTGCGGGAACGAACTACCAGCCGTGGCGGACGTGAAGGATTGCAAAAACATACTGATTAGCAAGATAATGAGCTAAGATTTTCCATTTGACTTATTAATTAGTGAAAATAAATATGTGGTTCCACTGAGAAATTCGCTAAGCATCATCGAAAACCACTAAATAAACTTTTTAGAGAGACAGAAGGCACGGGCAGCATTTTACAACATTCCTTAAACGCGCTCAATTTAAACGCGTTTCTAGGTTTCGGTTTCTTACCGGAGCGCATCTCTGCGCCCGCGGTCCTGCTCCCCAGTGGCCGAGACGCGCAACACACCATGGCCTCCGAAATCCTGAAGCGCGCTTCGGACTCTCGGAGGCCATGACCCTTCTTCCCTCCACCCTACGAAGAAGCCGAGGCGGTGGCTTCGCGCCGCGACAACTGGACACCAGGACCGCGGGCGCAAAGATGTGCTCCGATGAGGAACCGAAACAATTAGAAACTCGTCCAAATTAAGCAATTCCCCTTTTTTTCTTTTTTTTAATGTTGTAAAATGTTTTTGCCTTATGTCTTTCTAAAGAGCGTTGATTTAGTGGTTTTCGATTATGCTTAGCGGGTTTCTCGGTGATTTCCCTCAATTAGTGATTTACAATAATTAAAAATGAATTGGTACATTTTCAGTAAATAATCTTGCTAATTAGTATGTTTTTGCAATCCTTGATGTCCGCCAAGGCTGGTTGTTTGTTCTCGGAAAGCGTTTATTTTTATCTGGAACAGCATACTTTAGGGAATTTTTGAAAACGTTCGCAGAAACGCCTTGTATATTCTCCTTTCGATATTTCAAGCAATCCAATCACTTCTTTTTTTCTTTTTTAATTCCCGTCCTTCCATTTGAGTATTGCTTTACTTTCTTGCTCAATTTATAAGATGGAAACAAACAGACATTGTTCGTCGTACTCGCTAGGTCAATACCGGGCAGTGCCAACAGCGTCTGTATAGGCTCGTGATTTTGAAACGATATTTTGAGCATTATAGATTTTTCAAGTGAAGTTCTTGTTTACTCGGAATTGTACGCACGCTTCTATTGATTTATTTTTTAAGTTGAAGGGGTAGCTGGGAGCAGCGTAGAGATAGGAAGTATACATAATAATAGCGTAAGTATAACTCTGGCAACTTGGCGAGTGAGAGAGACTATCACGTATGCCCGTCTCTTTTCTTTTTCATTTTGGCCCTCTTGTAATCGCAGCAGTCATAATATAATAAATGAGACTGCATTCATACAGGATGCATAAAAGAAACGATTAAGAACACGTGTGTATCTTCCCATTTCCTTCTCCAGGACTGAAACAAACTTTATGGGCCGCGAGATATACGAGTATGTTTAGCTCTGTTCTGGCTTGGAGCGGCGAGAAGGTTTTGCGCGGACGCGTAGGCGAAGCCATTGGAGACGTTGGTCCGGTACGGTAGCTGGGAAGTGGCACCCAGAGCTCTAAGGATTCGCTCTCCTCGCTTTTACTTTGTCTAATCTGATTCGTGTGTGAGCCACAAAAAGTTGTCCCGGACAGCCCTATTTAGCATACTTGTACGGTAGATACTCGTACCTGCGGCAGACTTCCTCAGCTCTCCGCCAAGAATGCTGATTGCTGAAGAATTTGTAACAGTAGACGCCGTCTTGTGACCAGCCTGCAAAGAGACACAAGACAAACAACATTGCAATAAAAGACTGTGAATGCTTTCTACGGTAAACATTGGCACCTTCTTGAACTCAAAGCACTCCCTATGCGATCGCGTTTGGTTGTGGTCATTTGTGTCTGTAATTATACGCAGTCCCTTACATGTTAAGAACAAGATAAGGCTAATTATGATGACGTTTACCGCTTCGCGATTGATTGCTCATTGTATCAGCTGCCCAGCTGATACGGTTACTGAAATGACTGACACCGCCGTGTCGAAGACTTTTTTTGTTTTTTTGTTAAACAAGCAATTTTTCTTTTCGTACCTTAAAAAAAAACAAAAAAAAACATTAATTTTTTTTATTTCAAACTTTGACGATGGCTATGCACAATTACATTTCTTTTTGTTGTTTTTATCACAGAAAAGTTTCTGAAACGTATGCTACTCCCCTTTTGGAACTCGCAAAACGGTCAAGTTTCCCGTGTGAGCGCTCGAAAGGACGACAGTTAAATAAATTATTCTATCCCATTTCGTGTTCTTTTTTTTTTTTTTTTTTTTTTTACGTCCGAGCATTTTAGTCTAACCTTGAGCCTAAACGAGATTGTTTCAAACAAAAAGAATGAACTCGTTTTCGTTTAAATGGCTGCCGTAAACCGTTAGCTTTTAGGAGCGGTGGAAGCGTGTTTATGTGATTATCTATTCATGCGTACTGCCAGCAGCAACTCTGGTAAGAGTGCTAGGTGCCCCTTTTTTCTTGCAGCACACACAGAAAAATACGGCTCTTGATAAACACGGAAGAGCTATTTAACGAGAAAGAAACAGAGAGGTTAGAGAGAGAGAGAGCATGCAGAACTCCGACACTACTCTTTCCGGAGTTGAGAATTACAAAGGCAAAGTTGAGGAAAGGACGGAACTTTTAGTGAGACGATTAAGGAGACGCGAAGGCAGTCTAAATTAATTGCAGGTCTTTACGTCTTGCTCATTTGCAAAAAAAAAATAAATAAATAAATAAATGAAAAGAGTTGTTTAGATTGCTAAAGAATGTGCGAGGTCAGACTGGTTACCGCTACCAACACAAGGTTCGATTCCCAAGTGTTGTGACTTTATGATTATGGTTTGAGGTGGACTTTTATTTTTAGTCACCGAGGTGATGAAAACGAGCTTCAGTTCTCCCGTCTCCAACGCGAGCTTCCTAGTTTCGACGAGACTTCGGCGCCTTGTGAGCTTCGAACGTGCACGCGCTGGAAAAGCACGGCGGAAGGCACAGCGCGTGCTGAAACGCCCTGCCGCTCTGATTCTGCCAGTCACTATAGTCTATCCGTCGTTGTACTGTAGACCTACGTGCGTACGTCATGACGTTGCGGCTTTCAGTTCTGACGCTAGAGCACCCAAGCTAGACCAAAAAGGTCATGCCGCCATGAACATGACCAGGCGTCCTCATGCCCAATGTTTTCTGGCAGTCAGTATGCAGTGCCTAAACGTTTGCCGCCGTTCTGAAACTTTATGGAGGATTGGTTTTCCAATTATTGCAAGAATAAGCCGATCAGGATTGATTGTCGTCGATTGGATTTGCCGACACTTCTCCATTAATTCTCAGCGAGGCGGAAAATACCGGGACACACGGGTGTAGACGCGGGCGCGGCGTATGATGTACCGCAGGAGAGAGCCGCTGCGCATGCTCAAAACGATTTCCACAGCCCAGTGGGCAAAGGTGGCAGCGCGTACAAAGCGATTAGTCGAATGGTCTATAGATTATACACGCGGAAAGCACGAAACGAACATTTTGCATGCGCGCAATCTCCAAAGATTTCATCAGCGCGGCTTCGGGCGAGCACCCTCAAACTGGCCCGTATACTTGCAGAAAGGATGAGGGAAACGTTTTGACCCCGGTGATTTGTGCTATTACTATAAATATTGAATAAAAAATCCGACATCCTCGGTCGAACCGTTACCCTTCCCAGCGCGAAGGAAAGGAAGTTTTTAAAAAAGCCAGAACAATGTTTTCCGTTTTGATGGAATTCCTCGACGCGTGGAACAACCTTGACTACACCGTCGAGGCGACGGCATTGAAATGTGGGCCGGCGGCGCTTTTTTATACGACCGCAGAGGCGTTCCCGCAAAGTTCGGACTCCGTTTTTGATCTCCGACGCCGCTCGCGACATTCCCTGGCGCATGCAGGGTCGGGAACGCAGCGTGACGCCTCCTTTTGTCCGAGGAACCTGTTCGCCGAGGCCGCCGCTGCTCGGACTCGCGAGCGAGGAACCTCGGGTGTCAATCTGCGTGTCACCATTGTGGCAGCGAGGGTAACGAGATACCTAGAGCCACTAAATGAGCTGCGCTTAGAGTATCGGCACTCCGTTCCCCGACATTGTTGTGGGCGCCGCCATTTTGGCTCGTATGCACAGCAGACGCAACTGCCGATCGTCATGATTCAAAAGTGCGACTTCCTCAGCATTAGATCCGTTGTTAGGAAGGTCACGTAATATTGATATGCTCTGTCGCGAACTCTTTAAACATTTCTGGAGGGCGGAAAAGCGTTTCCTGTGGTTTCAGATGAAGCTTCAGATAACTGGCAACCATGATTTTAAGACACAAAATGGCCAAGTGTCGCTACTCTGAAGCGTAGCTTATTTAGTGGCACTAGAGATACCGTTCGTTCCTCGCCATCGAATATTTTTTTTTTTGTCGCGGTATGCGAGGCACAGTTCGCTCAGTTCCATTTACGAAGTCGATCTTATCAATCATACCACTCAACTTCAACAAACTTGATTTTCTTTGGCTTTCGTAGTGGAACACTTGGATTGACAGGCTCACATTTACAATTGCGCTAACACCGCATCGTCAGTAATAAGTGTTTCAGCTTACCACCCTTAACGGTCGGCGTTCCTTGGAAAAGTATATTGGATTAACTGTATTTTTAGTGTTTATATACTACACTAAACATACTCCATGTCCCTAATAAAGAACAGAAAAAGCTGTGTGCCACATGGCACATCATCAATGCGCCATATGGCGCACATACACAACCCCTTTTTAAAACACTGCATCTCATTCCGGTCACCAACCTATGATTACACCTTAATTCGAACATACATAATAAGCAGAAAAACGAATATTCACCTCATTGACCAGAGAGCTGACTTTACACGAAATTAAAACTTGTACATCGTTCCTTTTAAAGATGTCTGGAAAAAGATCATTCAGCAGAACGAACTAAGGAAGCCAGACGTTAAAACATCGTCACATCATTACGAAATAATTTAATACATTTAATAAGAAGCGATCTTATCGTTGCAACTCTCAAACCACGTTCCCTCAAAAGTGTGTTTACGTAATTTTTTGATCATGACTGTAGTTGGTGACATGTCAAGAGTAAAGGAAAAGCTGCTCCCACCTCTTTTCCACTTTAGCAGAGCGATCGCTCAAGAGGAATGCGCCTCCTCTTCGGCGTTTACTCAGCTAAAGTGGAGAGGGTTGGGAGGAAGAGCTTCCCCTGAACCCTTAACCTGTCATCGACTACAGATGTGTATCTATTAAAGTTATGTCTTTTTACATTTATTTGGGGTTTTGTGCTTTGTTTTTGTTGCGCGAATGTTGTTTTCAGTTACTTTTTATTGTCGGTCTGTCCCTAATGGTAAAAATGAAAAAAAAAAAAACAGGGGTGTGTTTGGTCAAGCTACATTGCCCTTTCCCCCGTCGCTTGTACGTTTGTATAAACGAAATGAACTTAACTTTAAAAGAAAATATAAAATGCCTTGGTGACAATCGCGGACAAAGTAAGAAACAAACATGTTGCACGTACACACTGCGTACTCGCATGCTTACATATTCTCACGCACTCACGCGCGCACAAGCAAACGGACACGCACGTCACTTTGACGGGATATTTATCGATTACGCATTGTATGAGGGTCATGGACGTGCCGCATAACTGGCGCCCAACGTGGGGATCTTCCGGATATGGGATGGAGGTGGCGGAAGGGGCTGGGCAAGCCATTCGAACTAAGTTCCCACGGGTTTGATATTATCGGAAGCGAGAGCAGGTGTGGAACGTTTCTCTTGTACGATAAGTAGCACGTCTTATATGTGTCAACGCGTTTTTATCTGATATTCGTACATCAAACATTTCTGAAGTTGAAAGAAAAAGTTTGTATAAATTTAGAAAACTTCCGCTCCTTTTTTACATTACAGAGGTTAGTCACACTCACACATCACAGAAAGCCGCGCTAAAATGGCAGCCCTGGCGCTCTGGTCGTAATGCACCAACAATCAAGATCCTAACGTCACCTAAGCTCTATGTCCTAATTTCGTCTCATCTTAACGCGAACTGCAGCGAAGGCTGCACTCCCAAGCAGACAGCTTTAGTTGGTGCTTCCCCTGCACGAACAGTCGCGAAGCCAAGACAATTTCACGGCTATGAGCTTCGCGGCAGGCGAACTGTGAAAACGGGAGATTTCCCATGAGAGAGTGGCGTTTTCCGGGACCATGCTGGGAACGCAGAGGCGGGATAGGTTCACGGAAAATGTAAACAGAGCGGTTATTTGTTTTAATCGCCTCCTAGTGTTACTTGGGTTACGTCGTATTCTGCATACTTAGCGACTTGCCGTTAGAGCGTCACCTCCAGCCATTATGACTCGAACTAGCGCGTTAAACGACATTCTCTGTTCATGTCACTGGTGTGGCCTTTGCGAATGCACGAGTGGAACAATAGCGTAAGCTTGCGTTTGTCGACTTCACGTATTAGCAAGGTGAAGATCGGGTGAGCTTTCCCCCGTGTAATTCCTCAACGTTAATTATTTCAGTGAAATTTGCTCGATTCTACACATAAACACCCCGCCAGTCAGGCACGTATCCAAGGGGGGGGGGGGGGGGGGGGGGCCCGGCCCCCCCCCCCCCTTCCCCGAAATCTTCCATTTTGCTGGGACCTCCCCTTCCCCCTCCCTCTCATACAGCATTTTGTCATGGGCGGGCCCCCTTCGAAACAAAATCCTGGCTACGTGCCTGCTGTG